GAGGAGTATCTCTGATGCTCCAAGAAGATGAATATCTTGTCTGAGTAAATTGAAATGGATATTACTTTGCAGATGAGTGAAGTTTATGATTTCAAATGCTGGCCTGTTCAAGGCCAGCTACATTCACAAGGAGATAACCAAGTCATCCTGAATGAGCCGTGAATTTAATAAACGACTAATTCAGCCAAAAAATTGAAGAGCCTGTGATTTGATCATTTGAGGCGCCCTCTGAGGAAATAATAAAGATATGAATTAATACTGAACTCTGACTTCTGGCTCCCAAGTGAACAGATATTTCTATTCTAAAAGTTACAAATTTGAAAAATTCTAAAGTATTGACAGGAAAAATCTCATATAGATACATAGATATAATTTGCACATAATTTTAATCAATTTGTTAGACATTAGTTACATCAGCTAGATTTAGAACACAAAACAAAATGATCATACATGATCCGACAAATACTTTTTTTGTATGTAGTTTTTTAGTTTTTTGTTGTTGTTGTTGCCTGTGTGTAGTGTTTTCCCAAGCCCCCTATCATGCAGAGGGTTGAAGGGAGACACCCGTTAGAGTAATGTATGTGAGGAGAGCCTGCCACTTTTCAGAGGTTGGACAGTGGACAGCAAATAGGAAGTAGAATTCCCCCTTCGGATGTCACTGATAGATGGGGCAGTTTGATAGCTGCAGAAATGTGTATAAAATTGTGTTATAGGCCTCTGTTTGCTATGATATGGATTGTCAGGGGGATTTCATGTCTGATAACCGTTGAAATGATGCAAAGTTGTTATAGTACTTACACTGACCCTTTAAATTCTACAAATGAAGCAATCGTCATGGAAATCTGTAGACTATAACTGAACCACTCCTAAAATTTGCTATTTATATGCAACAGTCTGCAAACAGATTAAAGAGTATTACTAATTTAAAAACACATATCCCCGCACACATTTGTGGTTGTTGGGTCCACTTTAACTGCCTACAGATTTTATCAAAGCCTACAAAAATCGAATTGATAGCTGCATTTGCCAAATTTAATTTAAACACAGTTACAACAGCAGGCAGGCAATGTATTTGGCTGATTGCCAAATTAATTAGAAACATTTGGAAGAAATGGACTGCATAAATGTATTAACAGTCCAAGACCAGGAGGAGACATTTTATGCTGTGAACACAATCCAAACTGATATCATGTATCTTATTAATTGCATCAAAAATGTTACAAATGTATTTTAGTTTTTGCAAATATATTTTTGCCACATCATTACGACATGCCTTCTGAGTGAGGTTTTTTTTCCAAGACTATTAAAAAATATGAAAAATACAGAAAATTATATTTAACGTGTGCAATATTTTTTATTTTTATTTTTTTAATTTTTTGTGCACTATGTGGATATAATCACTAATTAGTGATTTATGTTGAATGAAAACCCTATTTACAAATTTGAAGCCAAAATACCTGACATTTGCAGTAAGTAATGTATAGAATAGAAACAAAGAGTTAGGTTGATAAAAAAAAAAAAAAAAAAGTCAGGAGGGACCCTTGGTCAGAGACCTACTGGAAGGGTGGTGTTAAAGAGAAGAAAGTTTATTACAAATGAGATTGACGTAGTTGGGTCATATACACAGAATCAATTTAACTTAGTATGGACAAGTGGCATCTGGGCACAGGATGAACACAGCCTTGGTGGTGGCCACAGTGCTGGGAATTTGGGAATTCATGGAGGGTGATGCAGTAGATTTTCCAATGTATTGAGATCAAAACTCAACAAAACTTTAGATTATTTTTTAAATTTTTTTAAAAAAAGGTTGCTTTTATGCTTAATGGGACACTATAAGCACCAAAACTTTAGCTTAATGAAGCAGTTTTTGGTGTACAGATCATGCCCCTGCAGTCACGCTTCTCAGTTCCCTGTCATTATTAATATGCTTTATTAATTTGCTTTGTTTGTGCAACCCTACTAGTAATACCTCCCTACGAGCAGCTCAGATGCATGGTGCACAAACTTCAGACCATTTGGATGATTTGTGGTTGCCTATCCCAGCCAATAAGCCACTATACCTGACTTAAGAGCACCATTTACGTTGGGGGCTACTGGACAAGCATGAGGAGTCGTTACTCATCTTTTAATTCTACCAGGAACCTGAAAATATCTGTTGCGGGCTGCTGGGGATGGAGCTGGGGAGAGGGGGATGATCTTCTCTTTCTTATACCCACAGCGTGGACCCGCTGCACTCTTACCGCACCTGGACCGGTGGGGGTTATCCCGGTCCCCACTGAAACCCAACAAGCAGGTTTTGCTACACCTGCCTAGTTCTTAGCTTTGTACCCTGATAGCAGCACTTGGTATCCCACGATCAACAAGATGGCGACTACGTCTCAGCCCACCTCTCAGGACATGGGCCCATCCTGGCAGCCGACTCATTGGAGGATACCACCTGGTTCTACCGATTGCCCCGGAGTAAGTCACCAGGGAAGGAGTAGAGACCGGCGCTGCACACAACTTTGTGGTTTAACCTCTTGAGGTAAGAGTGCCTGCAGGGGCATCCTGGCACCATAACAACTTCAATACGTGGCTATAGCTGAGTTGGTGATTCTTTTCCCAAATTAACTATTTTTGCTAAACAAATTCCAATACAGTTTTAAGCTCACTAGAATTCAGAGTATAGTAATTAATGTAATGTAACGTAAGGGCAATGCAATCTTACCTTCAAATGATAGAAGGTGATCGTTAAGTGGTAACTGAATGCAAAGATAGATAAAAAAAAATTTAGGGTATTAACTGGGGAAATATTTTGGTTTTTATTCTATTAAAAATAAAATAGAATAGAACGAATTTGTCAGAAAACATATCGCTCATGAAATATTTACAGTCATTTGTTGAGCATGTAACGTGATTATTCATTACCCTTGGAAAAGTGAATGATGCTTCGTAGCACAGGATAAATGGCAGAGTGCATGATGTAAGGCACTAAGAAGACAATTAGACATGTCAAGAGATTGGAGAGTGCATTAACCATCGAGACACTTTGCCAGGGCTACAGGGATTTGGAGGAGACAGAAAGGCGTCTCCAGGATTTACAACACACCTTATCACACTTAGAAATGACATAATGCCAAGACCACTTTTCATTAGGTTTTATCTTTTTTTATTTTATACCTTTTTTTTTATTTGGTGTGGGGAGATCAATATTTAATGTTTCATCAGATGCTAGATTCTGTAAGATTTAACAATCACAACTAATAAAAAAGAGACATTAAAGCGTTAATGTCTGCAAATTTACTAAAAAAAACTGTGATTTACTAAAGAAAACAATGTTTTTTGTTAGAGTAACCATTGCTTTCTCTGTCCCTCGGTCCCCCTCTCACTATTTACTAGTCTGGCAGGTATTGCCCCTTCAGTCAAGAAACCTCCACACATTGTTTTACAAACACGTCTGTGGCTCATGGGCCCTGATGATGCAGCTCTGTATTAACATGTACAAAGAATCTGATGCAGAGAAAGTATTTGGTCCAGCTTGGGTCTGATGTAGTAAGAATAGTCACAAACCAAATCCACCTTAAAGGAAAACAAACCCGATCTCCCTCCCTGCCACTCCCCACTCCCCCCCATCCCATGTTGCTGAAGGGGCAAAAATCCCTTCAGTGACTTACCTGAATCCAGCACCAATGTCCCTTGGCGTTGGGTCAGGCTCCACCCACGTCAGCGGGGGAGCCCCAATGTGCATGCGTGGCAATGGCCATGTGCGTGCATTAGACCTCCCTATAGGAAAACATTATTCAACTCTTTTCTATGGGGATTCCAGCTACACTGGAGGTCCTCATGCATAGCGTGAGGATGTCCGGCGTCATTTAAAACACTTTTTGTGTTCTAAGAAGCCGGAAATCCCTCTAATGGCTGTCTGTGCAATAGGGAACTGTACCCAGACCACTTCAATACTTCAATGAGCTGAAGTGGTCTGGGTGCCTATAGTGTCCCGTTAAGCTTTAGTTCTGGTGACTATAGTGTCCCTTTAACTGTAAACACAGAGAGCGCACGGAGAGAGAGAAGAGAGGTCTAGGCTACCCCTTGTATGCACACTCCCAGCGCTGTCTACAAAGGTAAAAAGTATTACGTCTATTGCCAGTGTAACCTGTATAACTCCCTTTATAAGTTTTGCAACATTATTTGAGCTTATTGTTTTCATGTAGCCTATCCAGTGAACACTGAAGCCTGGGGCTTAAAGAGTTTAATTAATGAAGTGTAAATCCTATATGATTAGCCAAAAAAAAAAAAAAAGGAAACATCTTGGCAAACGCATTCAAGCCATCACCCAGAGTTTATTTTTTGTGTGTTGACTCAAAAGCAGTCTGTTCGGACTTGTGATATATTACTAAATCATTTCTTGGCCAATGTTCACACAATAGCTTTGTGTGTGGCTGGTGACAAATTTGTTCAGTTGCTATATTGTTTTTTATAACACTATCAACATTCCACAGCTTAATTACTGCCATTTATTTTTATCAATCATATAAAACAAAATATGCATTAAAAAAGATAGTTTAATCACTTTTTACATTTTTTTTCCAGGGTTCCACTTCCCTTCTCTGTACTTATTCCAATCAGGAACTGGCTGAGATTTTCACAGCCAATCTCTGTCACCCTTATCTTGCTACTCAGGAGTTACGGAGTGTGTGCATTGCATATTTACTTCACAAAAAGAATGCTCTCTAAATACAACACATTTGCTAAATATCTGCCTGTTCTTCGTGGAGATGGCATTGTGTGGATGCAACCAGAAGAAAAATTCAATTAAATACTGGCAAACGACAAAAGAAAATAGACATTGCGGTCATTACTCCTATACAATACCAGCAGGCTTATTTACTAAAATGAGAATTGCTAGGAATTCAAAGTGAATTCAAATTGATTTCCAAATGTAAGGCCTTAGTAGCCGAACTGAAAGCATAGCTTGCTTGGAGATATTTCCTCTCGGGAATTTGAATTCCTGACAATCTCCACTTCAGTAAATAACCCTGAAACAGAACTTGTAAAGAAGACAGGAAACTGCAAAATTGTAGTCACCAATGAAGAACGAAGTGATAGCAGAGCTATTCCTTGTGATGGCTGCCCATAAACAGCACTATCAAAATGAGATCCAACTTGTTGGGATTTTCCTGAGATACTCTGCTGATAATGAAATACTGTACGTAAATCCCCATTACTTTTACCGATGGTGTATACTATACATAACTATTTTATAAATGTATATATATTTATATTTTTGTTTGTTTAAGTGCTTTAAAATCAGCAGACCATTTCATCTTATTGAAGTGGTCTGGGTGCAGTGTCTCTGCCCCCCTTAGTCCCGTAATGTAAAACTTTGCTGTTTTAGAGAAACTGCAATGTTTACATTGCAGGGTTAAGACTGCCTCTAGTGGTTGTCTACCAGAAAGCAACTAGAGGCGCTTCCTAAAGTTTCACACTCTGCATGAGCTTGTCCAGCATCAGAGAAAACTCCACAGTAAAGCATTGAAGCAATGCCTTCCCATGAGGAAAGCCTAATGCTCATGCTGCCCTCACCGCGCATGCACATTAGGTCACCCAATCGGGCTGAGGAACACGTATAGGACTTATTAAGCTGCAGTAGTGTATATGTTTTTTTGCTACTTTGCACACTGTTTGTATAACGTACTGTTTTTATAGTATATTTTATTAATAAAACATTTTTGAAGATTACCCCAAGTCTGCCTGTGGATGAATTACCGTAGCCAGTATTGGTACCCTGAAGCTGTTTATATAAAGCCTGGCATGACTGTACACTTGTGAGTGTAATTATACCATTGGTTTTTTTTTTATTGCTATTTTACAGATTACACCATGTGTGGCAATATTTCTTTTTTGTGCTGTACTATCACCTACAAGTGGACATCTACTGTGTTACATACTGTGAAGCATATTTTACCTTCCATTTGGCACTGGGTGTTGTGTATAATAGTTCAATAACTACAATCCATATATATGCAAATATAATATGTTTACACACAAATGCATCTATATAGATTTTTTTCAATTATTCCACACATTCTTCTACACACATGCATTCACACGTACACTGTCACATGTAATTACACAGATACACTCACAAAATTCAACAAAACAGTTATGGCATTCATCCAAAAAAAAAATCTCCTGAGTGCTAAATAGCAACAAAAAAGGAAATGTATATTAAACCCATTATGTTTACCGATGGTGTATCTATAACTATCTATAACTATTTTAGAAAGATATTATTTTTTTCTCTTTTAGGTGCTGTATTGAAATTATTTAAAGCTAGAATGATGAAGGTAATGGTCTGTAAAATATAATTTTTGTTGTGCACCATTAACTCCATAATTTTCAATTTATTAAAAGAGTGTAACCCTGCAGGGTGTTTTCTAACTTTAAACATAAACACCAACTTGGGAAACACAAAACGAATAATAAAAGGTCAATTATGTTACGTATAAAATGGCAAACTGTGTATGAACAGCATTAATGCACTAAAGGTGTCCTCAAGGACTGCAGTGCAGAGAAATTAGAAACACTGTATACGTACGGAATAAATTAAAGGGACACTATAGTCCCCAGAACAACTGCAGCTAACTGCATTTGTTCTGGTGAATATAATCATTCCCTTCAGGAATTTTGCAGTAAACACTGTCTTTTCATAGAAAATGCAGTGTTTACATTACAGCCTAGTGATACCTCTACTGGCTACTCCTCAGATGGCTGCTAGAGGTGCTTCCTGGTGCAGTGCTGCACAGTGTGCAGTACTGCAATTCAGTGTCGCCATCCTCTGCATGCAGACACTGAACTTTCCTCATAGAGATGCATTGATTCAATTCATCTCTATGAAGAGATGCTGATTGGCCAGGGCTGTGGTTGACTTGTGCTGGCTCTGCCCCTGATCTGCCTCTTTGACAGTCTCAGCCAATCCTATGGGAAACCATTGTGATTGGCTCGGACCACCACTTCTGATGAGATCAGCAGACAGAGGCAGGTCAGAGGCAGAGCCAGAAGCTGCAGACTTGAATACAAGTACGATTTTACTATATTTGGGGGGCAATAGGCAAAGGGGTCAGGAGAGCTAGATGGTGGTTTTAACACTATAGAGTCAGAAATACATGTTTGTGTTCCTGCCCCTATAGTGTTTCTTTAAACATAGAAGAAAAACATTTAATTGGAAAATGTGATATGAGACAACAGAATACACAAGAGACATGTACATTGTCAGGGTTATTCAATAAAGGGTGACTTGTAGGGAATTTATTGTGAATTTAACATTAATTTTAAATTATGGACCACTATTGCTGAAAATAAAACATAGCAGATTTTTTTCCACTCACCAGTCTATCCAAGATCATAGTGCTCGCTGGGACCAAGAGGCCAAATTGAATGTCAAGAGCAGAGGCTGACATGTTAAGGAGGCTGACATGCATGGTGTGCCCATGCAATACAAGTACTTGGATGATTGAGTGGAATCGTTTCGGTTTCCCCAAGGAAGAATTAGAGTGTGGTTGCTGGGCATTTAAAAGAAATTAAAGAAAACAGCAGGGATTTGAGCAGTAAGTTTACAAGAACAATAATTTGTAGTGTTTATGTTGTCTAAAGTGTCTTTTTAAATGCTGAGTGGATAGAAAAACAGACATGAACATTGCAGGTATACATTATTCTGCAGAGGCCCATATAAAACAGAGCAGCATGCCAAGGTATACATTGCAGCTAATTGTGATTGTTTATTTAATCCATTCCATAGGTTAGAACCTCCAGATGCTTTTTTTGTAATATAGAACAGAAAATAGTTGCAGGTTTTAATAGTAATGTACCATCTGAATAAATATGATTAAAAAGAACTATAAGTATGTGCTTTCATGGACTTGTAAGATAGGCACTTGTAAAATGAGTAATGCTAAGCATCCGCTTAAAGAGGAAATGTAATTTCTCTGGATCCTTAATATTATATTTACATATCTTCTATAATTAGAAATACATTTTTGAAAGGTGCAAAGAATAAATGTAGAAATCCACATCTGTTTACCCTATTTTATTGGCCTCCAGAAGATCCTTTGCACCAAGAGAAAGATTAAAGGGACACTATAGTTACCAAAACAACTTTAGCTTAATGAAGCAGTTTTGGTGTATAGAACATGCCCCTGCAGTCTCACTGCTCAATTCTCTGCCATTTAGGAGTTAAATAACTTTGTTCATGAACCCTAGTCCCCACACCCTGCATGTGACTTGAACAGCCTCCATAAACACTTCCTGTAAAAAGTCATCTACAGTTTATCTTTCCTTTATTGCAATTTCTGTTTAATTTAGATTTTCTTATCCCCTGCTATGTTAATAGCTTGCTAGACCCTTTTGTATGTGATTGAAGTTCAACTTACAGAGAATGAGATACAATTATTTAAGGTAAATTACATCTTATTGAAAGTGAAACCAGTTTTTTTTTTCATGCAGGCTCTGTCAATCAGAGGGGAGGTGTGACAAGGGCTGCATTAACAGAAAAAAAGTGATTTAACTTCTAAATGTCAGTGAATTGAGCAGTAAAACCTCAGAGGCATGATCTACACACAAAAACTGCTTGATTAAGAGGGGGAGATGCTGGGGGGTGAAAGGGAGAGGAAGAGGGAGGAGAGTTCCCCAGTGCCGAGGGAAGATGCTGGGGGGAAAGAAGAGGAGAATTAGTTCGGACAACTGTAAGAGTTGTTTTTTCTAAACTTAAACCTCAGTATTCAGGTTTAATTGCCGTGTTGGCATTTTGAGGAAATAAAGTTGGCATGTATTGCGGTTTGGGCACTCGGGCTCAAAAAAGTTCGCCATCACTGGCCTAGCCCCTGAATGCTAGGCAGCTGCCTAAGGTCGCCTTATGGTTAATCCTGCTCTGACTTTTTCCACATTGCAGTCAGTAAAGAAAAAGCATACAGAGAAGAGGAGTAATTAAACAGATGGCCACTAGAGGCGCTTCCTTGCTGCTAACAGACTTTTGGTCCACTGACTCTCTACGTCCTCACACTCTGCATGAGGACATCCAGCATCAGCTATTTCCAGCATCAGCTATTCAATGCTTTCCTATGGGGAGGCCTAATGCACACACAGCAATTGCCGCGCATGTCAATTAGTGCCCACTTGTCAAAAGACATAAGACGAGGTGAAGCCGTGACCCTGATAAAGTAAGTAAATAAAAGGTTTTTAACCTTTTACTCACGTGTGTGGGGGGCACGAGGGAGGGCGGAGGAAGAGGAAGCTCTAGTGCCAGGAATACAGCTTTGTATTCCTGACACTTATAGTATCCCTTTAATGTGTTTTACACCCACCTGATAAAGTCTGTAAGTGGAGTAGTCAATGGAAGAATCCACTCCTATGCCAAAGGTCACAATGCTGAAGAACAACACTCAATTACAATCCTACAGAGAGTTAATAATATAATCTGGCCTAATAGAAGTCTGTGCACCATTTCTGCAAGGCCAAAGGCCAGGTTGCTATTTCCAGAATTTGTGTGCGTAGACTCCATTTGGTTCTTAGTTCATAATAAACTGTTGTTAAGGAGAAGCCTTCCATTCCATGAAGGTATGTAAGAATACATTGCAGGGATTCCATGGCAGCATGCCCCATAAACAAAGGTCCCGGGGACAGCTGGGTCGACAAGTAAAAAATCATTTTTATTTTTTTTTGTTTGCACAAATCTAATATTTTTGTGCACAAAGCTAATATTAGGAGTATTACCTATGCAGCACTTGTGGAATATGGGTCTGACAGATGGGACCTGCACCAGGTGTTACACTGTATATCCCAGAATAGAATTGTCAGGAATTTAAAATTAAAGTCCATAATAGTTGAACTGGAAAAATTCAACTGTGTGAATTCCAGACGATAGTCTAGTAGCCCAAGTTACTGTAGCCTTCTGGCAGGGCCAGATTAAGGACTTCATGGACATGGTTCTGAGGATTTTGGTGGGCTTCATTGTGAAAATGCATGAAATGAAAAATGCAGACTAAACTTTAAAATTATCTATATACGAATCATATTAGAAACCTATTGAAAACATTCATTCATTCCTAGTTCATAATAGAAAATAGTATTATTAAAGGGACACTATACTCAAAAGAACTACTAATTCTTAATATAGTGATTTTGGTGTACAGGGCCTGTCCTTGGAGGAAGAGCATTGTAAACCCTGTCTTTGTACTGCTGCTCGAAAGCCAGCCATTACAGGCACTTCCTGGACGAGGTCTTGCAATCTTTGCGGGATCTACGTTCAGTAGGCACGTGCATGGGGAAAATATTCGGCTAGGTTCGGCATTCCGAAATTCGGGACTTCGTCAATTCGGCACTTCGACACTTCAGAACTTCGGCAACTTCACCACTTGGACACTTTGGCACTTTGACACTTCGGAACTTCGCCACTTCGGAACTTCGGCGGGTGGGGGCCCTAAAGTAAAAAAAGGGGGAAGGACCTATTGTCCTCCCCACCCCTGAGTGGCGGGTGGGGGCCCTAAATAAAACTTGGGGGGGAACCTAATGTCCTCCCCTCTGGCCCCCACCCCTGAGCAGTGGGGGCCCTAAACTAGAATAAGGGGGGGACCTATTGTCCTCCCTCTGGCCCCCACCCCTGAGCAGTGGGTGGGGGCCCTAAATACAAATTGGGGAGGGGGACCTAATGTCCTCCCCCCTGGCCCCCACCTCTGAGTGGCAGGTGGGGGCCCTAAATACAAATTGGGGGGGACGGGGCCTATTGTCCTCCTCCCTGGCCCCCCACCCCTGAGCGGTGGGTGGGGACCCTAAACTAGAATAGGAGGGGGACCTAATTTCCTCCCCCCTGGCCCCCACCCCTGAGCGGGCCCCCACCCACCTTAGCGGGTCTTTCAGCCTTTTAGTAGATAGCTCCCTAATACCGTGGGAATTAGGGAATTATCTACTTATTCATTCCTGTCATTACACTGACTGGCTAAGTAACTTACATTTTATATGAATGTGTGTTACTTGATTGTTGTAAGTGTTGCAAACGCTTACAGCTGAATCCTGGCTATGTTTGTATACTTTTTATTTAAAATTGTATACAATGTAACATTCTTCTTCTTTCACTGGGTAAGTATATTAGTACTTAGGCAATACTGTGCTTCGGCACTTCAACACCTCGGAACTTCGGCACTTCAGCAATTCGGCACTACTACACTTCGGAAATTCTGTAATTTTGGCACTTCGGCAATTCAGCTATTCGGACATTCGGAAGCACCCGAATGGTATCGGCAACCCACGAAATGTAAAAAAAAAAAATAATAATATTAAGACTGACCTTTGTGTGCAACTAAAAAATATGGAAACACTAACAGAGAGAGAGCATTAAAGGGGCTCTCCAGTGCCAGGAAAACAAATCAGTTTTCCTGGCACTGCAGTGCCCTTCCACCCCCATCCCTTGTTGCTGAAGGAGTTAAAGGACCACTATAGTGCAAGGAAAACAAACTCGTTTTCCTGGCACTATAGGGTCTTTAGATCCCCCCCACCCTCATGATCCCCCTCCTGCAGGGCTGAAGCGGTTAAACTTTTACTTTTCTCCAGCGCCAGGCTCCCTTGGCACTGGGGAACTCTCCTCCCTCTTCCGACGTCAGCTTTGAATGCGCATGTGCGGCATACAATCAGTCCATAGGAAAGCATTTCTCAATGCTTTCCTATTGACGTCAGCGTTTTCTCACTGTGAAGCGCCTCTAGTGGCTGTCAATGAGACAGCTACTAGAGGCTGGATTAACCCTCTGAAACTGCTATGTTTACAACTGCAGGGTTAAAACTAGAGGGACCTGGCACCCAGACCCCTTCATTGAGCTGAAGCGGTCTGGGTGCCTATAGTGGTCCTTTAAAAACCCTTTAGTGATTTACATTAATCGAGCACCGATGTCCCTCGGCGCTGGGTCAGGCTCCGCCCACGCGGCAATGGCCGCACACGCATTAGACCTCCCCATAGGAAAACATTACTCAATGCTTTCCTATGGGGATTCCGGCGACGTTGGAGGTCCTCATGCATAGTGTTTTTCGTGTTTTGCTTTTTCGTGTTTTAAGAAGCCGGAAGTCCCTTTAGTGGCTGTCTGATAGATAGACAGCCACTAGAGGAGGACTTATCCCTGCAAGGTAATTATTGCAGTTTATAAAAACAGCAATAATTACATTTGCAGGGTTAAGGGTGATGGGAGTCGGCACCCAGACCACTACAATGGACAGAAACGGTCTGGGTGCCTGGAGTGTCTCTTTAACTGATCATTATTTACTAAAGTGAGACTGGTCAGGAGTTCAAAGTAAATTTTAATAGTGAAACCAAAGTAGCCAAACTGGAAGCACTGCTGACTAGGGGAGTTTTTCCAACCTAGTTTTTACCTAATTTTATCTTTAATTTGAAATTCACTTTCTCATTGTATTGATTGACCCTGTCAGTAATGGGTTAATAGATGAGGGTTATTGTTGACAGGGTCACTGGAGGGTCTCAGAAACCATCATGCTGTATGTTATTGGAAGGAAATATCTACCACACGGAGTGTTACATAAAATGACATTATAGTGGGGCAGTGTGGGGGTAAAACTCCAGAGGGTGCTCTGACAGGGTTAGTGTTATATTAATCACACATTAAGAGATATTTATTAATAATAATAATAATAATAACTGTGACAGTGATAGCTCCAGCTCTCCATACATGGGCAGCCACCAGGCTCTGCAGTTATTTATTAAGAGACCTAGGAGAGGTGGGCGGGGTCAGCGAGGGGGAGTGGGCGGGGTCAGTCCGGGCGCACAAAGTCCATAAAGGTAGCTTCCCCGGCTGTTCTAAAACTAAAACTCCCGTGATGCTTTGCGGCTAGCTCTCCCTCTCCATCCCATCCCACACATGAGGCTGTGTCCCTGGCGGTCTCCTCCACGCACCAACCCACTGAAAGCAAGGGGCGTGGCTAAGTAGGCCACGCCCACACCGTCCCTCCGCCCCCCCTTGTTTAACCCCCAGGATTCACAGTGCGCGGTGCGGACGGAGTGCGGTGCTGGGCATTCCCCGAGCGGCTACGGCGTGCGAGGAGTTAAGGCGGTGCATGCTGGCAGCGCAGTGACCCGCAGCCCGCCGGAAGGACTCGGAGCGGGGGGTGCGCGCGCACTGGCCCCCGGGAGCCCACAGACAGACAAACAGACAGACAGACAGACAGGCTGGTTCCATTACCCCCCCTCTCTCTCTCACTGGAAGTTCTATCCTGGTTCTATCACAGTCTCTGCGTGGAGTAGTGCGGGCAGGGAGCGGGCGCACGGCAGCGGCAGCCCCCAGGATAATGCATGCGGATTGCAGGCCGGCATGGAGCTGTGCGCTGTGTCTGTGAGCCGGCTGCTCACTCTGATCCTCGTCTGCTCGCTCTGCCGGAGTACCAGCGCACAGAACGGTAAGCAGACTGCAACCCCTGTCACTCTCAGCCAGTGGAGAATTACAACCCCCAGCATGCTCAGCCAGCCCTGGCCGGCTCACACTTTGCACACACAGTTATGGACTGTGGCTCCCAGCATGCTCAGCCAGCCCTGGCCGGCTCACACTTTGCACACACAGTTATGGACTGTGTCTCCCAGCATGCTCAGCCAGCCCTGGGATCTGTATGTGATGGGCTGTGTGTGTGTCATTGATGGTTATTGTCCCCATACCCATCCAGCCATCACCATATGGGGAGGTAAATTATAGCTAAACTGTGCTGCACTCCAGGGTCGCCATGCTCCCCCACTCATTGTTTGGACAGGTCATTGATGGCTATTCTCTTACAGACATTACTTTATGGGTAGCTCACTGATGGCTGTTTGTTAATTACACTATCCATGCAGATCTAGCCATTGGTGTGTGGGTAGGTGTGCATGCAGATCTAGCCATTGGTGTGTGGGTAGGTGTGCATGCAGATCTAGCCATTGGTGTGTGGGTAGGTGTGCATGCAGATCTAGCCATTGGTGTGTGGGTAGGTGTCTATGCAGATCTAGCCATTGGTGTGTGGGTAGGTGTCTATGCAGATCTAGCCATTGGTGTGTGGGTAGGTGTCTATGCAGATCTAGCCATTGGTGTGTGGGTAGGTGTCTATGCAGATCTAGCCATTGGTGTGTGGGTAGGTGTCCATGCAGATCTAGCCATTGGTGTGTGGGTAGGTGTCCATGCAGATCTAGCCATTGGTGTGTGGGTAGGTGTCCATGCAGATCTAGCCATTGGTGTGTGGGTAGGTGTGCATGCAGATCTAGCCATTGGTGTGTGGGTAGGTGTGCATGCAGATCTAGCCATTGGTGTGTGGGTAGGTGTGCATGCAGATCTAGCCATTGGTGTGTGGGTAGGTGTGCATGCAGATCTAGCCATTGGTGTGTGGGTAGGTGTGCATGCAGATCTAGCCATTGGTGTGTGGGTAGGTGTGCATGCAGATCTAGCCATTGGTGTGTGGGTAGGTGTGCATGCAGATCTAGCCATTGGTGTGTGGGTAGGTGTGCATGCAGATCTAGCCATTGGTGTGTGGTAGGTGTGCATGCAGATCTAGCCATTGGTGTGTGGGTAGGTGTCATATGCAGATCTAGCCATTGGTGTGTGGGTAGGTGTCTATGCAGATCTAGCCATTGGTGTGTGGGTAGGTGTCCATGCAGATCTAGCCATTGGTGTGTGGGTAGGTGTCCATGCAGATCTAGCCATTGGTGTGTGGGTAGGTGTCCATGCAGATCTAGCCATTGGTGTGTGGGTAGGTGTCCATGCAGATCTAGCCATTGGTGTGTGGGTAGGTGTCCATGCAGATCTAGCCATTGGTGTGTGGGTAGGTGTCCATGCAGATTTAGCCATTGGTGTGTGGGTAGGTGTCCATGCAGATCTAGCCATTGGTGTGTGGGTAGGTGTCCATGCAGATTTAGCCATTGGTGTGTGGGTAGGTGTCCATGCAGATCTAGCCATTGGTGTGTGGGTAGGTGTGCATGCAGATCCAGCCATTGGGGTGTGGGTAGGTTGGTCTGTGGTGGGTAATGTTTGGTGCTGCTATTGTAGTTTACATGTAAGTCCAGCTGCTTCTCTGTGCGTCTGTCAAGGGTGGCTAATGTTTGGCAGTCCAACAGTAGTGGACTACGGCATTCATCCGGAAGACATGAAGCAAAAAAGTTTAGCAAATAGGTGTCTGTGCATCAGAGAGAATGATGCTTGATGCCTAAAAGCTGACCCTTTTGTGGGACATTGGATAGAATGCATCTATAGTAACCCTACAGATGTATAGAATTCATGGAATGGATTATGGTATGACATTGGACAGGGCATCAGAAATCTCACACCACATTCACCTAAGCCAAAGAGCTAAAGGTTGGATTTAACCGGTGTAGAAAACCTAAAAAATGAAAAAAAAAAATCACTAATCCACCCACTGAAAGTGAAATATATTTCATAAATAGCCCTTTTAAGCTGTGCTGAACACTTTGAGAACAGACCTGATAGTCTCAACTGCTATTAGAAATGAAGCAGAAATCTTTGCCAAATGTGTGAATTTATATTTTATTACTTTATAGTGACCTTATAAAATTTAAATATTGTGTGATCCAGATCATGCATTGTGTTAAAACACACTGGGGATCATTTTTGACACTTTTATTTTTTTTACATTTATGTTTACGAAGTTCTTCACCCTAGAGTCGCACTTCCTATGGTAAAAATTAACTCTGATATTGCACCCCTGAGTAATTCCCATCAGATGATGCATTGGACCTTCACTTTTTATATGTATTAAAATGCCAGTTACACAGAACTGGAGAATATATATATATATATATATATATATATATATATATTCATACTGTAATCCACAGTATACAATAGCAGAGTTAAAACGTCTGGCCAAAGTGATGATAAAAAATGCTTTCCATCTTGGCCAAAATAATTCATTAAATGCCCCTGGCTTTACAAAGGATTACAATAATTTGGTTATAGTGGATATTAGGAAGCTGATATGACTTTAAGGTGACTACACTCTGTCTGGCTGTATGTGCAATAGGGAAGACCGCACATTCACATCTCAGTGTGGCAATACTGGATGCAGTACAAAAACCGCCATCTCCAGTACAATAAGATAATGAAAATACTGTAACTCCATTTAGATTAAGTGAAGGCTTAATCCATTCAAAGTTACACCAAGGTCCACTTTTGGACACCCCTAGATTAAACAGTCACCAAATCTAATTGGAGCTGCAGTGTTTTCATTATTTATTATTCCTTTTGGGTTTATGACTGTATCGGCTGTTTTGGAATCAGTTGTGTAATATTATGTGAGCTTTTACAAATTATTTTGCAATGATGGAGAGAGGGATGTTTATCCTAAAACTGGTGTTTGGTGGTACTATCGAAGTCAAGAGGAGAAAGAGAGACTTAATTGAATACATTAGATTGCCAGTCTCTAAAAGAGAACTGCACACTTGTGTTTAGTATCTTTATTTTTTTCATTTCAATGATATTTATGGTGTTAACATATTATGGTGCAATGGGAATATTAAAGCACAGGTCTACATATTAAAGTGGCCTCTCTTACTACATGTACAAAACTTGTCTTCAAACAGACATTGTGAATCACACGAGTATGTCAACAATTAAATTGACATGAGCTGCGAACATATTGATTGCCCAACTCCAGACACTGTGACCATACTGCAAATTATTTACTTCTCAGCACTGACTCCTTCAATTACTTCTTGGGCTAAATTCGATTTAAAATCCTTCTTTATCTGCATTCAATGGCTCTAGATTGTAATCATTTTTATACCTGCACTTACATTGTTCCTATGTCTTAAATCCCTGTTCCATAATATTTTAAAACCAAATAGCCAATATACACAAATGTTTATGCCTGTTATCAGTGAAGATTTTGATGTTTTCAACATAGTGGTGCTGGGTATTGGATGATGGCGTGGAAGAGGTTAAGCCTTGGTTTTGCAAGGTCCCTTAGAGGCTGAGTACTAATGAGTAACAGCCCTGCAGTGTCCTGCTGTGTGCTTTCCAAATAAAACACTGTTCTCTTCCTTAGCTGGACAGGCCTGTAGTCCTTCTTTGAACTGTATTGTCTATTTGTCCCTAAATTCTTTGAATAACCTTAGATCAGTCACTGTGCCACAGAATGGCTTATACTGGGCTGTAAACAACATTTTAAACCTTTTGAGTTCCAAAGGGATAGTGGATGCCATTATGCCTCCTACTCCAGACAGTGGATGTTCTTTTACTGTTTTTAATATGCATATTGTTGTGTTTTGCATGTTGTCTATATGTTTAACCACAGTATCCTTTAATATTAAAGATGAAATGACTTAAAAATGAGTAATACCAGTAATTCTAGCACAATTTGGCAACATCTGATGTGTACACTATGTTAAGGGAGCTATGGTGTGAAATTCTACTTCTGCAGAATGACCAAAGACTGGACTTCTAAAATGACAAAATCAGCACTAAAGTAATAATAAATTTAAAAAAAACAACAACTTTTATTTCTTCATATCAAAAAATAGCTTGCACAGACGTCCATAGGGGGAAGTACCGGAAAACAGGATCACTGTCTTAACACATTTCATACAATTAGTACTTCATTCGAGATGCCGTTTCCCAGTACTATGATTTCCCCTGTGGTCTTCTATATATAAATTTTTTTTTTTTTGGAAGAAATCATTTATTTATTAACTACTTGGGGTGATGTGTTTTGTTTTTTTTGCATTCCCCAAAATTTATGGCAGTCTTTTTGTTAGTGTCCTTTTAAATCTAATCGTCAAGGAAAGATTGAGAGAAGGGATGGTGCTAAAGTTATTTTCTGGTGTACTTGACTGTTAATACTTCTGCAGCTTCTATGGACACATACATTTATATTTCTAGTACATCTGACAATCACTGAAATAGCCAATTAACTATGCTTAGCCTTAGAGCCATCCCTACATTACATTTAATCCTTGTATCCTTGGTCTGTCTAGGTCTTATTTCAAGCTTGCAAACAATGGCCTTATCTTTCTTTTTATTATGAAGTTCATGGCTAGAATATCAGCCTTCCAACTCCTAAAGCATTTTATATACACAGTCTGCAGATTGATTGTTCTTGAGTATTTGACATTTATTTTTATGAAAAGATATTATACAATGACCTGCTCTAGTTTGTTGGCCATGATGACACTGAGGCTTACACAGGTTACATAAAAAAAAAAAAATATATAATTCTTGGCAAATACAAGGTGAGAAAATAATTACAGTATAAGGAAACATATGCGCAGATTCACAGTCATCAACAAATTATTCTTTTATTTAGGGGTCCTTATTTTGCAATACTGTGTATTCCTTTTTTTAATTTTTTTTTCTATTTTTTTTTCTCCTCTCTAGGTTTTCTTGTCACATTGCCACAGTCAAGTGGAATACTTGATATTCAAGTGTAATTTTGATAAATTGTTTTTTTTTGGTTTTTTTGGTTAGACTTTTTTTTTCCCCAAAAAAAGTTACGCCTTCAGCTATTGTAAAGCTATGCCATGATGCTTTGCAATCCTTAAACACTTCAGACGTCATGACAATGTATACCATGATAGGCTAGGAGCATGCATGTGACTCTCTCAGCCTATTCTTGTTCCACAATTTATGCTCAAGTTAATAAGGAAGTGTTAGCCAAAAGTGGAGGCACCACCAGAGTTTGGAGACCCAGTTTCAACTTTAGACCCTAATTGACAGGTCTCATTAAATGTTTGATAAACTTCTCTTTAAATTCTTTATGCCTTTTGGTTGTCTGTACAAATGCAGTAATTGTCACATTTCCATTCAATACAGTTCTGAGATCGCTTCAACTAGATCTATGATTATTTCAATTTTTTGGCATGGTTTATACTGACTTCATAATCTCCACGTTGAATGTATCGCACACATATTTTTCCCATGTATGTTTTACAGTAAGCGCTCTATCTTTTTTACACTTTGAAAGGATTCACATCTTTACAATCCATACATCTGTTATGGTACAGGAAGGTCCCTTGCCCGAAAGTGTCTGTCTTATTATGAAATGCTCAGAAAGACTGTGTTCAAATTCCATTGCAGTCAAAAAAAATTATAAGACAAAGTAGGAACCACTTTCTTATATTTTTTTTTTTTTTCCTACACTTGTCAACGACTGACAAAAAGGCTGCCTCTGTCAAACACTCAGCCATTCCTTGTGACTGCTAAGGGGAAAAGACGGCTCCATAGACATGTGTAGTCGTCTCGTGGGTGTGCGAGAGTACAGCGCTGATGTCAGCTCCAGGTAGGTAAATCGCCAGTAACTGGGCAGGACCTTCCCCAATACTCTTGAGCAACTGCACTGCAAGTGGAGCTGTTATCATCTGGGATCTTTACAAAATATGCAAAGACCCCAGAAGGTGACACGGCCTTTTATTAGTTTGTTTTTGCAGGGTGGGATAAAAAAAGACGTCAGTATAGCAAGCTAATAGAAGCTGTGGTGTGGTTATTCATTTGTGCAGTGATTTTTGATTCATGAATGAAATTACTGAGGAGTGCATAGCTTCCCAATCCCAATTGGTACATTCTAAGATGTACTTTTATATACTGCCATATTTGTAGTGTTACAAACCCAGGAATGTGCTATAAATAATAACTTTGCAACTATGCATTTGCTATTTATTTTTTTTTGGCTTGCACAAGCCAAACTGTTTTACCTGAATCCAGCGCCTATGTCCGTCGGCGCTGGGTTTGGCACCGCCCATGCTCCTCCCGTGCTGACGTCAGCCGGCAGGGGAGACAGTACGCGGCAACGGCCGCGCTCACATTAGGATTTATCAATGCTTTCCTATGTGGAAAAATTTGACGCTGGAAGTCCTCATTCAGAGCGCGAGGATGTCCAGCGTAGGATACTAGACCAAAGGTCTGTTTCGATTCCGTTGGCTCTCTAGTGGCTGTCTGGTAGACAGCCACTGAAGGCAGACTTAGAGCTGTAATATTTTACATTGTAGAAGTAAATGCAAAAGGGACACAGCACCCAAACCACTTCAATAAAATGAAGTGGTATGGGTGCCTACAGTGTCCCTTTAATGTTGATCTCAAGTCAAGTGCTCTTTAAATGCATTACCTCTATAATAAATGAAAAGAAAGTATCCAGGCCTTTGTTCTATTTACACAAATGTAGTTACTGTTTTATTCTTTTGCTCTGCATTTCTTTGTAAGCCATTCAATCTTATGCACCATAGGCTTTCACATGTGGGAGTGCTAGCTCTGTAAATGCTAGGTGGTGAATAGTGTAAGGAATATAGCAATATTCTGGTTTCTCATATTACTTTGTCTGGTTTAAAAATAAAATAAAAATAAATATCTATATCTATATCTATATCAAGGCATAATATCTTCTCAGTTGTGAAAGCTCAGCACTCAATAAAATAAGCCAAAAGTGACATGATATTATTTAATATTACGTATAGATTCATGTTTTTTTGTTAATAGTATTAGGAATTCAAATGTGTATATTGCCAGCACTCTCTTGCCCTAATCACCGTTTAGGTAATCAGTCCCAACCACTGCCAATGTTAAAAAGGTGCTTTTACTTCCCTTTTCTCCCTCGGCGTACTGGTCTCTGGTGTGCAGCCCCTTATTTGGTTGAGATCAATGATCTCTGGCAATCCAACACGATCACATAGGAAGCTAGTGCGCATGAGACCACTACTTTGCACCTCAGGTGTCGTTGCCATTAAAAAGGGAGGGGGGGGGACATGGCACTTATGCCACTTCGTTGAGATGAAGTAGTCTGGGTGCCTATAGAGTTCCTTTAAATGTATTAAGAGTAACTTGTAGTTGGCATACACCCACTCAACGTTCAGAAAGGCTGTCACAAAGCAAATGTGCAGTTGTTTGGCCACATTCTGCACTCGTATCAAAGAAAAAATATATCAAACAACAATAATCTCAGAGAGGTCTTTGGCCTTTTATTTTATTGTTTTAATTTCATAACTCTTCTTAAAAAGGACCTGTGACCTTTTGCTATTTCTCCTAATCCACTAAATACTAATGATGTTTTTGTGTATGTGTTTATATATTTATTTATTTTTTATTTCTGGAGTATAGCATAGCTAAGAATTATGTGAACTTGCCTATAAGAAACTACTGAGATCTGGCCCAGCCAGTAAATGTCTGCGCTGACATCTTATTACACTATGCTTGATCATGGTTTGCGTGCTCAGACATTCCACTGATTATGCCTTGAATGTGCGCGTGCCCCCATGGGTCTGCATGGCATTATGGTATTCATGATAATTCATGATCAAAACTGCATTAACACAAGTAACAATTTAGCTATAAATCATTCATGCTACGCCTCATCTGTCTCAAAATTACCTGTAAACAAAGCCCTAGTGTAGGCCACTTCTCCTTGCTTTATCCATTTGTTGTAATCCTTTTAACCTACTAGGAACAAACATACTAGGATACCAGTAATAGCTTATTATTTAAACATAAACCCTGCAGTGCATCCGAACAAGAAAATAATGAATTGAAACGATTATGATATCCAGAGCAGCAATGCACTGGTGTAAAAAATAAATACAATTGCTAAATCTTTTATTTTTGTGATTGTATGCGTAATGGTTTACAGATTCCTTCCTGCAGTTGGTTAATTGTGTTTGTGATCTTTAATTAAAGGGAAACAATTTAAAAGCACGGCTTACTGGGGGTAGCAATTATGTTTGTTTAGCAGACTAACACTGCAGTAATTTTATATTTTTAATCACTCTCTTCTTTTTATATGATCATCTTTCTTGTGAAATCTAGCCGTAGCGTCTGTCTGTCTCTCTCTCTCTCTTCTATCTATATTATGTTGCAGGTTTTGTATAAAATCCTGATTTAGGCACTGGCAATAAAAAGAGCTGAATGCAAAGATGGACTGTCACTTCTTTGGAAGTTATATAATACTGTGAAGAATGCTTATAAGTTATGTTAAACCTTTTTTCCCATGTGATTTAATTTTTTTTTCAATGATCTATAATTTCCAGAGTAGTGACATCTCCCCCTATAAGCTCTGTATTTCTTAAGACCGTTTGATTGCATAGCTATCACTTGGGATATCATACTTGCTTTGCTTGTACCCCATATACACCAGAAAAAAATACTTATTGACCAACTTTATTTTGCGATTTCTTCATTCTAGAGCATGGGAGAGAGATATATATTTTCCGAAACCGAAAAGGCTGCTTTTATGTTTTTGTTTATAGTAATTTAGTTTTGTGTAGAGATTCTTTCAAATAGACTCATGCTCTTTGTATGCTTTGTTTGTATCTGCTTTAGTTAGTCTGTTGGCATATTCTAATTATTCCATTGTGGTTTACCTTTAGAAGCAATTCACCAAGACCTGCCTTTGCCTTGGTAACCTCTGTAGAAACCAGAAAGTTTTTGAGACGTCAGAAAATGGCCTAGGCTGTGTATCTATAGTCCTATCAGGTCTATGTAATATGCCATATCGTTCCCGGCCTTCTTTTGAACACTTAGCATGTGGCAAACTGTGTCTGAGTAGTTTTATTAATGAAAAGCTATGCATGCACAGTCTTAGACCTGACTTGGAGTGTATGTCTCTTCGAGACAGGGCATCTGTATCTACTGTGAACACCAAATAAAACCAATAAAAGAATGTCTTTGTCAAATATGCATAAACAACACCTTAGTGCCATTTCGCACAGCATATGAATAATTATATATTGCTTGAAAGATGCAAAATTGACTTAATCCGTAGTATATGTAAACAAAAAGACAAACCATGCATCTACTGTTCATTGCACTGATTTGTCCTGGTCTTCTTTTTTATATACCACTGATTACCTCAATATCGCATCTTTCTGGCAAAATCTAATTATTCATAAGTTGCGTTGATGCATATTTTTGTTTAGATGCATTTTCTTTGTTTTATTTATTTATTTTTGCGGCTGTCAGTCAGCATAGATAGGAGAATTAACTGTCGTCACAGTGATTTCGAATGTTTTTTTTTTTTTTTTATTAATTATGGTTGCGCTTAGGGATTGGTTTCATCCATTTACTAGACCAACCACTCCTTCAAATACATTGAGACGTATGTGTTAAAGGGGCAAGCCAGGTACTGATATGCCTGTATATTTAAAGGGAAACCATAGGGAAAAAACTGCCCCTTATTATTTGTATTACATAGGTAATGCATTTGAAAAGACAATGCCAGAAATGCTATTTATTTACAATCAGTTACCCTTTTAAACTTCCCTGCAAATGCACAGTTTAACCAAAGAGTGGCATCCAATCACGACATCTGATCATTATGGTCAAGAATGTATATGGGATTCATTCTAAACCCAAAAACATCTGTTCATTAGGAATATATGGGGGGAGTAGTTTATCCCCAAAGAGCGTTCCAGTAACCACATGAGCATAATTGTACAAGCTCTAAAAACAGCAGCCAACCTGGAGCGGAGTGTTCTGATTGACAGCTCTGAGGGGCTGTCATAGAGGTGCTGTGACTTTTACAAATCACTGCTGTCAGAGCTAAGCGTATTGGATGCTCTGTGTACTATCAGACTTGCAATTATGCACTCCTCTGGTGCTCCAAGTGATCCACCATGAGAATGGAGGGGGCATGCGCAAGGGGGATTGCAGCATTCTGCAGGGATAATTTTTTTTATTTTTTCCAAATACTGTACCTGCATATATGATGTCACCACCTGCTTTTTGTGCATTACTGCTAAATGTCAGTGTTTCTCCAGTAACCTAGTTGTTCATGTCATCATGGATAAAAGCAATCTTTTCTAAGAGTTGTAGTTCAGCTAAAAGCATGCAAAAGTATGAAGCAAATATACGAATTACAACTTTCAACTACCTCTGTAATATTCATAAAGCTAAGCTGGGCAGGCTTTAAGGAAATTGTCGGGTTTTTTTTTTTGGTTTCTTTAAAAGTGCCCTATAAAGTTATTGAATCGTCTTGATTGGTTGATCACTTGCTTGCCTGGGCAGTGCTAACTGCTGAAAATCTAAAGCTTGAGATTTAATTTCAAACACAGCAGCTTTAAATGTGAGTATCTTTTAACACTTTTAAATTGTGCCAATATGCACTCCATGTTTATTTAAATGTAACGCTCGTAAAACGTGCCCACTTGCCTTCCTGAACAACACAAAGGTGTTAGAATAAAGAAACACCCTCCACTTTATCAGTAGTGGAGCAGAAAACATCTGGGGAGCTGTGAACACCATGTTTTTATAGAACTTCCACTTTTCCCCCCTGTTACCGTTCTCATAGCACTTTGCTAGATGGATGTTTTATAGATCAATAAAGGGGATAGCTTTTTGGCACCGTAAGTGTCGGGAGCACTTCCACATTATAATCAGCCATATGGATGGATGAGCACAATGTCCTCCATCAGGCTAACTGAGACTCATGGGAAATGTAGTCCATAATGCTGTGCTAAAAGTCTGCTTTAAATGTGATTGATAAGGGCTTCAGACATGATGTGCCAGACCAGTGATGACTAATGTTGAAACCCTAAGCATTTTGGAGTGCGTTTTTCCTAGAAATGGGCTAACCCCAACAGCCTATACAAGCTCCATGATCGACAGCCTATACCTAGCCAAGTGCTGTCTAAGGGTAATGACATTTCTGTCTAGGGAGCTATCTGTTAGAAATGCATTGCTTATTGCTAGCATTGAAAAAACATTCCAAAATCAGATAGGAAAGGTTTGCCACCCAGGACCACAGACTGGAGGTTTTGGTATGGATAGTGGGGGTATGAACAGCAGGGTTGGTCTCATACCCCTTCTCTTTTTTTGCTTTTTAGGATCTCTATATCTCTATCCCTTTGTGATACACCCTTACAAAGTATTGTTTAACTTTGTTTAAAATTAAAATCTTAAAAAAAAAAAAAAATTAAAATTAAAAAAAAAACACACCCAGTAAGGTGTGTCCAGCTTATGAAACAAATGTTTTTTGTTTTCAGTATAAATAAATACAGTTTTAACATTTGAGCCGCTGTGTTTCGTGGCCTATTGCTGTCCGTGATATAGCCCTACTTGGATGTTGCAGAGTTAAATGTCTGTTTCAGCCAAGCATAAATGATTGTTTTGTTCCAAGAAAAATACTCTTGAGCTGCAGTGATAAGAAAATGTTGGATGAAAGTATGCCAGAGCGTTGTCCGTGTCTTCATGTGAACTCTCCGTGATCTGTGTGGAAGCGAAAATAGAGCCCTTGCATAGCCAAGAGTAGTTCTGAGAACATTACTGAATGCAGGCGTCTATGCTCTGACCTTTTAAAACAGATCTGTTCAAGTAAAATGTGACTATGTACTGCCAGCCTCTCTGATTATACAGTATTAATCATCACTGCAGTATTACAGCTCAGCCATTTTTGCGCATTTGTCCATTCTTGGTACTCCAGCAGGACAGCAAGTAGGCACATTGCTGTGAGTGCTGCTGGCGTGCAATCAGGAGGCCGATGCTATACGTTACTTCAACATATTCTATTGCTTGACAAGTGCAGTATAACTCTCGCTGTCAGCCATGGAAAGCAATAGTTCTTGTCTATAAAATATAAACCCTGCCAGGGACTATATCACCCTTTATATTTGTAGCATATATTTGGAGAAGCGTAGTGTCAGAATGCGGACTGGAATCACAGAATTGGTCATTTTCCAGAGTTTCCGAGCTATAAGTAATCTGATTACCCATTAGCAGTCAGATAATACTACGGTCTACTGATCTATCTGCAGCCAGTGAGTACTTGGTAAGGATAGCCCTATGCTGGTAAAATGTTTTTGAGTATCACATTATCATGCACGCTTTTTAGACTGAACATAATGCCTATATACCGGTTTTCCCCAAAAATAAGACCTCCTCTGAAATTAAGCCCTAGTTTATTTTCAGGGGATGCTTGTAATATAAGATGTACCCCGAAATTAAGCCCTAGTTGAGATGGTTGCTAATTCTGTAATCTATGTTCAGGGAAGTTTCCCCAAACATGCATTCGTGAGATTTCATGCGCTAGTAAGCTAATCTATGTTTGGGGGAATTCCCTTGAACGTAGACCTGCTTTCTTGCTACAGTTTTCCCCTGAAAATTAAGAAAAAAATAAAATAAAATAAACTACTTTTTTTTACATTTATTTATTTTTGAATGCCTCTGGAATAAAATAGGTCTAGGCTTTTTGTTTCTAAATTATTGCAAAGCCTGCCTTTTATATAGCAGGTTTGTGCAAACTGACTTATCTCTGCTTTTATCATATACTGCCTGGTCCTTCTGTATTTTTATGCTCCTTACAATGTGTTTTTTTTTTTTTTTTTTTCTCCTTTTGAAAAAATGTGTCCTTCTGTTCAGCACTGACTGATTAAAACTGTATAAGCTTTCCCAAGCGTTCCTTCAAGTTAAGTGTATGTCCATCTGGAAAGTACTTATGGCTCAACTGGGATAGGGTGCGGTGTGCATTCATGCACAGCTGCTATTGGAGTATTCGATAAGAATATAAAGAGACAATCTCTAACCTAGAGTAGTTTGGGTGGATTTTTGTGGCTTTGTTTTGTTTTTCTCCAGAGGACAGCCTTTTGTTAGTGCGATAGACCAGTTTTAAAGGGAAATTTCTTAAACACTCCCTTCCTTAAATCACATTTTATTCCAGAATTAAATACTGCAAAAATAGCTATGAACCAGCATAGCAGATCCAAATGCCTTAAGATAAATCCTATTTTATTGCAAAAATACTGGACATTTTATGGTGGAATCCATAGTAAACTTGATTTTTTTAAATTTTATATATTATGTTATATAATTTATTTATTTTTCCTCCTTCTGAAATGAACTTCCATTTGTTCTGTTTCCTTAAATCTTAGGTCTGCAAAGCATAATGGGAATATGTTTCTCTGCAATAGCTGTAGGACTACACTATGGTCATTCCTGTTTAAAAGCAATTGATGGGATATATGGCTTTGGAGGGCTGGCTTAAATCTTAAAGGAACAGTGTAGTAACCCAGACATCTCAATGAAGTTGTCTGTGTGCAGTGCCCCTGTCCTCTTAACCCTGCAATGTAAAACACTTTTGAGAAACTGCAGTATCTAAATTGCAGGTTTGAGTCCACCTTACAGCCACTAGAGCAACTTCCGCTGCACTGACACAGTAACGTGACATGGAGGCCTGTTAAGAAAGCATTGTTTCACTGTTTTCCTAAGGGGAAGTAAAAATTAGCATTAGGTCACCCAGCGCTTGACGTTTCAAAAAGGTATATACATTTTTTTTATTTTATTTTTTTTTTTATTCTGAAAAAGAATAGGGACAGGGACACTGCAGCACTAGAAATACAGATTTGTTTTCTTAAAGGGATACCATAGTGCCAGGAATACAAAGCTGTATTCTTGGCAATGTAGCTCCCTCTGCCTCCCTGATCCCAGCGCCGGGTCGCAGCTCCTCCTCCGATGTCATTCGTGCAAAGCGTGAGGGCGTTAAGCGTACCAAAAGTCTGGTAACATTCCAGAAGCACCAATAGAGGCTGTCTTAACCCTGCAATGTCAACGTTGCAGTTTATCTTAAACTGCAATGTTTTACATTGCACCAATAAGTTCAATAGGGACACTGTACACAGACCACTTCAATGAGCTGAAGTTGCCTATTTGCCCACAGTGTCCCTTTAAGTGCTTTATCATTGCACAGAAGGTGAAAGAGAAATGTACAGGGATTATGTACTTTAGTGAGAATGCAAAATGTGTTTCAAATTTGATGGCCAATGTAAAAGCATAGCTGATTTTAAAGAATTATTTTACAGTATTTCTATTGTGACCTTAAATTTGCAGTTCACTTTGAATTCTCACTATAACTCGGACAGTTTGTGTAATCTTACTGAATTACAAAGAGTTAAACTGTGTGCTTGTAAATATATATTTTTTTTTTATTTTTTATTTTATTTTTTAGCACTGCGCATGTAATGATATTCACAGCATCAGTCTCCTATTCTTTACTTTTATGGACTCAGTTTACCAGATCAATCTGCGGTGGGCAGAAATCCAATCAAGACTATTTACAAAGCTTATTGTAGAGCATCTGTTTATTTACTATCAGTTCTAAGACCTAATGAAATACCCTTGAGTCTTTTATTAATTTACTAAATGATCAGTAATGATTTGCTCTCACTTAAGCTTTACCGGAAAGTCTCTAAACCTCACAAGTGCTAAACAAGTGTGCAGGCTACTGCCCTGCTTACAGATGATTTTCTGATTCCCAACGCAAATCATACCAGCCACTTCACCTGCTACACTTCAAACAGTAGTAAAAGACTGTTTAAAAAAAAATAAATACAATTCATTTTTTTTTTTTTTTTAAACTAAATTGTGAATTGAGTGAATAGAAAACTGTGTTGCAAAAATCAGGCTAAAAAACACACAAGTAGTCACTGTATCGAAGTTGTTGTAGTTGTCAAACTCTTGTGACACGTCTCAAATGATGCTCCCTTGATAAAAGCACACACGCCGAAACGTTGGGGGCTTTTATTTGATTTTTCACCCTCTTCTCACTCATTCCGAGAGTTTATTTTTTTTCCTGATATGTATTAATTGTTGGGCATTATTTTCAGGTGTCTAAGTTTTGTATCCGGATTGATACTATTGATTCCTAGTATTGAATATTGATTATGTTTATCTGTGATTAGGATATATTATTTATATTCATTGTGTATACGTGTTTTTATTTGTGCGTGTGTATGTAAAGGCTTGGCCTGCAGTTGTGGGAGGGGCATGGTACCTATTTAAACCCCCCTACTTACCTTCCTCCGTCCCATACGTTTGTTTTTTTAGCGACTCGCATGTCGCTTTTTCCGGCCGTCCTTGCCTCCCCTTTGCCTGGTACCCATGGCTCTGTTGCATGGTCTGCTGTTTCCCGGCTGCTCGTTTGTCCGCGGTCCTCCTGGGTCTCTGGTCCCTCTCTTGCCGTCCGGTGCGGTTGTGGTGGCCTCCGCGGGCATCCTGCTTGCTGTAGTCTTGTGGGCAGGTGGAGATGTCTTGCGGGTATGCCTCTGCCGTGGCTCCGCGGTTGGCTCGGCTTGCTGCCCATTCTCTTTCCGGCGGGTGGATCAGTGTTTCTGTCCAGGAGAGGATCCGGGTGTGGGGTTGTGTCGCAGGGGGAGAGAGAGATTGCAGAGGTGCAGCCTTTCCTGAATTCGGGTGTTGGGTTGTCCAGGTCCAACGGAGCAGGTCTGTCTCCAGTGCAGCTGTTCATGGGCAAGGGGGGGTTGTGCCGAGTGCAGCTAGGGGAGGAATGTGGGGGTGTGTTGCTGTGCCGGTGAAGGAGGGAATGCTTGCAGGGCTGTCTCTTGCTCCCAGTGCTGCAGGTCTTTTTGATTCACCGGCTGGGGGCACCCAGCGGGTGAGCTCGGAGGCTATCTGCGGGAGTCACTCGGGGAGCGGCCGGTGCGGGGTGGTCCTTTTTCCGGGTCTTGGTTCTACGGGGTCGGGGGAGCTTGGATGTCCCGGGGACTGGTGATGAGAGACCAGTGTTTTGTCTGCCGGGACTGGAGAGGGGCGCGGGCTGTCTGCCCTGTCGGTGAGGGTTGGGAGTCGGTTTGTCTCTGCTGGGAGGGAGGATGACATTCGGGGTGGCAGTCTGAGCGGTATACTTGCCACTCTGTGGAACGCACAGTCAGACTCTAACCAAATCTAATACTTGCTCTTAAAGGGGAAAAGAGCTCCCCTTACACCCATAAACTGGTATTACAATTTTGGATATATCATTTTGCCCACGGCACTGTCGCATGTGCACTTATGCGCTCACTGGCGGTCATGCATCCATTTGGCTACAGTTTGTGTTTGGGGGCAGTTTCGGGAGGAAGGTAGGGACCATTATAATAGGTCTTAACTAGTGATGTCCCGAACGGTTCGCCGCGGACTCATCATTGAGTAAACTTTGACCCTGCACCTCAGTCAGCAGACACATTCCAGCCAATCAGCAGCAGACCCTCCCACCTCCTGGACAGCATCCATTTCATTGTGAAGCTGCATTCTTAGTGAGCTTTTTGTGTGTGACTTTCTGCCTGTTTGTTTCAATCATCTCTCCTTATAAACACTCAGATACTCCATCTCATTGAAGTAATCTGGGAGAAGTGCCCCTGTTCCCTTAACCATGCAAGTGAATACATTGCAGGGTTAACAACCATTAGTGGCTGTCTACTATACAGCCAGTAGACAGGCTTCCCGGCCTCTCACAGAGTTTAACTTCGTGAAACGACATTGGACGTCCAGCATCTTTAAAATCCCTATAGGAAAGCATTGATTCTATCATTTACTAGGTGGAAGCTCTGATGTTGCATATGTGCATTAGGTTCCTCCATCAGCATGTCACTGAAGGAGGTGATCGATCCAGCGTCAAGGGACGTTAAGGGGAGTATTAAAACGGTTTCTATCCCTTTCAAACAGGGGGTGCTAAGGCTTCTCAGTTATTCCACGTGCTTTCTGTTAATTTCTACACCCAGCACAACTAGTTTAGATAATAAATGCCTCATACATAGAGGGTGTGTGTGTGGGGGGGGGGGGAAGATGTCTTTACAAACATTGTGTGAAATGCCTATAGTATAATGATGGATTTTGGCAATGGCTGCCAATTTGCATCAGCCAAGCAATGTTGCTTAGCAAGAAATGGGCTGTTAATTTGAATGTCCAAGATGTGTTGGTTAGCAGTTGTGTAGAAAATGGAGCAACTGAACACGCCTTCTTGCGTCTTCTACATATTTTTTTTTTTTTTTTACGGCATATGACTAATCTAAAAAAACACTGTCCGAGGTATGTGGTATTCTAAAACGCTCTTCATCATGAGTCTTGGTGGTCATTTAGTAGATAAGTCGTTCTGATGAAAAGGCAACAAAAATCAGTAAACGGCTGGGTGCTACTCCTAAATGCTTATGGAACCATGAGATAGAATTTGAATATTAAATTTTCTTCTTACAAAGTCATCACTTTATCTTTATATTAAAAAAACAAACAAAATAACATTATTAAAACTAACCTGTATTGCACATGCCATAGTGCCCCTCTAGTTGTATTAAGGTATTTTCTTATTCTTGTTTCTACAAAACTGCAATGTTTTAATTGCAGGATTATCAGGATAGTGCCACTGCACCCATACCAATTTACTGAGATGAAGTGGTCTTGTTGACCATAGTGTCGCTCTAGTAATGACATACATGTATCTTGAATAATCAGCCTGCACTTCATCTTTTTAATTTTTTTTTTGTATGTGTGTAGAAGAAAAAAGACCAAAACAACAAATGATCTTTAAGTGAAATTAACCCCAGACACCGTTAAGATCTACTTAATTTGCAGATGGAACACTTAACGTAATTGATCATCCCAGAGCATCAGCCTTAACATAATTGGAACTGTGTGGGTGGTTTGGCCAGCACTAGATCATTTAGGCAACACAAACCACAAAAAGAGACCTATTGAAAGGAATAAAGATGACATTCCTTGAACATGGGCAAAAAAAAAACCAAACAAACATTTTAGCATGAACTGTCTTCTATACTAATGCACAGGTCAGGACACAACGCATACTGACTTGTTTGAAAAGCAACAAATATTGTGCTTTTAATTTTGTAATTTTCTGTGTTTTTTTTCTCTTCGTTTACGTGTTTTTTTTTTTCTTTTCTTACTATATTTTTACATTCCTCAGATAAATGGCTTTGTATGTGTTTATGCTTCTATTCTATCTCTTGCCATGGTATCTTTCGAATTGGACTGCATTTTTGTAACTTTCATTTCCCCTGGGTTTTCAGTGGCAGGGGCTGCAAAGAGGTGTTTTAATATTTGTAAGAGTTTTTATTCCTTTTTTTTTTCACACCTTCTTGTTCATTGATGGATTTAAGCTGTTTTTTGCTTTGTTGCTTGGCAATGCATGGTCGCTTATCCTTGCACTTTCGCCTGCATTTTTCCAAGCATTGTCTTTTTTTTTTTTTTTTCTCCTCCAATAAATAAATGCAATATGAATTTTTTTGTTTTTGGAGGAATGATTGAAATAACTGTGAATGAAAGTAAAAAACCTAGCTGACTTGACACCAGCAAATTATCACAGCGAAAATCAAAGCAATGCTGCTTCTTTGTATCGGTACTGTAATATGAAACACTGCTTGATGTTTTCTTCATTTTGAAGGCTTTCATCAGGGTAGTCTGTCACATCACAGATATTGAGGCAGTGCAATTTTTAATAATCCTCAAATGGGATTAAATAAAACAAATTATTCTTCCCACACATACGTGTATCTGTTCAAATTTTTAAGGTGTTCAGTTTAAATCTATATCCGTTTTAACTAATGCTAATTAGTACTATGTACCTGTGCAAGATGATATCGGCCCATATCTTCCTAGTCTACTTTTTGTTTTATTTCTTTCGCCTTCCCCTTCTAATCTTCTTGTTCATGTACAAACTGCATGCATCCCAAGTATTTGTTTTGAATATTTTTATTGTTGTCATAACACATGTGCAGGTAGCATCTTGAGTAGTGAAGTAAAGGTTGCCCACGCAGGGGCGCAAGGTTGCATTACATACATTTGTTTGCGTTCCGTCGCCTAGACAGAGGCTGGTTGGTCATTGCATGCATAATACAGCAGATATATGCATAATTAGTTACTCGCATTTTACATCTGTATGACTTGCAGTGTAACTATATTACAGTTGCACCTGTGCATATTGTTTTGAGTGTTTCTGCTTAATCTTGTACTGTTTTGCTCTGGTGCCTGTGCTTGCAAGCTACCTGTGCGTCTGAATATCTGTTGCTTTGTGTAGTTTGGTGTTCCATGGTCGTGTGCGTCTATTTGTGCACTGCGTTTGTCACTGTACGTGTTCTGATGGGTGTTCCCCTTTGTGTCTGGTTTTAAGGGCTTCGGTTAGGGGTGTGTGTGTGTGGCGTGGCCAACTTTTGGTTCTGTGTCTCCCATGTGTGTTACTGATCTGATGTATGTCTGCTCGGTCATGTTGGTGTGATGGAGGAGAAAGGCGGCTGGGGACCACGGGAGCGTCTCGTCTGTTAATTCGTATATTATATCTCTAATTGTGTCCCAGAAGGGCCGGAGCCGTGCACATGCCCACCAGATATGTAGAAACGTGCCTGTTTCCTCCATCTCTAGCAGGTGTCTGGTATACCTGGGTTCCTGACTTGGAGCGCTGTCGGTGTCAGATACCATCTGGTGAGTATCTTGTAAGAGTTTTCTTGCAGGCGTGCTGAGCTTGGTGTTTTTTTTTATTAGGGTGATGCCCTTGTCCCAGTCCGCTTCTGACATGGTCTCGTCTAGGTCTTCTTCCCAGTTCCTTATGCAGGGCGGTGCCAATATGTACCTACTAGTGACCAATATTGTGCATATCTGTGAGATGGCTCGGGGTGTTCCTGTGGTTCGCGTGCACAGGTTTTCGAATTGTGTAGTTTCTCTCAGTAGGGATGGTTTTTGTGGGATGGATCGGGCATATTGGGAGATTTGCGCTCTTGCCAGTGAGTGGTCTGTCCGGGAAGAGTTCTGTTAACGGCCGAATGCCGAACGGGTGCACAAGGATGTCTGCCATGCGAGGAATTGTTGGGTGTCCTGCTGGGCCCGGTGTGGGGCCAAGGTCGCCTGCTGGGAAGTCTGGGTTGCCTCTTAGTGGCAACAGCGGGCCTGGATCTGTTGTCAGGTAGTGTTTTGTGCCCTGCCTGTGCCAGACCCTCATGGTTGCCGCCATGAAGGGGTTAGTGATGTGTTTGCGCCTGTACGCCGCCGCGGATATTCAAGGCAGTGTCCAGAGGTCACAGTTGGTGGTATCGGATTCCAGTTGGGTCCATGGTTTTGTGCCGCTGGCTACCGTCCAGCTGATGACTCGTGTAAGAGATGCTGCGTGATAGTATCTTTAAAAATCGGGGAGCGCTAGGCCCCCTCGGAGTTTGGGTACGATTAGCTGGGTATACGCTATGCGTGGGGGTCTGCCTTTCCATATAAACGTGTGGACCTCTTCCTTCAATGCCTTGAAGAATTTTTGTGGGGCTTGTATCGGTACTGTTTGGAACACAAAGAGTAGTTTGGGTAGTAGTGTCATCTTGACCGCATTTATCCTCCCCAGCCATGAGATGTAATATGGGCTCCATCTATGCAGTTCCTCCGTCACTTTTTTTTTTTAATATGGGGAGGTAGTTTTGTGTGTACAGGTCTGCCGGATTGGAAGTAAGCCAAACCCCCAGGTATCGCATGCGGTGGTCGCACCAGCGGTATGGGTGGTGCCTCTGAAGTGTATGTCTGTCCGTGTGTTTGATGGTTAAGTTCAGTATCTCTGATTTTGAATAATTAATTTGGAGGTTTGAGATTCGTCCGTATTCCTCAAATTCTGTCTGTATCGCTGGTAAGGAAGTTTCTGGGTTCGTGACTACGAACAGCATATCGTCTGCGTACGCTAGCGTTTTGTGATGTGTGTTTCCGATTGTAAGCCCCTGGATGGCGGCATTGTGTCTGATCCTGTTTAGGAATGGCTCCAGTGTCAGTGCAAAGAGTAATGGCGATAGTGGACAGCCTTGTCTGGTCCCGTTATGTATCCGGAATGGGTCTGTCAGTGCACCGTTAATCCTGATTCGCGCCGTCGGGCTGGTGTATAGTGCCTTCACCCAAATGCCGTACCTTTGTCCTACTCACATGGCGTGGAGGGTTTCCATCATCATGTCCCAGTCCACCCTGTCAAATGCCTTCTCTGCGTCTGTGGACAAGAGAAGGGTTTGGTTCTGTTGGGTTCTGACGTGTGCTATGATGTTCAGGGCTCTGATGGTGTTGTCCCTCCCCTCCCTGCCAGGGATTAACCCTGTTTGGTCCGGATGTATTGTGGCCGGTAGTAATGGCGCCAGTCGTAGCGCCAGTATGCTGGCCAGAAGCTTGATGTCAGTGTTCAGCACCGATATTGGGCGGTAGCTTGAGCATAGTGTTGGGTCTTTTCCCTCCTTTGGGAGTAGAGTAATATTCGCCGAGGTGAATTGGGCGGTCGGTGTGGCTCCCTCTTGTATGGAGTTCAGGGCTTTCAGTAGTTTCGGCATGACGTCTTGTGCGAAAACTTTGTAGTATTGAAGGGGCAGCCCGTCTGGTCCCGGTGCCCTGCCTGTTTTTGCCTTCTTAATGGCGTATGCCATTTCTTCCGGCGTGATGGGGGCTTCTAGTGCTTCTCGGTCAGCCTCTGATATTTCTGGAATATGTGCCGAGTCTAGGTATCTGTGTATGTCGATGAGTTTGTTCGGTTGCGGTTCTCCCGGTTCATCTCGCCGGAGGTGGTATAGGCCTTGGTAATATGTGTGGAACTCTGTTGCGATCTGGTCCGGGAGGTGCTTAAGTCGTTGCTGCGTGTCCTTGATCTTTGGGATGTATAGTTGGGTTTTACGTTTTTTCAGAAGGTTTGCCAGCAGCCTCCCGCATTTATCCCCGTGTTCATGTATCATGTGTCTGTAGTGTTGGTAGGAGCGTTGAATTGCTCGGTTGAGGTGTGTGGTGAGTTGGTTTCGTTTGGCCGTGAGTTCTCTGTATGTCAATGCGTCGAGGGTGCGTTTGTGCCTGGTCTCTAGGGTTGCGATGTCCTTGCTAAGCTCGAGCGTCTCCCGCATTGCTGCATTTTTGCGGGTTGCGCATAGCGCGATGATCTGGCCTCTGACTATCGTCTTGTGAGCTTCCCAGCATGTTAGTGGTGTCACGTCATCCATCTCATTGTTTTGGAAATAATCTCGTATGGAGTTACTAATCTTGTCTGTTACTATCACGTCCGAGAGGATCGATTCGCTTAGTCTCCATGACATCTGCCGGGGTCTGTATAGCGGCGATTTCAGCCGCATTCGGATCGGGCAGTGATCTGACCAGGTCATTGGCAGGATCTCCGCGGCGTTAAGCAGGTTTAGATTGTGGTGTGTCATTAGGAAATAATCCAGTCTTGTGTATGTTGAGTGTGCCGATGAGTAGAAGGTGTAGTCTCTGGTAGTTGGATGCAATGCTCGCCAGCAGTCCGCCAACTGGTGGTGGTGTAGGAGGCGGAGTGTTTTCGCATGTCTGTTGTGTGGTGTTGCTCCATGTGGAGACGTGGAGTCCTGATCCGGGTGTAGTGCCAGGTTTAGGTCTCCTCCGATGATCAGGGTGCCTTCCGTAAACTTCTTCAGAGAGCTCATAGTGCTCTGGAGGAAATGGTATTGTTTTGTGTTCGGGGCATATATGTTGGCGAATGTGTAAGTTTGATCTAAGATAGTGCCTTTAGTGAAAATATATCTGGCTTGTTCTATGTATGGGGTTCTGCTGGAAAATAGAATGCATACTCCCTGCGTTCGTCTATCTGGGTTGTTACTGAAGTACCCCGTTCAAAAGTTTCGGTCTTTCAGGGCCGGTGCCCTGCTCTCCTGAAAGTGCGTTTCTTGGAGAAACGCTATTGATGTCCTGTATTGTTTCAGGTCTCTCAGGAGTCTCGTGCGCTTCTCTCTGACATTGAGGCCCTTTACATTGTAGGAGATTATGTTTAAGTCCTCCCTTATCTGTAGGGTCCCTGTGAACTGTCCGGTAGTGGACAATTGTCCCGGTGAATTGACCGGTGAGCCCAGCCGATTGGTGGGCGCGGGTCGTTTCCGGGAGTTGTACGCTCCCTATATATCGGGGGTTCCTGTGTCCTATACCTTTGGGGGTGTCGGGCAACTCGTCCGTGATGGACTGGTTCGTCTCGTGTCGTGTATAATAGGTTGTACTGTTCGTAGTTTTTGGTCCTTCGTCTCCTAGGTGGCTGTGTGGCTGAAGCTCTGTCCGCTCTGTGTCTCGTTTTGTGTTGGGCGTGAGTCTGTTGGTGTGTGGCGTGCTGGGCTGTGTAGGTGCTGCCTTTGCCGCTATCCTGCGGCTTCTCCGTGTCGGATTTGCGTTGCCGTGGGCATGTTGTGCCCGGTGGGGTTGTGCCTCGTGAGCTGTTTAGATTAAGGTCAGTCTAAGCTGGGTTGACAGTGTGGGAGCACTGCACGTCCCATGCCCCTACGTCTGGGTACAGTTAGGCTGTCTTGCCCCTTCCCCACCTCCCCCCTCTTTTCTTCTCTGTTCGTTTTTGCTCGTTTTCCCCCTCCTTCCCTAGCCACCCCCTCTCCTCCCTCTCCCTTCCCTCTCCCCCATTCCTCTTCCTTCCTGTCCCTCTTATGTGTATCCTGTCGGTCCGTGTATTTCCTCCTTCCTCTCCCTCCTGTCCCCATATCTCGTCTTGCTCCAGTCTCGATGTTAGCTCCTGTCTTGTCTCCCTCTCCCTACCCCTCAGTGACATTCCCCGCATTCCTGCCTCCCTCGGGGTCAATGGTTGGTTTATTAAAATATTTCAATGTCTTAAACGTCTTTCTTATTTGCACCTCCTGTTGCGGGTCTGCGAAGGTGTTGGCTGGTCTGCCCGTGTGCCTCTTGCGTTGGCGTTTGCACATCTCCCCGTCCCCCTCCCCAAAATGTCCTGTCCCCCCCTTACGCATGGTATGTTTGGTGGTATGGGGTCATCCTGGGGCTTGTCCTCTTGGGGTATAGTCCCCCGTGATGTATGGTAGAGGTGGCAGCAAATAAATACTTCCCTCTCTCCCCTGCGCTCCTTAGTTCCCCATTCCCCACCCCAATTCTTGCTGACCTGTGTGATGTGTATGGGTATGTCCCTTCGGTTGGTACTCACGGTTCGTTCAGGCTTTTCTTTGGTGCCTGAGTCCCCTTCCCCATCCCCCGGCTTCGCTGTGTGGTGCTTGGTCATTGCTCCCTCCTTGCTGGGCCCTGGTTCCAGTCACGTTGTCGCTGTTGCTGGGGTCTTTGCGGGCCTGCGTTGGGTCTGCGTGGAAATTGAGGTCCTGGTGCTTGTTGGAGAAACGATTTCGCCAGCCAGTCTGGGACCTATTGTGGTGGGAGGCCTAGGCTACGTAGGAATCCCGGGACGTCTCCCGGCTTTCTTACTATTAGTTGGTCTTGTCAGTGTCTTGCCGAGAGCGAGAACGGATAGCCCCAGCGGTACTGGATGCCTGCCAGTTGTAGGGCTGATGTCACCGGGCGCAGGGCTCTCCTGGCTTGTAGGGTGTATCTGGATAAATCTTGGTAGACGGAGATGTCTGGCCTTCCATGCGGACGGCCCCCATGCGGCGGGCTGTGCATAAAATATTTCTTCTTTAAGGTGATAGTTGTCAAGGCACATATGATGTCCCTGGGTTGTTCTTCGGGTGCTGGTAGGGGTCTTAGAGCCCTGTGTGCGCGGACCAGGCCAATTCTGGGTACTTGTTGACCACCCAATACGTGGGTAAAAATTTGTCTAAGCAGTTCTGGCACGTTCTCTGAGGGGCCCCCCTCCCGCACTCCGCGGACCCGCAGGTTCAGTCTGTGGCCACGGTTGTCTAAATCATCGACCCACGTGGTAAGGTAGGCTATATCAGCCTCTTGGTTCATAACTGCTGTATTAGTTTGCTCTAAATCTGTTCTCAGTGCCCTAGTCTCGGTTTCCGCCACGGCCATGCGGGCCTCCACATTCGCCATGTCGGCGCACAGCTGGGCCACCTCCTCACGGACCACACGCCCAAGGCGGTCTGAGAGGGCCTCGAAATCTGATTTGGTGAGTAGTTTTGGTATGATGTCTCTCCACTCACCATCTTGCTGCTGTGGTTCTGATAGTGTTGGGGAGAATCTGGCTGGGGTGGATGGGAGTGACTCGAGGGTCTGGCTTGCGGCCTCCATCTCCCGTTGCGGTGTCTGCGCCCGGGATGCAGCTTGCAGGTAGGACCGGATCGTTTGTTCTCCCCCGTGTCCCGAGGGTCTAGGGGTGCTGCCAGGGTCTGCCTGTCTCTTTGTGCGGCCCATCTGCGGTGTGTGGGTGAGCTAGGACGGCTGTGTGATGCGGATGCCACGAGGAGCTCCGGGTTTAAGCGGCCATCTTCGTCAGCTGCCGGACACGCCCCCCCATCCCAAGTATTTTTGGTCTTCTGGTATAGTTCTTCTTTGAAACATTTGTAAAGCAGTGCCAGAATGTTTGCTGTCCTGTACTGAAATACACTGTACGGCTGTAACACTTAAAGGGACACTGTGGGCACCCAGACCACTTCAGCTTCTTGAGGTGGTTTGGGTGCACTGTCCCAGGTCCCTTAACCCTGCAATGGTAAAAATTGCAGTTTTTCAGAAAGCACAGCCTGAACCAGCGCTGAAGGATATCGGCACTGGAATCATGTAAGTGACCAAAGGTGTATTTGTTTGTTTTTTGTCTTTTTTGTTTTTGTTTTTTAAACTCCGTCTGCACCGGCGGGTGAGGTAGGAAGGATGAGGCATTATAGGGTGCTGTAGTGCCAGGAAAACTTTTGTTTTCTTGGTACTATAGTTTCTCTTTAATCCAAGGCCACCTGCAGCATGCGTGCCGTTGCTTGTTTGGCTGGCGACTTTTATGGGAATATTGAGTTAATACATCTAATATTATAGAACTGTCTGCCCCCATGTTTATACACATCCCAACAGTAGTCACAACTTCCCCTTATTTGTAGGGGGCACATTTTGAGCCTTATGGGGTGATATCATTGACCTTTTTTGAGCGTGTATGTTTTGTAAGTGAGTGTGTGTGTATGTCTGTCGCTGAGTGTGTCTGTCAGTAAATGTGTGTTTGTTAGCTAGTGTGTATGCGTCTGTAAGTGAGAGTGTGTGTGTGTGTCTTCAGCACTTACCTTTCTCCAGCGCCAGACTCCCTTGGCGCTAGGGATCCCTCAGCCTCTCAGCTCCGAATGCGACCGCGCACGCATTCAAACCGCCCATGGGAAAGCATTACTCAATGCTTTCCTATGGACATTCAGTGTGCTTCTGTAGTGGTTGTCAGACAGCCACTAGAGGCTGGATTAACCCTCAGTGAAACATAGCAGTTTCTCTGAAACTGCTATGTTTTCAGCTGCAGGGTTAAAACTAGAGGGACCTGACACCCAGACAACTTCATTGAGCTGATGTGATCTGGGTGTCTGTAGTGGTCCTTTAAGTGTGTGTGCATCTGCATGCACTGGCGTACATACCGCGGTCGCAGCCTTGTAACCCCTGCGACCAGGTGCCCACCGCCATGTGTTGCGGCCCGGCCCGGCCCGTGCGCACGGGGGGCCCACGGATCAATTTTCCCACCAGGGCCCCATGGGTCATGTGTACGCCACTGCCCCTGTCTCGTCTTTCCTCCAAGCTATACATTTGAAGATCCTTTAACCTTTCCTTGTAAGTTTTTTTTATCGTGTAATCCATGAACCAGTTTAGTAGCCCTTCTCTGAACTCTCTCTAAAGTATCAATATCCTTGTGGAGATACGGTCTCCAGTACTGTGTACAATACTCCAAGTTCATTCTTCATTCCAGGAATGGGTCTTAAAGGACCACTATAGTGCCCTGAGGGTGCCCCCACCCTTAGGGTCCCCCTCCTGCCGGGCTGAAGGGGAAGTAAAGGGGATAAAAACTCCCCTTTCTCCAGCGCCGGGCTCCCTCGGCGCTGGGGACTCTCCTCCTCCTTTGGCCGTCAAAATCAGTGAGGTGTCCTACTCTTCTCCTCCTTTGGCTGTCAAAATCACAGTGAGATGCGCATAAGCGCCTCTAGCGGCTGTCAATGAGACAGTCACTAGAGGCTGGATTAACCCATATGTAAACATAGCCGTTTCAGAGAAACTGCTTCGTTTACAGCAGGCAGGGTTAATCCTAGATGGATCTGGCACCCAGACCACTTCATTAAGCTGAAGTGGTTTGGGTGCCTATAGTGGTCCTTTAAGGTGTGATTCTCTTTGTATTTGAGTCTTTGTTGCAAGATGAGGGTAAAAACCTATAGATGACCTGTTTTTTTTTGTTATTCAGAACATTGAATATAAGGAAAGAGATACTTCCTGACATGCAGATTCCAAAAATGTCTTGAACACGTGCAGCAATTCCTATAATTAGGTGACCCGTATAAACAAAGAATATAAATAGGGGCAGTGAAGAAAGCAAAATCTACTTTCATTCATACGCGAGGAAAGCCGGATTCTGAAAATATTCATTTAGGTAATTTCCTGAGGAAAAGTCGTGTTTTGGATGCACGCCAACATTCCACTGTGTGTGTACCCTGGAGCTGCAATGTACAGGCGTGCATCCTTCCCTCCTTGGCATAAACTGAAAGCGCAGGATCATCCGTCACATTCCGTTAGTGCCCAATCCAGCCATCTGTTCCCAAAAAAGATGCCTCAAAATGTGCAAACACACCTCGAAGGCAACATTCAGTTTATTCCTGCAGGCTTCTGGGTTTTTATTTTTTGTTTCTTTTTCAAGCTGCCACTACATACTTTGTATTGCCAAATACTTAACCTTCAGGACTTGTGGCTCTCTGTTATTCAATAAAATTATATTTTCAAAAAAATTTCCAATAAAGTATGGTGATAGGTTCTTTATTGGCAATAGTAAAGCTGGTACCTATCCTGCCCATTAACCCGTACACCATCAGTTTTGCAAGGAATATGTAAAACTACGTGGAACATTTCTTCAGTTGCCCACGTTTTCCTTGTGAAATTTTTTTTTCTTTATCTCTACTGAACATATCTGCAAATATGAGTGACAAACAGGGACACTTTCATTTTAGGAGTGTGAGGACGTAGCTAGGGGTGTGGCTGTACTGAGATATTTTAGGTGTCCTACTAATAATTTTTGGACATTGTGTCTTTGTCCCTGTAGTGTTCCTTTATTCGTTGCACACCATTTCTTCTAAAAATGTAGATTCTCAAAATTGTTTTTTTGTGCATGTGCTGTAGTTTGGATAATTATTTGCAGATTAAACATCTTAAAACCAACTACGCTACCAAAAATGTTTTCTTCTCTATACGTGAAAAGAACACCACAATTACCATAACCAGTAAAGCCCACTGCAGTTGTTCTTTTGCCCTCCCAGAGTAATTTGTCATACCGTTAAGGACCACATGATAGTCTATGCAGTTCAGGGCTTTAATGCCCAATGACTGTTAAATCACTGCTGGTACCAAGGATGTCCTCTTTGTCATTAGGGGCACACAATTAGTGGTCTCAAACTGACTGACAGAGCAACGTACAAAACATAGGTCTTAAAATTTATTGAAATAGCATGGCTGAGCGCAATCATGCTCAGCTTTGGAAATTTCAAATGTGGCAAGAAACATTGTGGGTGTCGTTTTTTGTTTTTGTTTTTTTACTTCTTAATGTTTTCTATTTATTATTGCAATATGTATACATGTAGGGTATCAAGAGAGCCCTATTTCTGCTTTAAAGAAGAATATAAGTAGGGGAGCGCAGCCTGGCTGGCTTAACCAATTAACTAAATTCTTAAAAAGTTCTACATGTGGCATATTGCTGTACTTAAAGGACCACTCTGGGCCCTATAACAACTTAATGTAGTTGTTCTGGTTCCTGGTGCTGGCTTACCTTTAGGGGTTAAACATTTTGTAAACCGTTTAACACCAAAGTCTCATTGCAAGAGCAGTTTTCTTCTGCTCCCCATAACATTAATTTTCTGAAAATGTTCAAAATGGAAGTCTTAGACTGCCGTTATCAGGGGCAACACTGATTGGCTGAGTGGTCAGCTTATGCTGTAATCCAATCAGCAGCTCCCTATTCACAAATTGGCTTTAAAAACACACGTACATTTATCATGGTGCACAGTGTTGTTTTTTTTTTTGTTTTTTTTTTGCACAAGTTGTGTAGAAATTAAAAGCAAGACAAGACTATGAAAACTTTTTTTTTTTTTTTTATTCAAATGTGATGTTCTGCCATATGTACATGCATACATGGTATCAGAAGAAAGACTTGGTTCTCTCTAGCTAGCTGTACTCCGTTTTATATTATGGTGGAACACACATGGCAAATGTGCCCCAGTTACTAATGCATGGCATTTCAGGAAAGGGTTAATCACAAGGCCTGCTTGCAGACTCACACTCAGGGCAGCAGTACACAATAGTGCCATAAATTGTAAACATGTCTGCTCAGGAGTATTTATTTAATTTTCATCTAGTTAATTTTTCAATATGGTAACATTAAACAATGGCCCTTTTGATTCTGTATTGTTTGGAGAAGGATATTACTGAGATGAGTGCTGTAGGTCAGTAATTGCTAACACTTGGCCAACCAGCCATTTGGTTCGTTATGGCTGCTAAGGGAAGGGGCGCATTCATTTATAAATCTGATATTACGTTTTACTTTACTTGCAAAAAATATAAAATATTTCTTGATTATAATCTGTGACACCAGTACAGCCAAGAACTAATTACTTTTATCAGAAACTCCATTAAATATACCATAACCAAGTAGGAACAGATAAGCCAGGAAGTTACAGGCTGACGTTTTGTGCTGGTTGCTAACATTTTTAGGTATTTAATGTGGATTGTGGTTAGTTTAGCCATTGGCGATGCTGTGAGAGAATGCTGCTCCCGTGAGAATTCTATTTCAGAATAGGTATCAAATGACAAAACGTGTGTGTGTTGTGCTCTATTTACCTTCTTTTGGGCACATGTGGGAACGTCTTGCCATTCTAATTCAGTAGAATCCCCCTGGCTGTGTTTTGATACTTGCTATTAGATAAGAAAACCATGAAATCATGCGTATAGTCCCTGGTTTTCTGAACATTTAATTTCTTTCCTATTCTCTTTTTAAAATGGTCTGTAGCCAAATAAAATCTAAAGTTAACTGTACTTTCTGCATTTCAAATAGATGATGCATTTAACCTGAACAAGCCCTGTCCCTGTTTTTACCTGCTTTCTCAGTCGTGGAGTGCATAGTGATTGCTGAGGGTTGTTTTGGTTCTGATCCACATTCACTTTTAAACCCTGAGAGCTTTTGCCCAGCCCTCCTTGTAAAATCACTTTGACATATGTAATGGGGGCACATGTGAGCAAGAAAGTGTTCGTTCTTGCCTGGGATCCTTGTTATTGTGTTATTTTAATTGTTTAAATGCTTTATGTACACTTGATATGTGTACTGTATATGTATATAGTGTTGTGTGTTGGGGTTTTTGTTTTTGTTTTTTGGAGGAGGGGATGGGTTTGGTCTTTCTTACCTGCAATGCTGTGATTTCTGGAACGGGAAAACATTGCAAGAAAGTTGGTGTAAAACCTGGAATAAGTCTTTGTGTGATTATCTTGGATGGATTTTGGCAGAAACCTTTTATTTTTAATTTTTTGCTACGGTGGTATGATTTGTGTGTTGGGGGGGATTCTCTTTCTAGGTTAGTTCTTTAGTTTTGTAGTTGTTTTTAACTTTGTTTTACTTAACTTTCTTTTCTTTCTTTACAAATTACAGGTGATGGTTGTGGTTACACTGTATTTGGGCCAGAAAGTGGTACTTTTACATCCAAGAACTACCCCCAGACCTACCCAAATAACACCGTGTGTGAATGGAAGATCCAGGTGAAACAAGGAGAACGAATTCAGCTGAAGTTTGGAGACTTTAACGTGGAGGACTCTGATAACTGTCATTCTAGCTATCTGCGGATATACGATGGCTTTGGTGCTACAAGAAGCGAGATTGGTAAATCTAACCCCCAAATTAAACTAGAAGGACTGTATTGCTAAACTCCTATACTGTTATCAAAATCTCACAAAATCGAAATGGTGATTTGTTATAGCATGCTGCATGAACAACTGAAAATAGCGATTTATTGCTTCAAAACAGAAAACTGACATGGCCATTTTCATCATAAACTGCAACAAAAATCTATAAAATGTGGTCCCTTGCAAGCTCCGATAGTCTGGCTCTGGACTGGCAAAGAAGTTACAGGCTGGATGTTACAAAGTTACATGATGCAGAAGTCATAGCTTACCTATAAATGACCCGTTAATGTAGAGAGTTATTCATTAAAGCGGAAATTGTTGGGAATTTTACAACTGTAGCAGATACCCACAATTTTATTTTTTTCCAGTGGTTCCAGTTTGGCTAGTTTGTGGTAAAATTTGAAATTCAATTTAAATTTACTTTGCATTCCCAACATTTCATACTTTAGTGAATAATCCTCTATGTAGTCCATGAAGATGGGATACACTGGGTAAAGTGGAAGACTTCAATAAGGGGTTACCAGTAGCAGGATTTAGGGTGCAGGCTCCATAAGTTAAATAAGGTTTTGTCTACACCTGTACTCATCATATATTGATGGAACACTGTGTCTACAATGAGATAACATTTACAGTAAAGGACCGTTTATGGTTCGACACATCCTCTTCAGAACTGTGAACACGTTTCCCTGGCACGGGGATAACTGGGGCACACCACCACCCGAGACGCTGCCTGCTCCCTGGCATTACTAAGTGCATTTCCTTGCATTCAAATTATAAATAGTCTGTTTATATGAGAGCATGTGCTGATAAATCCCTTGCCTCTGTAGTGCCATTGTTATGTTTCTAGTCCTTTCATCCCACGTCTTCCAGCCCCCACCCCTTCGTGTCACTGTTAACATACCCTCTCTAACTAGATCATCTGCTTTTTGTTTTCCCTTACCAGTTTAACCCCTGGCCAAAATATAATCTTCCCTGCTATTTCATACTACTACTATTCACAAAATCCTTTACCGTCCTTTAGTAGTGGTGATGTTGCACAGAACGTTGAATACTGTTAGACACGCAGGTCCGTAAATGGCAAGAAATTCTGGCCTGATCTGCATAAGCTTCTCGCTCTTTGACACTCTCCAGCTTACAGTCTCCAGCTCAGGATGGTTCTCATGGGAGATTAATTAAAGTGAGCAGGCACTGACATTGTACATAAAAATCACTTATTCCGGGATATCGGCTTTGAGTCCATTACAGGATATCAGTGAATTCAAGGAAATGCAAGAGGTGAAAAGTTATGGTTTCTTGTAACAGATCATGGTGTTGTTTTTGTCTTACAGACAGCAATGCAGAATAGTACATAGTTCCTTTTGTGTGCAACGATTTCTTTTTTACAAATGTCACCATGTGCTGTTACACAAACACTTTGCAAATCTTATCAGAATTCAATATAAGTCACTGTTTAGTAAAAATGCACTTTAGTGTCTGGCCTAAGGGGATAGCGATAGTAATATGGTTTAAAGACTTGCTACTTTTTTCTTATTGTCATAATAAAGATTGTTTCCTGTTTTTTAATCTTTCTTGTCCAAAAGCTAAATACTGTGGTTTGGAGCCGCAACTAAGAGACATAGAGTCCAAAAGCCATGAGGTCACGGTAACGTTTATGAGTGGAACACACATTTCTGGGCGTGGATTCCTTGCTTCATACGCAACCAAAAATAAAACAGGTATTTGGCTTACAAGGCCTTCCGCTGATTTTCTTTTCCTAATAATACTTTTAATGGATTAAAGGGGCATTCTTAGCACCATAACCACTACAGCTCTTTGAGACTTTTCCCTCCGTTTATGCACACCATTGTAAATAGGATTGACAAAAATAAAGCGTTTGTTCTACCAAAAACTTAAAGGACCACTATAGTGCCCTGAGGGTGCCCCCACCCGCAGGGTCCCCCTCCCGCCCGGCTCTGGGAGAGGAAAGGGGTTAAAACTTACCTTTTTCCAGCGCTGGGCAGGGAGCTCTCCTCCGATTCTCCTCCTCCTCTCCTCCCATTCGGCTGAATGCACACGCGCAGCAAGAGCTGCGCGCGCTTTCAGCTGGTCTCATAGGCAAGCATTTACAATGCTTTCCTATGGACGCTTGCGTGCTCTCACTGTGAAAATCACAGTGAGAAGCACGCAAGCGCCTCTAGCGGCTGTCAATGAGACAGCCAGTAGAGGAATTGGAGGAAGGATTAACCCATTTACAAACATAGCAGTTTCTCTGAAACTGCTATGTTTTGTAAAAAAAATGGGTTAACCCTAGCTGGACCTGGCACCCAGACCACTTCATTAAGCTGACGTGGTCTGGGTGCCTAGAGTGGTCCTTTAAGCCTGGTCCCTCTGCTACATTAGTTCAGGCAACCTTGCGCAATACTCTCGTCTATTATTGTCTCTCAAAGTGAGTTGTAGGGATCATAGTACTTACAGGGCTCCGTTAATGTGTGTAAGTAGCTGTGTATTTGTTTAATATAATATATAGAAATCAGACTGACCAATAAGATCTTCCCGTTCAGTAATTTACACTGTACCAAGCTGAGAGGCTGCATTCTAAGCAGCAAAGGAGATCTAACATATAAAGTGCAGCATGGAATTTATAGTAACTAGCCCCCACTGGAGGAGTGGCTAAGGCAGAGATTATACACTTCCTTGTAGTTATACCGTGATAGGCTAAATGTAGTCAGCTGACTCTCTCAGCTAATCAGAGCTACTCTTCCTCATTAGCCCATACAGCAAATGGTGGATTAAGATGCTAGGGACTTTTTGAAAATGGTTTAACATTGAATGGAAGGACCGTGCCAGAGGACCCCAGGCACTGTAACCAATTCATTGAGATGAAATGCTTATAGTGCCTACATTGTCCCGTTAAGGCCAAAGTAGCCAAACTGGAAGCATAGCTTAGTTGGTGAATCTTTCCAGTTCAGCTATTTTGACCTTGCGTTTGAAGTTCACTTTGAATTTTCATGTTAGTGAATAACCCTGTTATTTTTTTCAGAACCCTGAGAACTGTTGGCTGGCACAGCATTCTGGGGATTGTAGCCCTTGGGTATTTAAAGCAGGAGTGTTTAACCCCTTAGTGACCGCGGACGTATTGGGTACGTCCAACAAAAACTAGCAGTTAATCTCGGACGTACCTGAAATGTCCACGACACATTCTAAGGGAATCGCAGCGATGTCGAGGCATCATGCAGTACTCCCCCGGGCTGCCGGGTGATTGCTTCCCTGGAGCAATCACTTCCGGGTTGCCCCACGTGGCGCCCTGCAGTGACGCGGAGCATCAGAAGCCATCAGGCATTTTTCACACACAATCGGCACTTTTTACTGATATTGTTGTGATACGTTTTACTGTTTTGAAACACTAATAGTTTTTTTTTTTTTTTTTTTAAGTTACAGGGTCAAATATAAGGCTCAATTTTCAGGGGTTTTTTCACAATGAAATTTGCCAGATTTGTTGTGTTGCCTTTCAGAGTGTATGGTAGCCCAGGAATGAGAATTAAGCCATGGTGGCATACCATTTGCAAAAGAAGACAACCCAAGGTATTACAAATGGGGTATGTTCAATCTTTTTTAGTAGCCACTTAGTCACAAACACTGGCCAAAGTTAGCGTTCATAATTGTTCTTTGCATTTTTAACACACAAAGAAATATAAATGCTAACTTTGGCCAGTGTTTGAGATTAAGTGGCTACTGAAAAAGACTGGACATACCCTGGGTTGTCTACTTTAAAAAAAAAATTTAAAAAAATTTACATGTGAGGTGAGAGTCAGAGATTTATGACCGATAAGTGTTACAATGTCACTATTGATAAAATTAAAAAAAATCTATATCATTTTTTTTTATTTTGAAACCGCAAAGTTAGAAAAAGTGTTTAGCATTTCTTCATCTTTTTATAATTTTCTAAAAAAAAAAAAAAGTGAATAGTAAATTATATGATGAAAATAAATGGTCTTTCTAAAGATACGATTAATGGCGAGAAAAACGGTATGTAATGTGTGGATATAGTAAATAAGTAAGAGAAAAATTACAACTAAACACAAACACAGCAGAAATCTAAAAACAGCCCTGGCCCTTAAAGGCAAGAAAATTGAAAAACGGTCTGGTCACTAAGGGGTTAATCTAGGCCTTTTAAAGCTGCTGGGGTGCAATGAAAACTTTTGGGAGCTGGGAGGTGTACGTCAAAACTTACTTTCCTTGCACTAGGAGGATTGATTTCCAAAATACAGTGGAGGATCTACAAAATATTGTTGTGTAGGCCAGGTTGTGGCAAGTGTAACATCTTTAATTAAGGACATGTGACGTGTCATGATTCCCTTTTATTCCAGAAGTTTGGTCCTTAAGGGGTTAAATCTGGCAAAGCATCATGGGCATTGAAGGTCTGCAACAGGTAGAAGTTGATCTTTTTTGCAGACACCTGACCTAACTTGTATGTTCCAAGTGTGGATCCATGGCTGCTGTTGTATTAAACCTCCCATCATCTTCTGCCATCTGGGAGGTTTTATTGCAGCTGCAAGGCACACAGTTTAACAAAGTGGTTCTAACCGCTATTCTTACCAGCAGTGAATAACTGTGCCGGGAAATATACAGTAGGGTCACATGCCACAGAAAGCCATTTAAGTCTTCATGAAAAGGTTAAAGGGGTAAAATGTAATGATGAGTTGATGTTTATCTGTTTCCAGTGTTCTCTTCCTTTATATCAGTAGCTTCCTTTGTAATCGCACAATTTGTGTTGCTCTCCCAGCAGACTTAGACTGAGATTTTTGTTGTACGGGGAAAACAAGGACTGTTTATTTCCTCTCATTAGATGAGCTTGTATAGGTCTCATGGGATTCTACAGTATTAAAAGAGGAACTGTCACATTCCGAGAAATGACAGTTGCTTGATCCTCCAACCCACTAAATGCTATTCCAGTGTTTACTGGGGTGAATAATGCAACAGAGGTTGATAGCTTACCGCAACTGTACTGCATTGCAATCACTTTGTGGCCCCATTTGGGTAGGGAGAAGGCAATAAAGAAACTAAGGATTTAAAAAATGAAAATTGTGTGTGTGTGTGTGTGTGCGCAATTGTTGGGAGTGTTGATGATTGTGCACCTTATTTACTTTTAGGCATTTTTTATGGTGCACCGCACACCCGGTGTAACATAAATGTTTGCATATTTATTTTAAGTTTATTTTTTTAGCAACTATACTACTTTTATGTATTTTGTGTGTTTGTGCTTGTAAATATAAAATGCACAATGATTTCCCAACTATCCTCACTTTAGAGGACAACCCTGTGAGAGAATGAAAATAAATTCTGATTGGACTTGGGGAAGGAGTTTTGTTCCATGATAAACACAGGGAATAAAAAATGGATTTCAAATTGTAAGCCAAAATAGTAAAACTAAAAGCATAACTGGCTTGGTTTACAGTTTACAATTCCACTATTGTGGCCTTAAATTAGAAATTTACTTTAAATCTTTGACTTGTCGATTCATAGCAAATTTCTAATTTAAAGCCACAATAGTCAGCCCCCTTCCCTAAAAAGAATGCTGACCTTTTCCTTTAAGAATGTCCTTTTGTCCATTAATCTTTGCTAGTTTCATTGAGATTATTCAATGGAAATACTCTGGGTTTGGAAGTAGTGTCCTATTTGTTGTTTGAATGTAATGTCTTGCAAGAAAGCCCTGTTAGCCATTATTTTGTGAGGAATGTAGACTAATCAGCTGAAGTTGTAAAACTACACAGAATTCCTCACATACTTAAAGAGCAACATGAGTTGTGATTAACCCAGTTTCCAACTGCTACAGTCAGACTCCCAATCCAGCAGGAGGTTACTAATTAACATGCAGTAAAACATTAAATCCTGCCACTACAGTATTTTAGTCCATTTAATATTGTATAGCACAGGATAATTTTACAAAATGTGTTGATTATATATAGTAAATGGGATTACAATATAAAATCTGACATACCAGTCCAAAAAAAGGAAACTCTCCCCTGCGTTCCTACTCCATGAACCACAAATGCCCTACTGTATATTTAGAAATAAAATAGAATATTGATGTACTTTTTACCATTACAGGCCAAAGTCCTCAATATTTCTAAATGTTGATCCATAACTTTCTTTTCAATAATATCACAATTCATAAGGCCTAAAACACTATATAGTAACCAAAACAACTTTGGCTTAATGTAGCCGTTTTAGTGTATGGGTATGGATCATGCCCCTGCAGTCTCACTGGTCAACTCTCTGCCATTTAGGAGTTAAATGACTTTGTTTATGCAGCCCTAGTCACACCTGCCTGTATGTGACTTACACATCCTTCCTAAACACTTCCAGTAAAGAGTCATCTAATGTTTGCACTTCCTTTATTGCAAATTGTGTTTACTTTAGAATTCATTATCTCCTGCTCTCTGAATAGCTTGCTAGATCTTGCAGGGGCCTCTTGTATGTAATTAAAGTTCAATTTACAGAGGCTGCATAAGCAAACAAAAGTGATTTAACTCTAAAATTGCAGAAAATTAAACAGTGAAACTTCAGGGTCATGATCTATACACAAACTGTTTCATTAAGCTAAAGCTCGTTTGGTGACTTTAGTGGTGCTTTAATGATAATCCACAAAGCAAAGATTTGCTTTATAAACTGACAGGATACTGAGCGACTTATAGCTTCACCAAATAATTGTTTTTGTTATCGATATATATGTAATATTGTGTGTGTGTGTGTGTGTGTTTGTTTCAAGGAAGCAAGACTTTCCCTCTGGCAGTGACCTTGAAAATTTAATTTGGAATTCTCTGGATATTCACGTGTCCTAAAAGAATATAATATACTACACTTCATTTGCCTGATTTTTATTACATTTTTTTCCACCCCCAGATTTCATTACATGTTTAGAGAAACCAAGCCCGCTTTCTAAACCCGAATACAGGTAAGATGTCCCACTGAAATATGGAGCATTGTTCCCATATAAACTGAAATCTGCTTATGTAAGAATCCTAAAAACTGTTGGAAGGGAAAGATGAAAGAAGAATGTACCATATTTATCGGCGTATAACACGCACCTCATTTTAAGAGGGAAATTTCAGGGGAAAAAAAACTTAAAGGACCACTATAGTGCCAGGAAAACATACTCTTTTTCCTGGCACTATAGTGCCCTGAGGGTGCCCCCACCCTCAGGGACCCCCTCCCGCCAGGCTCTGGAGAGAGGAAGGGGTTAAACACTTACCTTTCTCCAGCGCCGGGCGGGGAGCTGTACTCCTCCTCTCCTCCTTGCTCGCGACGTCATCGGCAGGAGCCGCGCGCGCATTCAGCCGGTCGCATAGGAAAGCATTTACAATGCTTTCCTATGGACGCTTGCGTGCTCTCACTGTGATTTTCACAGTGAGAAGCACGCAAGCGCCTCTAGCGGCTGTCAATGAGACAGCCAATAGAGGCTCTGGAGGCTGGATTACCCCTCAGTATAAACATAGCAGTTTCTCTGAAACTGCTATTTTTATTTAAAAAAAGGGTTAATCCTAGAGGGACCTGGCACCCAGACCACTTCATAAAGCTGAAGTGGTCTGGGTGCCTAGAGTGGTCCTTTAAATTTCAAATAAAGAACTTCTTTTCCCCTTCCCCTTCCCCTTCTTACCCCCTTTCTTACTCCCCCTCTCCCTCTTCTTACCCCCCTTTCTTACTTCCCCCTCCCCCTCTTCTTACTTCTTCCCCCACTCCCTTCCCTCTTCTTCTTCTTACCCCCCTCCTCCTCTGACCTCCCTCCCCCCCTTTCTTACTCCCCCCTCCCCGCGCGGAACAGGAGTTTCTGTTTCCTGTACCCGGTCGGACTGACAGGAAGGTGCACACTGAGCGTGCACCTTCCCATCACTCCGGCCGGCCACCGCGGACAGCAGTGCGGCTCGGCCACGCTACAGGGGAGGTGAGTACCAACTGCAGCCGCCTGAGCGCTCTTGACAGAGCGCTCAGGCGGCTGCAGTATTTTAAAGGGCCGGCGTATAACACGCACCCACAATTTCTCCCCTATTTTCAGGGAGAAAAAGTGCGTGTTATACGCCGATAAATACGGTATTTAATCAGGGGACTTGCGTAAGCAAATGTCTGTCACAAGCAGGCACTGTTGACGGGAATGTGTTAACACGGAGCATTCAAACATGTAACTTCTTACCCACGCTTGCTCAGTGATCCAGATATTTGCTTAGTGGCAAACTTTATGAATTGGTGTAGATTTTAAAAGGCTTTTTTGGTCTAAATTTAGTTTTTTGTGAATTTGTGGCACAATTTATAAATTCTCACAAGCACAGCTCATTTATGAATGTTTTTGCCATTTTTCCCGACAGAAAAGAGGGAGAATCTTTTCTCCGGTGAAAACTGGTGGATTTTACTGTGAAGAAAACATAGCCTTTTAGATCACTTTAATCAAATTGAACGCCATTTAACTGTCATTTTTTGGAATACTTTATAAACTAGTGTTGCATGCTTTTTTTTAAGAGTATGATCTGAATATTTGTGACCCAAACTCAAGAGGTATTTATCTGTTTGGTTTGATTTTTCTTTTTGTCTGTTTTATTGCAGCAGCTATTGCCCGGCTGGCTGTCTTACACCGTTTCAGGAGATCTCTGGGACCATCCCTCTGGGGTATAGAGATGTATGTATCAGTGAGATGTACTAGGTTAACACTGAAACTGTTATGTATAATGAATTACCTTTTTATTTTTGCTTTAGAGATATTTAAACTTAAAGTAGAACTGTCACCTCAACAATCTTTTAATTAATTGATGCTTTCATCAAATTTTGGAAATACATTTAATTTAACAAATAATCTATGTGAAAATTAAGAGAAATTCACTCCTACCTTTTAATATGGTAAAATGATACTGTCCTATACTAAAGATAGGGATGTGATTATTTTTTATTTATATTTTTGACTTTTTTTTTTTTATATATAAATTAAATTAACACAGAACCGGTTTCCTTTCAAATTTGATGAAAAGATCTTTATATTAGTTAAGTGTTGAGGTGACCGCTGTCCTTTTAAGGATGTTAACCTGAATCTATATAGATGCTTGTGGTTTTCTCTGTACAATTGCTGGAGTACCAAATTTATTTATTTATAAAATATTTTACCAGGAAGGATACATTGAGATTTCTCTCGTTTTCAAGTATGTCCTGTGCATTCATACAATAGCGTTCAATAAAATACAAAAACAATATTAATACACAATATATACAAAATTTAACATGGAACAGGTAGGAAATATATTATCAAACATGACCGGTGCATTCTGTTTTGAGGTATGTAGAGATGGATCTCTTAAATGACTTTAAGCTTGCGAAGGTGAGCGGGAGGTTGTTCCATAAATGCGGTGCTTTGTAGGAAAAGGAGGGTCGGACTGCTTTCTTTTTGTATTGAGGTAGACTAAATAAAGTGCTGGTACTGGATTGGAGCTTATAGGAGGTGGGAACAGCCGGGGAGAGCATTCTGCTCAGGTAGGGAGGGAGCTTCATCATATACAATGTGCGATTGGCAGACTGCACAGCATGTGGAGCTGTAGCAAGTCGTGAAATACAGTTTTTCTCTGCTTTCTTTATCTGAATCTGATTTGTTTTATTTCAAAGCCCCTTTGCCAATCAAGTTGAATGCACTGCATTTGGGTCCCTCTAAAGTGTGTGTTTTTTTTTTTGTTTGTTTTTTTCAGCAAGCTTAACTAAGAGCAGTAAGCTCAAATCTAGTTTAGAGCAAACACAGAACACGTTTGATTCGATCACCATTTATTGACAAAACCATGTGAAATCCCAATTTGATTTACTTGACATTTTAAGCTCTGTTGGTTGATTTGAAACCATATATTAGGCAGTCTGAGGGTTTGAATTTTCACGGGGTGGGATGAGTAAGTCCACCCTCCCACCTCCCCACAAAGAGAATTTATTTATGTAAAGATTGGAGCAGATTTTTTTAAATCTGTAAAATATTTCTTTACTTTGAGGCAGTACATGTTTTACCTCCTTTTTAAAGGAAAATAGTTTCATTTACTTTGTGCCCCAGGTGTTATTTAGCAGAATAAGCAGACTTCACGTAGCATTCCGTGAGTTACAGCTGCTTTTTCAGTAGAAAGAATTCCAAGTATTTCATATGTAAGAATCCGATAACTGCTAAGAGGTCGAAGCAGCTGATCTGCTGACCTTACATTTCCACCTGCTCTGTAATAACATGGCATTGGATTACAAATTGTTACTAGGCTGCACACCTTTTGATAAATTTCCATATCTTTCACTGAAATAAAGATTTAATTAATGAGCCTGGTCTGTAAGCATAACTCCCAACCGTCCTGGATTCGGTAACACAATGCTGATCTGGGGTTCCTGTCCTGCCCTCCTAGATGTGATCACAAATATCCTACTACTAGGAAAAACAAAGACAAGTCCTCGGTAAGTTCAGCGCGAGTACATTGTTAGACCTGCTCTGATATACTAAACTCAGAGCTTCAAAAGCACCCTGCTCACGGTCTGTCCCTCTTAACATTATCGCGTTGCTCGCGCTCACACCTCACCACCACCATTCAGCATTGGGAGGTATGCACAAAAGATCCCTTTTTTTTTTTTTTAAATTTATTTAAAAAGAAAGTGTGTGTATACGTATATTTTTATTTATTTTTTTACAGTAAAGAGTGCAAAAATTACTGAATATTTGGTTGAAACTAGTAGAAAATGTATATACTTATATGGCAGCTAAAACATTTAAAACCCATCCCAAATGGATTTCAACATTACACACACAGTGTGTGTAGTACACACTTTTTTTGTGTGTGTGTGTAAAGTTGAAATCCATTTGGGGTGGGTTTTAAGGTTTACAAAGGGTACGGAATCAATACACTTGGTACATCATTCTTTACTATATAGAAGGGCAGCCAATAAGATATATTTATGTATAGGCCAATGATGGCTGACCGTGTGTGTGTGTGTATATATGTATGTATGTGTGTGTGTGTATGTGTATGTGTGTATATATATATATATATATATATATATAATACACACACACACACTCTTCCCATGATGCTTAGCCCGCCTCTGTCCATGAAAGTGTAGTAAAGTGAAACTGGGGGAGCTACAGTTACCCTCCCCAGCCTATCCCAAACATTATATATATTCTATTGAGTAAGTTATGTGCTCCTGTTAGGAGTTCAGATGGTGTCGTTGCTGATTTCAAGGAAAATATCTGTGATTGGAGTCAGAAGGCAGAAGCCAGTAGTTTACTAAAATTTCAAGAAATACATTAAATAAAATATTCTAAAAGTACCAGTGCTTTGTACAAAAACCTTTTTTGGATTCATTCACCCACTGCTTTGAATAAAACCTTTTTGTATACCCGCTTCTCCTCATTTAGATAAAATGAACGTTCAGTGACTTAGAAGTAATGAGCACCATTCACAATGTTGTATAACTCTGTGATCTCGAAGTTGTAAATAACTTAACATGCCTTGCTAATTTGTTTCTTTCTACAAAGCTGTCAGTGTAAGCTTTTTAAGATTTTGGATGATCAAACCATGTGAACCCTGTGTCCACGGATTATCCTGCAAGGTCTCCATTGCAGCTCATGTGATTTATCTTTGCCACGTTCAGGCATTTTTTTTTATTATTTTTTTATTTTATTTATTTTTTTACTCTCCTATAAGCTTTTGCATGATACTACTCTTGGGCATAGTGCCCTTAAACGGATTCAGTCTATCCGACCACTGCTTTTTCCTCACGTTTTACCCTGTTAACCTTTTAAAATCCAGACTAGCGCGGTGTTTTTCTAGCTTGAATAATTATTACAAAATGTGCAGACTAAGCTCTACTGTTTTATTTTCTTACAACATGTTGATAACAATTTCTGTTGCTTAACAGTATGAAATGCTGTCGTGTACCATCCATGCACAACAAAAATAAAGAATAAAAAAAGCAGTAAAACCAATCCTTCTGTTTTGGGGGAATTTCTTTTTTCAATATATATATAATCTATCCTTTACTTTTTAGTTGGTCGCACAGATATTGTTTTTCTTTACGTTGCTATCTAAAACCCTGTCCGTTGTGTTTGCAGATGGCTCAGGTTTTTAAGAGTTGTCCGAATCCAGCTTTGTGACCTGTGTTTCATCTTTTTACAGTCTTCATCGTTGTGTATGGCTGGTGTTCATGCTGGAGTGGTCTCCAACGCACTCGGTGGACAAATTAACGTGGTGATCAGCAAAGGCATAGCATACTATGAAAGCTCTCTGGCAAACAATGTTACATCCAAAGTGTAAGTATCGCAGTTTGCATAAACTTGTTACAGCCCACCGCTTGGAGGTTGTTTGCCTGTGTGTGCTTTTTGGTGTTTCTGTAAGACAATAAGCACGTTTTATACCCAGAATCCACAAGCATACAAAACAGTCATTACAGAAATAGATCTACCAGATTTGATTTTCTAAGGATTTTTTTTTTTTTTTTTTTTACTTTCCCCGAAAGCAGCTTTATTTTATAATCAGGATGGGCCAAAATTCAGTGTAGGGTCTGTTGGTTAAATTTTTATTTTATTTTTGTTGCAGGTACATATTTGTACTGAGTCTTGTGAGATTAATCATGGGTAAATTCACAAAAGAATAACACAATGAGTCAGAGAAAACAATGAATTTATTCTTAAACTCATGTCTGGCAAAGACTTATTTTCACTTAAATGGATTTAACAATGAGCAAAACAGTAGTTTCCAGGGTACAAGAAATCCACGGTTAAGTTATCAGCACCAAATGCACCCTCTAGTGCAGGGTGACCACATAGGAAGTTATCTGCAGAAATTCGCGCTCTAGAGCCTTAAACATTTATGTTATGAACAACGTAATCGAATGAGCCTGACTTTCAAAGCGGCAACAGAGCTCATTTAAAAGATGTCATCTTCTGTACCTAGTCAAACAAATCTCCATACGTTAAGCATTTATTGTATGTAATATCATTGAAATTAGTTAATTAATAAAAATTAAAAAAAGTTGACTCCTTAAACCCTACTCTGAATTTTGACCCACCCTGTATTTATTTAAATATTTAATTATTGTGGGAAATTACAATTTTAACAAATATTTCCTATTTCTAATGAAAGCTATTTTCGAGTATTTTTAACACTACTAAGAGCTTAAGAGTCATAGGAATGTAAGCAAGACAACCATTTTGGCAAATTAGTAGAATTAGTGTGAAACTTCAAATTACAGATACGATGGGTTCGTTTGTTTGTTTTTTTTATTACTCCATCACGGTCAATCTGTTTTGACAAATTGTGCATTCATGTAAAATACTCTTTAGATATTCTTTCAAATTCAGATTTAGGAAGTGGACTATGCCACCGAGGAGAGGATTCTCTCTTCAGAACACAAGTTTTTAAATGTTAAAGGTTTCAGATTTAATATCCAAGGAAACTTACGTGAGATTAATGTGCTACATAGGATAGTGTTATAGCTTCTACCTAAACCAACAAAGGATAAAAAAACACCTATACTGGTTTTATTTTTGTTATGATAAAAACGTTGAGAGTGAATTCTTTTCCTGTGACTTCTTAATCCCTTTGTGAGATGGTTTATATCTTGCATGAATGTTCACGTCATGAATTCTTTCTGTTCTTTCTCTTACAGTGGGCCATTGTCTACAAGCCTCTTTACATTCAAGACGAGTGGTGAGTTGTATTTATGTATTTTTATTGTCATTGATCTTCTTTGATCAAGTTAAAATGATAATTCTCTAGAATGAATCTCTGCATCCATCTATACTATAAATGGTGATATGCTGCACATAGAATTGCAATATCCTTAGTGTCGTAGGTGGTAGGCTATGACCTCCGTTTGTAGGAAATCTTGAAGAATTTAACATGATGGGAATTTCCAGGGAACACATTGTGCTTGGCATCCATGCATAAATCAACTGGAAAATGAATGTAATGCCCACAGCAACATTACAAAGCATTCAAAGGTTGTTGCGGTGGATGACCTGCTTGCTTACTATGTATTCTCCATTTTTAGGGCGATCCTGCATATGATGTATTTGTGCTGTGTGAAAGATTAGTGTGATTCTCAAGCAAAGAAAGGCAACCTAAATCTTTTAGATTTATTTTATTTTTACAACATATAAAACTGGTGTTCTAGGTCATCTGGAAAGGTTGTGATAACAATTCATGTAAATCATACAGTACAATCTGTTCATTGTTATGGTTGTAAACTGAAGTGACAATTTAGAGGGAATTTTAAATATTAGGACAAAGTAGTTGAACATAAAGCATATCATAATTAAAGAATTTTTCTGTTCAACTATTTAGGTCTTAAATGGGAAATTCACTTTGAATGGACTTTTAATTCTCACTTTAGTAATAAACCGTGTGTATTTTCATTTTCCAGCATTTCTAGTTTAATAAATATAGGCCTCAATTTAATGTGTTTGGCTGAGCTTTTCAAATCATTTATTTTTTGATTAATATTCCATTTTTAATTTTTTTAATACTTTAATATTTAGAAAAAAATCCTTTTAACAGTTTTATCAAAAAATTTAATCATTTGGAAAACTTCTCTAAAAATATTTAATCAAGGTCAACTTTACCACTGCAGTTTATACCCTTTTGGTGTGGCAATCTTCACTGTGAAATGGTATTGTTATATTTTCTAATAATTGTTGAGTAATAAAGTACAACCGTAGATTACACTTTACTGTATGTGATGTGCCTCTGTGAACATTATTTGCTTTAATTATTATTTATTGCACAACACTTGCAGGATAATGAGACTTGATGTTGACCCACCTGTTTTTGTATTTTTGGGGGATAATTCGTTTAATTTATACCTTTTTAATGAAATCATGGTCTGGGTAATATTAATCCTCCAAAATTGACTGCGAATTTCCTCCTAATAGCTCTGTATATGCTCTTTTTAGTTTAGTCTCCAACCTCTCCCTATCCAACAGAAAATAGATGATGAATAGTAGAAATATTGAATGCTTGTATAAAATTTGTATTCACTTGGAATGTTTTTGTTTTGGCCAGGGTGTTATGGAACTTTAGGGATGGAATCTGGAGTTGTCCCAGACTCGCAGATAACCTCTTCTTCTATCTTGGAATGGATCGACCCTGAAGGACAGAATAATGTGTGGAAGTCCGATAAAGCCAGACTGAAAAAAATTGGACCTTCCTGGGCAGCATCATTTAGTGATGAACATCAATGGCTGCAGATTGACCTGAATAAACTGAAAAGGATAACAGGTCAGTGAACATTTCACGACTCTTTAGCGGTGAGATTACGCAATCATTCAGCATTCGTTCCAGCTGGGAGAATATGCATCTGTGATACCCGGATTCAGAAGAGACTAGAGGTCTGATCTGATTTAGGCAACCGGACCGATATTGGACACTATAGGAGTTATTCACTAAAGACGTTCTGCCTCCAAGGCAAATTATGTGCAAAACACAGCACAGTATTTATTAAAGAGTGGTTGCCAGACAAAATCAATGAATGCTTTATTGTGCGCTTTTCTGTTTAATAAATCTATCATTTCTACATTTTATTAGTGTAGTAATTGTTTGTTTTGTTTCATCTGAGCATTCCCTAGGATTTGGAAGCATTTTTACGTTAATTATATTGCGATAAACACATCACTTTATAAGGTGTATGGATGTCTGCAGAGCCGTCAAGGGAGAGTGAGACACGGTTCCCGGTACTATGATCATAGCACCAGGAAAATATCTTGCGGCGCCCCTGTGTGCCCGTCGCAGTTTGGGAACCGCTGTGTTAACTGGTCACTTTCTTTTGTAACTATCTTTCCTATATTTATACACGGTACAAAGCTTTGGGAAATGGGAATATTTTGCATAAAGCAGTGGTCCACTTTAACTTTCGAGAGGGAGAGCGAAATTGAATTAGCTTTGTGTAGCCTTGAAATATTTATATATACACACAGTGGGGGATATGTTGTCACATTTATTTTATATATTTCTTTTTAGGGATCATAACAACAGGATCCACTCTCTCCAAGTTTAACTACTATGTTTCTTCCTACAAAATTCAATACAGTGATGATGGATCCAAGTGGACAATGTACAGAGAACCCAATACTGATAAAGACAAGGTAAAAGTTTCATAGAGTTACACTAAGCCCTATAGCGGAGATAGACAATTGTTTGCATTCCAGATGTTGTGGACATCATTCCTAGTTCTGCAGTGCTGAAGGTTGCTTACCTGCTTACCTCTCTCTTATTCTAAAGGCATGCAAAGCATCATGGGAGTTGTAGTTCTACAACATCTGGGGATCTACCTATTGGGCACCCCTGTCTTAGATGTATGCTCAACCAACCTATGTAACAACATATTTAAACATGTCACACCCTTCTTGTTGGTTTTTGTATTTTTAGATATTCCAGGGAAATTCCAACTACGACCAGGAAGTTCGAAATAACTTTATTCCCCCCATAGTTGCTCGGTTTGTGAAGATAAACCCTGTGAAGTGGAACCAGAAAATTGCTATGAAGGTAGAGCTGCTTGGATGCCAGTTTAATCCCGGTGAGAATGTCTTTACATGTGCAACCATTTCCCTTATTCCGTGTTGGTTACATCAATGGTTTTATACTGTCAATCCAATATGGCCTAGAAAGACCCTATGGTAGTATGTATTGCTAAGAATCTGCTGTTTTATACAGCCCTGCCACTGTTACTGGAGTAGTATATTCCATTTTGATATAGTATTAAATGTTTGGTTTATTATTATGGATTTTAACAGGATTTGGACCTTAAGGAGAGTTAAAGGGATACTGTAGTGCCAGGAATGCAAAGCTGTATTCCTGGCACTATCGCTCTCGCTTCCTCCCCCCCCCCCCTTCCCCGGGTAAATAAAGGGTTGAACCCCTTTATTTACTTATCTTATCACAGAGCCGGTGCCCCTTCAACATCCCGTGATGAGCGGGCACTAATGTGCATGTGTGGCAAATGCCACACGTGCATTACACCTCCCCATAGGAAAGCATTAGTCCAGTCTTCCAAGTTAGAGGCACTCTTGCTTCTAGAAGTAAAAACCTTACTAGACTAGAAAGTCACAGAAGACATTCGTCCTCCAGAATACTTCTTAGAATGTTCTTGATTCAGAAGCCAGACCACTCCTTCAGACCGATTCTGGATATAAGAAAGGTCAATTTATAGGACTCCAGGACAAGGTATTGCGTGGAAAATATTTTGACTTCTAAAAATGGGATTGGATGTGTTCCCTAGTTGTGAAGGATGCTTACCTTCATTACATAGTTGAGTCTCCAGGAGAAAATGTTTAAAGTTTTGTGTCCAAGATCATTATTTTTGTTTCTTCACCTTTTCCCTTCTGTCTCATCAGTCTCACAAGTCTTTGCAAAGGTGCTGGTGGTAATTGTGGCACATCTGATGGGGAAAAAAGTATCTGTATTCTGTATCTAAACAATTGACTTTTGAAAGCTCTGTCAAAGGAACACTTTCTCAAAGATTCCCAAGCAGATATGCTCTGTCCATGGTTGGATGTTAAATCTACAAACGTCAGAACTAAATCCATCCAACAGCCTTCAGTTTTTGGGTCTTATTTTAGACTCTATACAGATGAGAAATGTTTTTACTCCAGAGAAAGTAAGCAAGCTGAGATCTGCTTTTCCATCTTTGGAAAAAGGAGAATCTGTTCGATCAGAGTCCTGGGTCTTATGACTTCTGCTATACCAGCAGTCAACTGAGCAAAAACCCATATGTGCCCTCTCCAAGCAAATTTCCTTGCAGAATAGGACCATATAAATTCTTCTCTATACAATCTAATGTAAACAACATTAAACATCTGGCAGAGAACTTCCTAATTTCTTGCTTCTAGTCTATCCTTCAGAATTAAAACCTGTGTGCTTATTTTGACGCCTTTCATTCTGAAAAAGGCCGCTGGTTCCAGGAAGATATAAATAAGTCTACCAACTTCAGGTAACTTAAAGATGCTTGACAAATATACGAACACAACTATCTGGGATACAGCTTGTATTCCTAGGAAAAAAAAATAAACAAACAATGCATTGTGTAATATTGTTTAACAGTGTAACTATCACACAATAAGCACAAACGTGAAGAATTAAGCACTCGAAAGGTGCTTCTCCCAAAGATGATTGTGGCTATAACTTCCTTAAGGCTGCCAATATCTACCAGGAGCCAGACTGGGATCCGGACAGCGGGTATCAAAAAGGTATTTTAGTGAATAGCAATAAAATATAAAAGCGTCAGGGCCTACGCATTTCATACCCTCAAAAGGAACTTCCTCAAGGAAGAGAGACCCAAATATTTGGATGCCTCTACTAAAATTCAAGAATCTTCTTCTACACAGCCATGTACAGATTAGATCAGAACATTCCACAACAGTGGCATATCTGGACAGACAAGGGGGACTTGCTCATCCTCCATATCCAGCTTTTGAATTCGAAAAATATCATGCTTTCGGCAGGAATTAATCTTCTGTCAATTTCAGCAGTTCATCAAAGGATTTTCCAATAATTTGACAGACGCTTTAAGCAGTAATCACATTAAACAAGGAGACTGGTCTCTCAGATATTTACCAAAGGTAGATTTGATGCCGTCAAGGATAAACAAGAGACTACAGAAATCCGCCTCCATCCAAGATTCTGAACAACCAGATGCCTTGGATTGTATTTCAATAAAATGGAACTTCTTGCTACCTTAATCTTCGCTCCTATATACCTGATTCCAAGTGTACTCCAGAAGACCATTCAAGACAGAGTAGGAATGGTGTCAGTTGTTTCCTTCTGACCTTACAGAAGTTGATTCTCCACTTTGAAGACTCTTAAATCAATTACAGATCATTGGAATATTGAGATTCGGGAAGACACATCCTAGAATACAACCTGGTACCTCTACAGACCCTGATAACCTTTAAACGAACAACTTGGCTTCTGATCCCCTGGTTACCAGGTTTATTGAAGACTGTATCTAATCTGTTCCCCCACCATCAGAGAACTCATTCTACATTGGGACATTAATTTGGTGTTTACAGTCCTTTGCTCCCCTCCATTTAAACCAGTGCAAGATTGTGAAATGTGTCTTCCCTTGGAAGACTGTATTCCTAGTTTCATTAACATTCCTTGAAAGGTTTGCCGATCTTCAGGCTCTCGTTATCAATATTTTGTTTTTCATCTGGAGAGAATCAAGGAATTCAGGAAATTTGAATATTTGTTCTTTTCCACTTGATTAGAGAAGCCATATATCTGGCTTATAAGGCTTCAAATGTTTCACCTCCTAGTAAACTTAAAGCTCATTCAATGAGAGCAGTCTCTACTTCCTGCGCTCAATTCATTGCTAAACATAACCGGTTCGATATTATGGCCTCTCACAATTCGTTTTGGTTTTCCGGTATAACAAGCCATTTTTACATGAAGATCTGACTCACCCTTTGAATTGCTTTTGTCCCTAAGGTCCTGTAATGCCTTTTAACCTGCTTGGGGGGGGGGGGCGCGATTGCTCTATTTCCAGCTAACTAGCCTTTATTAAAAAAAATTACATTTTGATGAGAACTAAGCAGTTCAATAACTGGTTTAGATGACTGATTTGGTTTGATTATTAATGCTAAAAAGTATAACAAATTATTTTAATTATTTTTTTTTCCTTCTACCTTGAAGTTTTGGCTCCAAAAACAATCCCTCCTGCCTTGAAGCCCCGTGCTAATAATCGCTCCCCACCTATTGTGGACAAGACCACCTCTCCCTCTCCTCCGGAGATCAAGAACACAACGATGAGTCCAAATATTACAAGAGGTAACTTTATGATATCTAGCTATAGCAGAATTGCACTTCTAGGGTTACATTTCTTAAAACAAACTTTTATAATTACATGGACCTAGCTTATATGTGACTGCTCCATCTATGCAAACCCTGTCGGGTAAACCCAATGTTTCAGTTAAGGATTAAGAACCAGTGATCCAGGCTAGTGGGTAAAAACATTCTATTGACCGTATCAATCAGTGTGTCCTCTATCTTTCTTTGCGTTTATATAGCATACATCCACGAGAGATGGATTTAACGCTTCAATGTATGCATTATAGTTTGGTTTAAAAAAAAAAAAAAAAAAAAAAAAACTATATTGGAGAGTAAAAATGACAGGACCTAGGCACCCAGGCCACTTCACTGAGATGACATGGACTTTAATAAAGTCACTGTTTGCAGTTCAAACATTGTCCAGCAAATATAGGCAATTATATTCCATTTTTATGATGATGTGGGATGCTCTGCTTTGGTCATCGTCGGGGAAAAAAAAAAAAATTATTTTTTTTATTTTTTTTAAGCTCATTTTATAGTCTATATTCACTTTGGAAAGGTAAATTTGAATTGCCAGTAGAAAGATGACTATTAGACTGGTTTTATTTAAAAAAAAAAAAATACTGCATATGAATTTGCAATAATATTTATGAAAGATGTAGGGTTTTTTTTTTTTTTTTAAAACACAAAGCTCTGGTATGTCGATAGACTCTGTAGCAGCAGAGGGGTTACCGAGACAGTCTTCCAGCAGGCGTGTAAAGAAAGTTTGCTGAGAAATGCTTAGCTCTGCCTTATGTCAGCTGTGAGCTGCCTACTCCCTGTTAGGAATGCTGGGCTGACATCACAGGGTTCTGAACTCTGCAAGTAGTCCTCTGACTCACACTGTGAGCAGCCAAGGGCCAGAGATTAGTTTAACCATTAGGCTGCTGGAAGAGGTGGCAATGAATAACACATTAATGGAATAGCTAGATTGATCTATACTTTGTTGTACAGGCATTTGTGTTGTTTGTATGGAATGTAGTGGAGATTACTTGGTTAAGATCGAGCATATAAACATTTTGTGGCCAAACAGTAGAAGCTCACATGAAACGTTTGTAAGCCTGTCTAACAAAGCGTCATGAGATCTTCAGTTCCACAACAGCAGGATTATATTTTTATCAAACCTACAATAGGGAGATGAGGATGACTGCACACTCACCGTACCTCCTCGGATATTTCCATAGGGTAATTTTATGGATAAACCAAAGTATTGTTAGGAATACAAACATTAAGCTGTAGTGGTTCTGGTGACTATAGTGTCCCTTTAATGATTGTTTTTGGTTCTGTCGGTATGAATTTTTATTCTCCCCTCTATACAATATGCCTATATCTGTTTTTTTTAATGTGAGAGAACAAACATTCAGTTGAGGTAGAAGTGCTAAATCCAAAAGCAAACAGAGGTTCAGTGAGCTCTGTAACAGAATGGACGTGTGTTGTGAAATCTGTGCTTGTGTTCCGCTGGTGACCCAGAAGAGGTTACTTCGCCCAACACCTACACAAATATGTGGTCACTGATTGGCGTGTAAACCTCTGTGTTCTTGTTTTAATGGATTGCAGATGTACCCTTGGCAGCGATCGTGGTTCCTGCATTAGTCATGGTTCTCACCGGCATCATACTGGTGTTAGTTTGCGTCTGGCACTGGAGGAACAGGTTGGTAAAATTCATTTCTCGGCATGCAGCGTTTTAAACATTGCTTTTCCCAAAATGCAAGCTACTGGCTTAACCCCTTTCTCGTCAGAGGTGACTTTGAATAAACTAATAAACAGATTCTCTGAACTTTAATTATTTAAACTAAACCGACAACAAAACTGTTTGCCTATCCTACACTGAATATTGCATGTATGTACATATGCAGAATATAGAGATCTAATCTAACTTTTAAAGTGCTATTGCCTTTGTTAACCCTGAAAGCACCAGTGATATATTATGGTAATACAATAAAAATCTGGCCATGAGACATTCTATAGAAGTGGGGAATGTCCTTATTTACCTTTTGTTGCAATATTCAGCTAAATGGTTGTTTTAAAACCCCTACATCATCATGAAATATCCCAAAGATCTGCCATTAAATAATTATTTTAGTGATGGTCATTAAAGTGTTAATTACGATGTTGCACAGCAGGCGTGGTAAGCCATTTTTTTGGTTCGGGAGGAGATTCCTTTCACTGTGCAAAGGAACATTGCTTTAGTTTATATACTCAACATTTCATATTTCCGGATGCTTACCAGATAGCATATCTTACAATGCCAATGTTGGGTTCGATGGCACAATTAGATTATTATTCTGTGATTGCAGTTTTATTGAATAGTTGAAGCTCTGCAGGCCTGTGCTTATACAGTATAACTAATTGGATCTAGGTTTCTCCTGTAGGAGACACATATACACTGGACTCCACTTATATTTGGAATTGTAAAATATATATATTTAAAAAAATGTTTATTATTTAAATCTGTCCTTGTAAAATAAAGTTCCTGCTATGACTGATCATCCACAGAAAGCAGATACTATAGGAACATTCATAAATAACCAGATTGACAAAGCTCTGAAAGCGGATCAATTGAATGTCTTTGAACATTTAGCACTTTGCCACAAAATAGCATCTGGGTTGATTTAATAAATCTACGCCGATATTTGTAAATACAGATTGCGTTAAAAAATTGAGTAAGTTAGAAATACTGCCCAATCGCACGTTGTAGTCCTCATCAGCAAGGCACCGTTAGGTACTATCCCTGCATCACTGTTATTAATAACACATTGTTTTCTACTGCCCTCTTGTGGCTGACTTCATTTTATTAATTAAAGGACCACTGTTATCAAATTTTCACTATTTTTAAAAAAATTCACTACCTGTATTTCTGACCCTATGGTGTTAAAATCAGCACTGCCCCATGAAGCACATCTAGCAGCCATCTGAGGAGTGGCCAGAGGAGGTGTCCCTAGGCTGTTTTCAGAGAAAATTTTGTGTTTACTGCAAAATGCCAGAAGGGAATTATTATACTCCCCAGAACAAATAAAATAAGCTATAGTTCTTGAGACTATAGTGTCCCTTTAATTAACACAGTCCTTTATTTCCTGCATGGCTTTCTATGTTTTGTTTACAGGAGGGATTTATTTTTATTATATGATCTGAGTTTGTATATTTATTTCTTCCATGCTACAGAAAGAAGAAAGCGGAGGGAACGTATGACTTGCCTTCCTGGGATCGTGCAGGTACCATATTAAACCTTTTACTAAATCCTACAAGTTGTATGTAGTAATGGGAACCCTCTATCGCCATTCCTGCAAAGATTAGAGGTTTAACGCTGCTGCTCCTCCTGTCTGGATACAAATACCCTTTTCAGAATTGTATATGAACTCTCTCTTATTGTGAATGCCCAATTACTGCTTGGAAATCATTCGCTCTTCATGGCACATTTAAAAAAAAAAAAAAACCTTGGCAATTGTTCTTTCAATTTGGCATATCATTGCCACTTATGGTCTGCTGTTAACACTCTGTAGGGGAGGTGAGTTATGTTCCTCCTTAATAAATAAATGTGGACATAAGTTAAATGCTAGAATCTATGCAGCATTTAAAGTGACAGACTGGGATGGTGTAGACAAGTTACGTTGTCTGTTGAGCTTTGTATGTGCCCCTAAATTATTTTCTAATTTCTTGTAGGGTGGTGGAAAGGAATGAAGCAGTTTCTTCCAGCCAAATCAGCTGAGCATGAGGAGACCCCTGTGCGGTACAGCAGCAGTGAAGTTGGCCGTCTTCGACCCAGAGAGGTGGCTACCATGTTACAAGCAGACTCAGCAGGTACTGATATTAACTAATCCTGCTAAGATACTTTGAAATCCGTAGAGTGAGCTATGCCACCATAGTATTAGAGATTAACTGCGCTCTAGCAAATATGAACATGTGCATATATCAATACATACTAGTAACTTGTACTTTGCTACTTTATATATAAACATATGGGTCTCCAGTTTTATTGTACTGGATCATACACTAGTTGTGTTTGCATTACTCAAAAAGAATAAACATATAATCATAGTTATGTGTCCAGAATGATATGGATACGTTATAGAGAGTTCAGAGAAGGGCTACTAAACTGGTTCATGGATTGCGGGATAAAACTTACCAGGAAAGGTTAAATGATCTTAACATGTAAAGCTTGGAGGAAAGACGAGACAGGGGGGATACGATAGAAACATTTAAATACATAAAGGGAATCAACACAGTAAAGGAGGAGACTATATTTGAAAGAAGAAAAACTACCACAACAAGAGGACATAGTCTTAAATTAGAGGGACAAAGGTTTAAAAATATCAGGAAGTATTACTTTACTGAGAGGGTAGTGGATGCATGGAATAGCCTTCCAGCTGAAGTGGTAGAGGTTAACACAGCCATGAAGTTTAAGCATGCGTGGGATAGGCATAAGGCCAGGGACTAATGAAAGTATTTAGAAAATTGGGCAGATTAGATGGGCCAAATGTTTCTATGCATGCATATGAGTTGAATATCCTTATGTCCAACTGCTATTTAATTTTGCTTTTGTCTGTATATGTGTTAACAGAATATGCTCAGCCACTCGTAGGAGGAGCACTTGGCACTCTTCATCAGAGGTCGACCTTCAAGCCAGAGGAAAGCAAACAGCCCAGTTTCAATGACCTGGACTCCTACAATTGCCCTGACCAGGAGATTTACCATGCTTATGCAGAGCCGCTGCCTACAAGTGGTCCAGAATATGCCACTCCTATTGTAATGGATATGTCTGGTCACCCAACCGGAACCATGTGTTTGCCTTCAACATCCACATTTAAAGTTCCTGGGACTCAAGCTCCCCCGTTGGTGGGGAATTATAATAAACTACTATCTAGGACAGACAGTTCACCCTCTACACAGGTACTATACGACACTCCTAAAGGGACTCAAAGTGCATGTCCTGTAGAGGAATTGGTGTACCAAGTCCCACAGAGTGTACCACAACCAACAGTGAACAAAGACGTTCCTCTTTAGGCAGTGTATGCCTCAGAGACTGGAGGAATAGAGACTTCTGGATGCAAATACCAGGTTCAACAAAATGGCTTTATTTTCTACGAGCACATTGCTTTTAAAGTGTAGGCATTTGTGTAAAAAAGAAAATTAGCTTTTAATCGCACTACTAAGATGACTTGTGAAACAAAGTTTTTGATATTGGAGCACAAGCCCTACCCAGTAACATAAAAATAACTAATCGTTACAGATCTGAATAGTGTGTAAGGTTACATAAACTGAACATGCTGCGTGTGCACTCCTATTACAGGGATACTATAGATAGAAAAGCAACTTTAGTTTAATTAAGCGGTTTTTGTTTATAGATCGTGCCTCTTAAGTTTCACTGGTCAATTCTGTCATTTAGGAGTTTCTTTGTTTCTGTTTATGCAGCCCTAGCCACACCTCCCCTGAAAGCAAAGTGGTCGCATTTTCAATCAGATGTTACTTACTTTACCTCCTGCTCTGCAATTTGCACTTTAATGACACACATGATGCTCCAGCAGGATCTAGTAAGCTATTAACAGAGCAGGAGATAAGTAATTCTAAATTAAACAGAAATTGCAATAAAGGAAGTGTAAACATTAGATGACTTTTTACAGGAAGTGTTTAGGAAGGCTTTGCAAGTCACATGTAGGGAGTTGTGCATAGAGCGGCATAAACAAAGTCATTTTATTAACTCCTAAATGGCAGAGAATTGAGCAGTAAAATGGCAGGGTCATGATCTATACACAAAAAACTACCTCATTATGCTAAACTTGTTTTTGTGAGTATCGTGCCCCTCTAAGTGCCCTGATCTGTTCATGTTTTGTTGTATTAATAATTACCTTGTTGTTCCGCAAATACACATCTTTACAAGATCAGAGAAAAAGCTCTCGCTCGGTTTACATTCTCCATTCATTTTAGAAGAAAAATGTACTCCTATGTAGACACACTGTTTATTCTACCAAGCTCTGATTTGGACAGCTTGCGTGGTAAGCACTCAATGTTCTCTGACCCACGGTTGCATCTTGCCCTAATTCCTCAAACACTGAATGTTCTTTTGTTTCAATAACTGTATCTCCAGTCCCCTGCCTTCAGCAGCTTTTCTTGACTGTATCATTTTGAGCCCCTGTTTCAAATTTCAGTCCATGATTAATGTCACATCGGTTAACTGAAGGGAAAACTTGAAGTCTTTGTATACAACTTCCAGCAGTAAGCAAGTAGAGTATCGATTTATGTACTGCCAGGTATAAAGTGGTGTACCGTGTACTTGGCAAATCGATTCTTCTCTGTTGGGCAAGTGATCATTGAAGTTTGTGTTGAGTGTAATTGACACAATGTGTGTACTTTGCTGGTACTGCAATGTATTTCTTGTTTTGTTTTTCTTTTATATGTGTTTTTATTAAGAGTTTTTTGCTCCTTAATTTATAAAGAACGCATTAAGTCATGTGATGAAGATAGGCAAAGAGTGCATGGATATTTTGGAGAGTTGTTTATACATAATATTGTGACTTTTCCAGATTGATTATTAACTAGCTTTCACGTGAACTTGTTGGGGGGGAGGGGGATGGGACTCAAATACATTTTGAAAAAAGTCACCAGGTGAATTGGATTATTTTAATAATAAACCATGTGAAGGATGGGATGTTAAAGATGCGGCTTTCCAAATGTCCCTCATGTGTCAGTTTGTTTCAGGAGTAAATAAGGCTGTGATCCATCAACGGTCAAGCTACTAGTGATCAGTGGCTTTCTAACTGAACTAGGCTTTTTGGAACAAGAACATGATGCTGTTCAGCTCACAGGCAATAGCCTGTAATAAATCTGCCGTAACCGCCTGCCTTCCCCAGGGCAATGGAAACCCATTTGAAGAGTTGAGTGATTGTGTTTTGGTAAATTTATTGTTTGTTCTATTGCAATTTTATAATGGGCCACTGAACAACTTGTGAACTGGGTTGTCAATGACGTTTAGTTACTCGTCACTCGTATTTTTAATGCTTTGACAAAGGGGTTATTCAAATTTCTAGATTTTGGCTTCAGCTAAATATTATAGACAAAGAGTGTGGTCTGTTTTTTGTTTTTTTTCTGGTTGAATCCAGCATTTAGACCTGCATAATGGAGAAGACCAAGGAAAAAACATATGATTTGATGCGTTCTCGTTAACCGCTGCATAGATAATCCTATAGATGGTCCTAAATTAAATATTAAGTTTTGCTCTCGCAGTATTACTGCTTTTAAGACGGTGGTGTCCTTTATACGGTCTATGCATTTTATATAGTTGTTCCAATCCACTGGTAGCATATAAAACCCAAACGAAAAACACACACAAGTAGAAAACTGCCTCTGCACACAGCCTTTATGCCGCAACTATGATTAAAAAAAAAAAAATAATAAAGTAATTAATAAATAAGTACACAGTGGTTACATACTATAGCTGATAGATTTACTTCTGGTGCTGGTTCCATAGTTCACAATTCCAGAGAAGAACCGCACTTTGTAATCCGTAAGCTCGACATGTTGAGGATTTTATCTAGATTGCTTGTCACTTATGTCTGTGTGTACTTTTTTAGGAATCCATCTCGTACTGATTACAAAGTACAGTTCTTCTCTGGAGTTGTGCTGACCACAGCTACCAGTGTAGTTTTGCCAGATGCATACGCATTTCCGGTCAGTGTAGTGGTTATGCTGCTAGCTGTCTCTGGATGCGCTTAACAAGTACGTGGTCAAACTGTGTAGGTCCCCTCCTGGGCCTTAACGATCCGTTAAATCAGCCACAGCATTCAAGTTGACATTCATAACACAAGGGCAAATTCTACATTATGAATGCAGCAAGGAAGGCCCCCTCTAATTATATGATGGGGGAGTAAAAATAATTCAGCTAATTTTCTAGGTCTACTATTTTGGTTCAAGATGTACTATTCACATTTCATTATTGCATTCTAATCAAATGACCCGGACCTCTTTTTAAAGATTTAACTCATTTTCTTGTCCTGTCTGCTGTAAGAGGCGACGCTAGACCATTAGTATGTGTAACCATGGTAAGCCAGGAAAAATTTATTCACAAAATAGGACTATTTTAGCACATTTTGATATAATGCTAAAAACCCATGCTAATTGCAGGAGTTCTTTTAGCTATTCTTGTGAGTGATACATTTTGTGAATAGAAATGCACACTAATGAGATTATTGACTAACGTGATTTGTTGGAAAAATCATCCGATCTGAAATACACTTTGACTTTCCAATTTAGCTTTAAAATCCCTTTAACTTAAATTGGCGATTGACCCTAGAATGTAGAGCTAATATTTTCAATGTATATATTTTTCAATAGTTACGGTCTGTACGATTTTCCCACTCTCACTTTATTTTTACACATTATTTTGCTGCCCATTGGCACACACCTCTCCTATAATTATGGCCCAAACTGTTCTTGTCTTGTTGGACGTAGTTTAACTTTCTCTACAGTTTATAAGATTAAACCACATCTGCCGTGATATTGGATGCTATTACAGGTCCATCAATGAGGAAAGTTCTGCTATCTTGGGGTCAATGTTTTGAATTAAAAGTTTGTTGAATTACATATGTTTGTGTATGTACTTGCCTGTAGGGGGTTGTTTGTATAAGTTAAAGCAGAGGTCAAGGATGGACCATAAGCTGTAACCAAATGGCTACTAAAAAAGCGTTTAAAAATGTCAATGATCTATAGTCCACATCTATCTTCCATTAATGTGAAATATACTTTTTTCATTTTCTGCTGGTGAAATTACTCAATTTAGTAATTTTTCCACATGAGATTCAACCACTTGTGATGGAACACTGAAAAAATATTTTCAATGGTCCATCTATCATTATAGAATAAAATAATGCTGGTTATGATATAACTGATGACATGTCATGATTCCCTTTTATTCCAGAAGCTTGGTCCTTAAGGGGTTAAATCTCTACTGCCCATTGACCACTTTGATTGCTGTTTGGTATAGCTGTGTGAATACAGTGCTTACAAATTCCGCAATGGTTAAACACCAACAAATAATCACGTTATTAATGAGTCTAAATGTTATGTTTGATACATGGAGATTTTATTACACTTTCATACAGTGACTGGAATCCCAAGTGCAAATTCCCACAATGAAATAACTAGTAAGGAATTCTGGGAATTGTAGGATCCTCCGCAGGAAGACTAGCAAGGTTGGATAACCTGCCATCCCATAAACATCTCCTCATTGTCTAAGGGAGTAAATACAAATACATGTGATTAGGTGCTGACTGACAACAGTGTATTCAATTTAAAATAAAATATTGAAATGTTTTGTTAAAATTTAGCTTGGGATAATTGATGGTATTTTGGGTCTGTTCATGCACAGAGGATTAAAATAGAAAATCTTGTATTGAAATGAGTATTTTCCCTTGTGTATTTCAAACATGCAGAGCTGGGTGATCACAATTATAGTGAGTGTGGTGATTACTGGAGCAGATTAAATCTGTTACAAATCTGTACCGATATACTGAGAATAACTACCACTAAACTTGTGCAAAACCGTGTTTAGAACAAACAGGCCAAAACAAATGTTTGCAACAAACAAATGTTTTCACCTCGCCATTTCTAATATGAGGGTGCTTTCATTTTTCTAGTGAACTCTATGGTAATTCGATTTGTTTATCCATCTATTAACCAGCCTGTTTTATTGCCTGGAGGTCAAAGTGTTAAATGTTCTAAAATAGAATTATGAAATATGTGCTTTTTTTTTTTTTTTTCGTCCTTAGAAATTGACTAGTCAAACCATACTGTTTGGATTTATTTACAAATATGCCCTGTAGATAGAATGAACACATCTCATCGAGTTGAATCTTACAATTACAAATTTCTTTTTAAAATGTTTGAGCAAGCTTGTCACATTTCTTCCTAGTGGGTACTTAATCATAGGCTGAAAGATCCACAATCCCCATGGTGTTTGTATCATCATAGGAAGCCATTTACAGAATATAGCATTGATGGCACATCTCCCATAATGCATTGTGAGACATTTAGGGCCACATACATCTGGAGTACAAATAGCATTTCCCACTGCTGCACTGACTTATTGGAAGGCGTGTAACTGTTGGTGGTAAGTTGGGAAACCTAGTTAGTTCTTGCATGAGGACTGTTATGAACAGTGTTACACGATTTTACGTTTTATCATCACTATTACATACAGCTGGATAATAATCTCCTGTGCACTTTTCAGAAGCTCTTGTTTCCCAAGTTTAACAGTAAACCAATGTGATAAACGCATGTGCAGTCATTCTGCACAAACTGTGAATGTGCTACACTTATTCCGGTAACCAATCCATGTTAGCAGCACACAGAATTATCTTCCTTTCCATCAGAGCTTTGCAATGGCACAAAGTGGACACATTATAACTCTTTATCTAAATGTGCATTTCTTTTAAATCCACAGTGCTCCTTGAATGTAATTTGTGTGGAATCAGCATGTACTGTAGACACATATATGTATATGTTGTTAGACTGTAGATTGTATAAAGGATGAAAGGTCTATGTGTTCAAACATAGATGTACATAAAATAAAACATTTTTTTGAAGACTTTTAATCTTGTATCTTTGTGAATTTAATATCAGGCAAAGCATATCACCCAGAGCCAGCAGTTGGTGAGTTATTGAACATTTCAATGGAAGCATTTTATTTATATATCCAATTAATAGATAAGTCCCCAATGAAAACCTGCATTTATTACTGAATTTTTAATTGTAAGGGATATCTAAAAACTTTCCAAAAGCTGCAGATCTAATGTCTGCAGCCTTTGCTGGCCCTCCCCTTAGACAGACTCTGTTTGTGCTGGGAAATGAAGCCAAAGTTCTCCAGGTGTAGACTGCAAGGTAGTCTGCACAAGGCCAATGTGGGCAGTGTGGACACACAGGCACATTTTTACTTGTAGGGGAAGGTAGGAGAGTGCACTTCCCACTTCTATTAGCTTCTTGGAGCTTATTGAATCTGGAAGAAATCCTTCCTGCATGTATGATTTAAAGCCAGGGAGAGGTTTCTGCAATTATTTGTAAAATTCCTGATTTGAAGAAAGAAATCATACACTTTATAAACTGCAATGAAAATAAGATGCTCCTAACACACGAAGCATCGTGTGTGTGTGTAGTGTCCCTTTAACCCCTTAAGGTCCAAATTTTGGAATGAAAGGGAATCATGTCGTGTCCTTAAGGGGTTAAAGGTTTCACATGCTCAATGGATGGTAAGAGCCTCTGCTCAACACTGCAAAAAGAAAGCAACTTTTAAAGACTAGGACCCCACAGGACAGTCTGAGTACCACTACAGCCCTTTGTAATAGCTATAATGCAAATAATCTTTAAGTGCTGCCTGCTGTTCTGTAAATGTTTTGTGGTTTGAAGAAAACCAGACAGGAAAAAAAAAAAAAAAAATGCTCTTGGAACCCAAGATAATATGGATGTTTCAGTTACACATGGTTTGTCCATACTTGAATGACAGGCTGCAAGCACAGAGAATTCCTATAGTGTATTTATTTTTTCTTTTGCCCACAGAGGGAAGTGGTGCTTAGTGTTTTTTTTATTTATGTAATAAATGGGATGCTACTTCAGATAAGGCTTATGGTTGATGTAGATCTCCTGTTTTACTGAAATCTATACAGGCTGTGTCCATGTGTAACAGACATGCTATATTTAGGTTCTCTTACTTTGCATAACTTACATGCCAGGAGACAAATTTGTAAAGGCTGTGGCATACTGGCACCGGAGGTTTGCACAGCCGTGCTTTAAAAAGGATACTACAGGTACCCAGACCACTTAATCTCATTGAAGTGGTCTGAATGCAGTGTCCCTGTCCCTCTTAGCCCTGCAATGTAAAACACTAGTTTTAGAGAAACTGCAATAATTACATTCCAAGGCTAACTCCACCTCTAATGTCTGGCTTCCAGACAGCCACTAGAAGCGCTTCCTGGTTTAACTCTGTGAAACGAAGCAGGATGTCCTCACCCTTTGCATGAGTATGTCCAGCGTCTTCAAATCCTCCACAAGAGGGACGACACACCTAGCTATTGGCAGAGGGACAATATTTCTATAGTGTCCTTGGTGTGTGTATATAAAACCATGAAAAGGAGAGGAAACTGATAGTGAAGTATGTTAAAAAAAAAAATACAGTAAGGTGAGCGTAAATAAAATATGTACTCACACTTTATAGGCGCTTAGGTGGAATAATCCCTGCCTGAGGAAATGGTGGAGTACAGACTCTTGTGGATGCAGCTTCTCTTGCAGATATGTAGGAGAAATCAGAGAAAGAGATATATATTGCGCTATATATATATATATATATATATATATATATATAGATAGATAGATAGATAGAGATATATAGCAATATACCAGATTAAATATTAAAATATATAGCTATAAAAGATGTGCACTCACGTGTACTGGAGCCTACAGAGCGGCCCCCCAGGTATGTTGTGAAGTGGTACGATCCCCACTCTGGGATATATGTGCTCTCTCTGATTTATATAAGTAAAAGAGAAAATAAAACCACAATAGTGTAGACTGTAAAGTGATAAAATGGATAAAAACTGCTTGCATTTGATAGAGCAAATAGGGATGGCTGTCGAACAAGCTTAGGTGGTATCCCCACCAAGGATTTAGAGTACAGGAATCCAGCAGCAAACAGGTCCAGTAAAGTGCTTTCATTGACAACAACAACAAAAAATAGGGTAAAAGAACTATATAAAAACATTTAAATAAACATTTAACCATACAATGGCTCTCAAAAGTATGAACCTGGTGAAAAAGTATTATGAAATGTGTTATGTAATTCTTTTAACTTTTTTTTTTTTTAATTCTATTTATCAATAAAAGTACTCTCTGAAATTGTATCCATGAACTAAAAGGTCTCTAATGGCATTAAATAGACATCAAGTACCAAACTCATTACTGCTTATTGATGTGGTTATGGTACCAAGAACTTACAGGTCACTTCATGATAAATATACAAATTCTCAGTATGATGATTCATTAGTGTTAACTAGCTCTAGCATTCATAATTTTACTGGCAGTTCAGGTGTAGTCGGGTCCCCTGCTGCTGAGCTCAGTCACTATGGAAGGCAGATAATGGCTAGAAATGGTTGTCCAGAGTATTAGCAATCAACCCAATATCCTTGAAATTCTGGGCTGAGAACATATTTGATTGAAGCATGCATGTTATAAGATTAACTGACCAATGTGCCTAAAATGTCTGCATTATTTTTATAATACAGCATAAAATGTATTTTTTTTTATTTATTTTTTAAAACTACCACAAATGACTTGGTAATGGTCCAAAAGGTACCATGTCACATTATGCCTATGCCATAGGCAATTTAAGATTACAGAAAAGTGTGCATATTTTTTATCATGTCATTTTACCCAATTCCCCTTAGAAAGTGAGTTAATTTGAGGTGGCCCTCAGCATCTTTTTTTCCCTCTACATCCAGTTTGGCTTGTTGCAAAAACTAGTTTTAGTCCACCTATTGCACAGCATGGTGGAATGTTTCAGCCATTTATAAATACTACTTCACAGAAAACAATGGTGATCCCTTTGTAACCGTTATTGCTATACCGATTTGCAACTTTAGATTATCCATCAAAAAGGGCTAAACCTGTATTTCAGCCTTCAAGAGTAAACTGTACTTAATGTGGTGAATGTGTCGATTAAGTGTTAATTTGCAATGTTTAAGACCGTTATATTTACAGACTTGTGACAGTATGGGATCCATAACAGGCATATGGTTTCAGAATGTGTGCTACCTGACCATGCTTCATAGTGGCAAATATTAACTATAGCTCAACTAGCATGTGCTTTATTGTACATGACAGAACACATTTAATAGATTAGCATTATAAAATATTAACATGAAACTTTATAACCAAATATTTTAACATGATGAATTCAGAATTAAACATCCCCATTATAAGTTCTCTTTTATCCTCTGTAATAGCCTTTCCCTTTCTAAGTAAAGGTATTTTCGGCGTACAACTCGCTGAAGTCGGCGGTCCATTCGCTCTCGCTCAGCTTCCGTCAGACTGTGGTTTCCCTCCGAGACATAAGCGTGTTTAATGCAGCTTTGAATTTGTGCGTTTTTCTTTTGCAAATGTTCCTGGTGCAATAAAATATATAACATTAAACTACAAGAAATAAAATTAAAAAAAAAAAATCTTGCTATCTGAACTTGCAGGGTTGGGATTATAGCATGGTTTAAACTAAGTACACAGTGTGCTCACTAACGCCATATTGTGTGTTAAGGGATTCAGCTATGTATAATAGAACCCACTGTAGATTAACAACGTATTAATCTATACAATGTGCTAGCCAATCAGCTAGCAAAATGAGAGCTTGTTAAATATTTATAAGATGGACATTTTAATAAAGTTTCTGATTTCGGCTCTGGTTTCAAAGCTAGCTCCAATGAAGGTTCAGATGAGCATAGCCCTAACTGGCACCCTTGGCAAGATAGACAGAATAGCACTACTGGGGAGTATTTTTTTTTTTTTTGATTGGGTAAAAAAATTATAGATCAGGGTGGTGCAGTAGACATTGCTTACCTAGATTTCAGTAAGGCTTTTGACACTGTTGCACATAGAAGGCTTATCAATAAACTGCAATCTTTAAGTTTGGATTCCAATATTGTTGAATGGGTAAGGCAGTGGCTGAGTGACAGGCAACAGAGGGTTGTAGTTAATGGAATATATTCGAAGCTTGGACTTGTCACCAGTGGGGTACCTCAGGGATCTGTACTTGGACCCATTCTCTTTAATATTTTTATTAGTGATATTGCAGAAGGTCTTGATGGTAAGGTATGTCTTTTTTCTGATGATACTAAGATATGTAACAGGGGTGATGTTCCAGGAGGGATAAGCCAAATGGCAAATGATTTAGGTAAACTAGAAAAATGGTCAGAGTTGTGGCAACTGACATTTAATGTGGATAAGTGCAAGATAATGCATCTTGGACGTAAAAACCCAAGGGCAGAGTGCAGAATATTTGATAGAGTCCTAACCTCAACATCTGAGGAAAGGGATTTAGGGGTGATTATTTCTGATGACAAAGGTAGGCAGACAATGTAATAGAGCAGCAGGAAATGCTAGCAGAATGCTTGGTTGTATAGGGAGAGGTATTAGCAGTAGAAAAGGGAAGTGCTCATGCCATTGTACAGAACACTGGTGAGACCTCACTTGGAGTATTGTACACAGTACTGGAGACCGTATCTTCAGAAGGATATTGATACCTTAGAGAGGGTTCAGAGAAGGGCTACTAAACTGGTTCATGGATTGCGGGATAAAACTTACCAGGAAAGGTTAAAGGATCTTAACATGTATAGCTTGGAGGAAAGACGAGACAGGGGGGATATGATAGAAACATTTAAATATATAAAGGGAATCAACACAGTAAAGGAGGAGACTATATTTAAAAGAAGAAAAACTACCACAACAAGAGGACATAGTCTTAAATTAGAGGGACAAAGGTTTAAAAATAATATCAGGAAGTATTACTTTACTGAGAGGGTAGTGGATGCATGGAATAGCCTTCCAGCTGAAGTGGTAGAGGTTAACACAGTAAAGGAGTTTAAGCATGCGTGGGATAGGCATAAGGCTATCCTAACTATAAGATAAGGCTAGGGACTAATGAAAGTATTTAGAAAATTGGGCAGACTAGATGGGCCAAATGGTTCTTATCTGCCGGCCCATGTTTCTATGAGTCTGTCAGATACACTTACATGCATATAATTACTCTTGATGCCACGCCAGAAGAAAAATAAAGTGCTTTGACTTATCTTATTGATTATAGGCAAGAGGTTGCCTTTTAAGGGTGGCTAGTACTGTAAATTGTTCATGGGCAGAAAAAGATGTGAAGCAAAAACTTCATCACTAAATTGGAGCATTCCTATCAATACAGAGACTGTGTCATCCAGTGTGCAGCCATTACCCAGGCTGTAACTGCATTGTCCACAACAGAATAATTAAAGCTATGATGAGAATATAAAATAGAATAAGTGTGCCACCTGCTAGCTATTAATAAACTGACAATTGCCAAAATTGAATTATTAGAAATAGGATGCACAAAAAAAAAAAAAAAAAAATCCCTATTACTGCTAAATCTAAACTGAAGCTATGTAGAACAGAATTAATTTACATTTTAGCGACAGCCTGGTCTGCATGTTTTTATTTTCATACATTTATTCAAATTGGGATGAGATTTCACAGACATCCTCAGAGAACTAACAGAAGAAGCGTGGTTAATGTAACATCTACAGGGTATATTTACAGTGAACTGAAAACCCCCATTGCAATTTTTAGATCAGAATATCTGCATTGGGGAGAAAAAGAAAAAAAACTAGCCTGCCAATCCAGCTGCTATCGTTCCCTAAAATTTCCAACTCCGGTGCCAATTCTACACCATTTGCATTTTAGTAAATAAAAGTCATTTGAATAACACCAGTGCCACAGAAGGCCTATGTCCACACTGACTACCATGTTGGATGCACTATTTGAATCACACACAGGAGATGCTGCATGAGTTTGTATCATTACATTGTAGTGCTGAAGGCACCTATAGCAGATGAGATGTCAGTTTTTGCCATCATTTGCTTTATAGAGCGCTGTTACTAATCCAGAATGGCAATCAGAGTAGGGTCTCTACTTGTTTTAATGGCAGACAGTATTAATAAAAAAAAAATGTATATTTAGATTTTATTATTTACAAAAAAAAAAAAAAAAATTGTCTTACAAGGGTATTATTGGAACACCATATGGCAGTATGGTATCACCATATTTTAGTCCATCAAAACACAGTTTATAAAAGTATCTGAATTTTAGAGACCCATCATTTATTTTAACTTCAGGTATACAAGTCATTAATACCAGACCTCAAAAATGTTTTAATAAAAAAAAAAAAAAATCTTTCAAAACCAAAGCTTACCTCTGCAACCTCTTTCTGTGTAGTTTCTACTTGCTGCTGGAGAACAATTATTTCTTCCTAGCAAATTGAAGAAACTAATTACTACAGACAAGACTTCCCCCAATCAGGGAGAGAATGGCAAGATAAATTAATAATGCAACATTAAATAAAAAACAAATTGTATTCACATTTTTCAAATGTATTCAGTAGTTTCTTGTAAGAAGTTTAATCGTATTCAGCAGATTTGTGATTTGTACATACATGTGTAATATATATTCATATTCTCTCTCTCTAATACTTCATCTAAATAATCCAGTTATTTTATTTTGACCAAGCACGTACGTGTGAAAATAGCTCTCTAGATCAATCAAAATCTGACTCTCTACCTTAATTTGCTCAATAACGGTCATTAACCACCCGGGTGTTTCCCAGCACTGTATTAAGCAAAAAAGAATAGAGCACTCTCTGTGATTCTTCAATGTTCCACTCTCTTGGTCTTTATCAAGATTGATGGTGTTACTCTAAAATATACGGTGGAAATCCCAGAGTGCGTATGTGTATAAACCTATAGCATGTGGAATATGATACTTGAACTTGTTGAAATTCTTACCTGCAACTGCTGTACTCTGTGTTCAGCCTCCTTCACACGCTGGTTACAAGATTCAACCCTTACACTGAAACATTAAAAAAAGAACGTCATCTATTGGCCAAAACCCTGGGCTAGGTATTTTAACATAGAACCCAATGGTTTAATAAGCTACCTCATATCTTCCTGTACATGATTTGCAGGGCTGGGAGCCTCTTGTTTCCTCCTGGTCAGTTCTTCCTGAGCATTGAATAGCTGGTTTCGCTCATCCTCCAGCACATGCCGAATGGACACTGGGTTTAACCTCTTCAGGACATCCTTATCAGATAATGAACTCACAGAAGAGGGGTTCTGGGTCTTACACAAGAACGCTCTTCCAAGCTGCACAGTGCACTCATAGGAATGTCTCTGCAAAACACACCCAGATATGGGCCATTTAATGCCAACATATAGACTGAATATGCAGATTAAATTAGATAAGAGAATGTGACTGTTTCCACATTTATCAAAAAAAAAAAAAAAAAAAAAAACAGTACAACTTGACAAGGTTTCACAGTTTGCTTTTTAATGATTTAGGAGAGGATGGATATTTATTAAGCACCAACATGATTACTCAGCACTATAACTAACACACACACAATAATCATCAGGAATTCAGATGGAATGCAAGGTGAATTTCACAATTTAAACCAAAATAGCTGAACTGGAAGCATAGCAAACTCACAGAATTTTACCAATTCAGGAACTTTGGCCTTATAATTTAAATTCACTTTGGATTCTCACATTAGTAAATAATGTGACAAGAGCCCTGTTAACCTAAGCTTGCAGGAAGTCGGGTATGAATACACATAGCAACATACAGGATGTCCAGGGCGATTAATAAAGAGTTAACACCTAAAAATGTATCTAAATAGTAAAGTGATGATAGGACGACTCAATATATAAAGGTATCCTCCCATCTCCTAACATAAAAAGTAGAGATTTGCCAATTGATCCCAACACACTGGGCCTACAGAAAGGTGCCAGGTAACCCACTGACAGCATGACACCCAGATGACAATATATGCCAAACATTTGTTCTGCACTTTGCTGGCACAGAGCTGCACCTATATGAGGCCTACATCTCTACTTCATTGTTCTCCAAAGTGGCCTGCAAAGTGAAAGACTTCTATAGGACACCCATCTACCATACATTTTCCTTTCAGGAGCCATGTGCATGCGCAAAACAAACCAAGTGCTACTTCCTTTGACTTGCTGCAGCTAAAAGATACCCCATTCTTATTCTTACCATTCCCTGAATATCATTTTCAATTTTTTCCTTTCTAGCAACTGCTAATTCCTTTTCTTGGTTTGAAGTAATCCGTTCTTTTCTCAGAGACAGCAATTCATCCTGGTAAGAAGGAAGTCAAGGTAATTAAACAAAAACAGGGGTTAAAAATAGGTATTTTAAGAAGTTAATTTTGGCTATATAATATTTTTTGATTTACCGTTTATTCCTTCAATGGATGCAAAACTGAAAATTGTGTATCTTAGATCAAACTGTCTGGTGGTGGTGACCAATCTTAACTCTGCTTTAATTTTTACTAACTTGTTATTTTATGATGTACTTTGAAGTCAATTGTAATAAACTGAAAACCCAATATCAAAATTTTGTAGAAATGTCCTAATTTGAAAGAATTCTCCAATTCAGCTATAATAATTTAGTCTAGTGATACAGTCAAATAGTTTGTTTGTTTCAGCCTAAATTCTTCTGTTTGGTATTTAGTTTCACACACGCTGGCAGTGAAAAAGAATAATAATAAAAAAAAATAAAAAAAATTATATATATATACACACACACACACACACACACACACCACAGAAATATACTAAAAACAACTGGTAAATAATTTGACACACACTTAGGTGTCCATAGAAATGTTGCTACTCTAAGAATGACCACAAGTAGAACGAGAATTTATATTCTTGAATTTGTATCTACTTTGAGGTCAATAACAGAGCCTCCTGCCCCCAAATCATCTATTTCAGTCAGCATTATCTGTAAATATGTAGGGACACTGTAGTCACTATAACCACTTTGTCTCTTTGAATTGGTTATAGTGCCTGGAGTGGCCTGGCACTGTCCCTCCATTCAGTGTTGCACAATGTTTGTGCAATATGCCACAAAATAAGAGTCCCTGGCCACCCACAGTCCGGCCCCTTCTGTATGTGTAGCTAAGGCAGAGATTACACACTTCCTTGTTTTCATACCCATCCATACCGTCAGTTGGAGCTCTGACAGGTTAAAAGCAGCCAACTGACACTCTCAGCCAATCACAGCTGCCCATTGCCTCTCAGGGTAATACTTCCTTATTAGCCAAAGCAGCACAGAGTGGATAGACTGCCGTGGACTCTTGTTTAGCATTAAAACATAACAACATTAAAAACTGTTTAATGCTGAAAGAAATGATGGTACCAGGGGACTCCAGACACTATAACCAGTTTAATGAGATGAAGCAGATACAGTGCCTACGGTGTCCCTTTAAGAACCCTGCTTGAAAAGGTTGCCATGATTACATTTACTATGTAGTATAAAAACTACTTTTTTTACATTTAATAAAACAATGACAAAAAAAAAATATTGGTACCTTCAACAGTTTTGTCCTTTCCATGTTTTCCATGTGTTTAAGAAACTCTAGGTCTTCTTTTCGGCATTCATAGCCTGGCAAATTCCTCAGTACACCAGAAACACGTAGCGGGTTTAAACCTGATTGACAAGAGAAACAGACCAGATATAAAGGGAAGTATTGGATTGTCTGAGAGCATCAAGACTGATGATCTCAGCCAAGGAGGCAGGGCAGCTGCGGTGGGGGCTGAAATGGTAAATATTTATATTTCTTTCAGTTAGGAGAGACCCATGAATCTAAATGGTCACTACAACTCTATAACATTAGGAATACATGCCTAACACTACAGTGTTCCTTTAAGAAACTAGAAAGGAATGCACACAGTTGAAATGAGGACTGACTTGTTAGAACTGTAACCCTCGTCCTAAAATTATTAATTTTTATTTTATAAAATCCTAAGTCTTGCACTACTTGACAGGCCTAAAGCTTACTTGCCACAATAAGCCTGGTGGGTCCATGGCACACTCACCAGGGGTGAATTCATACTCGCTAATGGCTAGTCAGTGAGTGGTATTGTTAAACCATGTCATTACTATGCTATTAAATGCTTGATCACTGTATTAAAGGAACACTATAGTGATAGGAATAGAAACATGTATTCTGGTCACCAGTTATGAAAGCACTATTTAAGCCCCTGAAAGCTATTAAAATGGTGTGTTTATGCACATTTATCCCAGAACCGCACGGATCTGTGGTGGCTGACTCCACCCACTTGTCTGAGATGATCAAAATTGACACTCAGCCAATGCAATGCTCTCTCATAGGAAAGCATGGAGAGTACATGTGCTGCAAACCAACACGCTGCGCCAATTAGCATCTCCTCATAGAAATGCTTTAACATCAATTCATCTCTATGAGGAAAGTTCAGCCCCTACATGCAGAACATGGAGAAGCTGAATGTCAGTGCTGCACACAGGAAGCAGCTCTAGTCTGAGTGACTGCCACTAGAGGTGATTTTCGGCAGTAATGTAAACACTACCTTTTCTCTAAAAAGAGAGTGCTTGCATTAAAATGCCTGCATGGACATACACCAGAACAACTACATTAAGCTGTAGTTGTTCTGGTGAACATAGTGTCCCTTTAAAACAATATATTTCACTTTATATTACATTGTGTGATATTTTAGAGAAAATGCTTACCCTTAACAGGCAATTCGCTTATTCTCCGGTTAAAATGTACTGATTTTCTGCAACCTCTGACTCCTTCAGTTGTACATCCCTGTAAAACATGAAACACACCTTGAAATGTGCATCTTCCAAGTAACCCGGTCACTGAAAATATAGTACCCTGTCACAAACGTGGGATATTGGCCGAGCCGAGACAGTGGGGAGTGTGGAAGTGAAATAGTTAATGACACCAGACCCCTTGGTTGCTAAATTAACCCCTGCAATATCGTTAGATTGATTAAAGGTAGGGCCTCCCTTCCTCATCTAATATACCAGTAGAGCTCTCTCAATGTTAGTTTCCACTTGTGGGATTCTATACATCACTTTCTCTTGCATATTTTGAAGGGTCACCCTATATTAGGTGGTTACAGTGGTGCAGCTCATGAGGGGAGAGTGGGGGAAACAATAAATAAAATTAACTGTCAGGTCATACTCACTTCATTCATATGGTTCTTAACCTCAGACTTCATACACCCTTGCTCTTTCGCACATAGCTCAGAATGCCGTCTTGTGACCTCTCTTGGCCTATCGATGTCCTGGACTGCCTTGGTTTTTGTTTTGTTCACAGAACGTTCACAGGTCATTGGAGTCATTTTTTGTCCAATACAGTTGGATGTTGCTTCATGATCATTTGAGAACACAACCGTACGGTCAAGCTGCTTGCCCGAAGGAACCCTATTATCAGTGTCCTTAAAGGCGTTCTGAGTTAGGGTCCTGTACAAGTTCTCGAATGAAATATTTCCAGCTACATTTGGCTCAAAGACTTGAGAGGGCAACAGAGGTAATACCCCTGGGCCTGGGGTTCGATGTAGTTGCCGCCCAGTGTGCAAGATATTCCCAGGAGAAGGGTACATGGACAACTTTGCTTTTCGTTTCACTTTAGTAGAATGGTTATCGAGCTCATTTTCTTTCCCTGTGCTTTTTTTCTCCGTGAGTTGTTTAATAAATTGAGTAGATGATTTCTCATCCAGAACGGTTTGAGTAAAATTCCATCCGGAATCTTTCTGCTCTTTTACCTGTATAGACATTGCCTGCAGGAAACAAGGAATACTGTTTTAAAAACACAAACATTTGCACACAAATAAATAAATACAATTAAAAAAAAAAAAAAACACACACACACCACATCTGCTGAGTAACTACTATAAATAAATACACTAATAAAGCATTAGTGATGGCAACCTGTGCAGTTGAAAAAATTTTTTTTTTTTTTTTTTTAAATGTACTAGCAAACCAAAACTGGAACTCCACACTGCAAGCGTTCCTCTACCATTGCAGTCATTATTTCAGAAGCTGTGTTTTGACTATCCAGGGCTTCATTTGTCACCATCATGCGGTGTGTGAAGACGCTGAGGAGGAAGAGTTATCTGACAGCTGCTGGAGGCGTGTTTCAGACAAATGTAATCAATGCAGTTTGTCAGGCTTACATTGTCCTGGTAAAAGAGACAACATCTAGGCACCAAAACCACTACATTAAGGTGCTCAGAGGGTCCATTTAGTTATATTTACATTATTGGAGATAGTGTGTCCTATGGCATGAGTCACCCAAGTTCTTTGGGTTCTCGTGCAGTTCAGTATATTACTGAATCATCAGCAGACAGGTAAAAATGGATTATTTAAGGACTATCATGGAACACAAGGTAATGAACTCAAGATGCTTGAGAAGTAAAGTAAATCAGGACTTTGTGATGCAAGAAAATGGTTTACTGCTTAGAAGAGAAACATTTGCAGTGACTATCTTTAGAACAAAACAAAAATCTGTGGTTCGTTTTATACAGCCTTTCTGGTACCCAACATCAGTATGAGAAAGCAATTAGAACTCTGTCCTTACACATCAGAACCTCATTTTGGAAGAGGTTTTTAGTACAGATCATGGGGGGTGTTTTAGACCCTCTGGAAATATGGACAAGGACTATAAAACCTCTTGACACAAGGGAATAAAAGTGAGATAACTTCAACAAAGGGCTCATTCACTAGACCAGGCATGTCCAAAGTCCGGCCCACGGGCCAACTGCGGCCTGCGTTCCGGTTTAATACGGCCCCACTGGTAGTTTGGCTAATCTACCTATTGTGGCCCCCAGTGAATCCCCGAGCGCCTCTCGGGACCCCTGGGTCTTTGAACGCTGTGGTCCTGAGCGGCGCTCGGGGATTCACTGGGGGGGCCAAGATATCGCGAGAACGCAGTCGGACGTGCAGTGATCTCAGTCTGCATTCTTGTGATCTCTTGGACATTGCGGGATTTCGTGGACGTCATGGGATTCGCGGGATTTGGTTCCTTCTCCCTGAAGAGAATCGACAGAATAAATAGGTGCAGAATACAGAGGGGCAGAATACAGACAGAGTACAGAGGTGCAGACTGGCAGAATACAGACGGGCAGAATACAGACGGAGTACAGAGGTGCAGACTGGCAGAATACAGACGGAGTACAGAGGTGCAGACTGGCAGAATACAGAGGGGCAGAAGGACAGAGTAAAAAGACAAAATAAAGAGATCTCAGACAGAATAAAGAGATGAAATGAAAAGTATGCCGTTTGCAATAAAATAGTTAATTTGTCAGGCAAAATGGTTGGCCCTCACGCATGTTCACTTCATCAAATCTGTCCCTCCTTGAAAAAAGTTTGGACACCCCTGGTCTACTCATACCGGTAACATGCAGCCAGGGCAACTAGAATCCAGACTCCCCTTTCAGTGCCGGAGGCCTGGTCTGTGAGAGGGGCCAATACTGGGGAGCGGGCTGCGAGCACTCGCACTCACACTCACACTCAGCCAGGGAGCGGGGAGCGGGCCGCGGACACTCACACTCAGCCGGGAGGGGGGGACGGGGCCCGGTTACACTCACACTCAGCCAGGGAGCGGGCCGCGAGCACTCACACTCAGCCGGGGGGGCGGGGCCCGGTTACACTCACACTCGGTCAGGGGGGCGGGGCCCGGTACACTCAGCCGGGGGGGGCGGGGCCCGGTTACACTCACACTCAGCCAGGGAGCGGGCCGCGAGCACTCACACTCAGCCGGGGGGGCGGGGCCCGGTTACACTCACACTCGGTCAGGGGGGCGGGGCCCGGTTACACTCACACTCAGCCGGGGGGGGCGGGGCCCGGTTACACTCACACTCAGCCGGGGGGGCGGGGCCCGGTCAGTTACCGTGTCTGTGCTCCGGTCCTACACGAGCAGCTCCCGTCGTCCGTCGCGGCCGATCCCAGGTTTAAATGTCGCGCTCCTCCTGCTGTGACTCCCAGAGCTAGTCGGCCTCCCATTGGCTCCCGGTGATGACGTCACGCCGCTCTGTTTGGTGTGGTTGTCCTTCGCGCGCCCTCTGCTGGCGGTACAGCCTTCCTGCAATGTGGGACTGCAAGCAGGCGGACTGTAACACCCAGCTATGGGGGACTGTAACACCCAGCTATGGGGGACTGTAACACCCGACTATGGGGGACTGCAAGCAGGCGGACTATAACACCCAGCTATAGGGGACTGTAACACCCAGCTATGGGGGACTGTAACACCCAGCTATGGGGGACTGCAAGCAGGCGGACTATAACACCCAGCTATAGGGGACTGTAACACCCAGCTATGGGGGACTATGGGGGACTGCAAGCAGGCGGACTGTAACACCCAGCTATGGGGGACTGCAAGCAGGCGGGCTGTAACACCCAGCTATGGGGGACTGTAACACCCAGCTATGGGGGACTATGGGGGACTGCAAGCAGGCGGACTATAACACCCAGCTATAGGGGACCATGGAGGACTGCAAGCAGGCGGACTGTAACACCCAGCTATGGGGGACTGCAAGCAGGCGGGCTGTAACACCCAGCTATGGGGGACTGTAACACCCAGCTATGGGGGACCATGGGGGACTGCAAGCAGGCGGGCTGTAACACCCAGCTATGGGGGACCATGGAGGACTGCAAGCAGGCGGACTGTAACACCCAGCTATGGGGGACTGCAAGCAGGCGGGCTGTAACACCCAGCTATGGGGGACTGTAACACCCAGCAATGGGGGACTGCAAGCAGGCGGACTGTAACACCCAGCTATGGGGGACTGCAAGCAGGCGGACTATAACACCCAGCTATAGGGGACCATGGGGGACTGCAAGCAGGCGGACTGTGACACCCAGCTATGGGGGACTGCAAGCAGGCGGGCTGTAACACCCAGCTATGGGGGACTGTAACACCCAGCTATGGGGGACTGCAAGCAGGCGGACTGTAACACCCAGCTATGGGGGACTGTAACACCCAGCTATGGGGGACTGCAAGCAGGCGGACTGTAACACCCAGCTATGGGGGACCATGGGGGACTGCAAGCAGGCGGACTGTAACACCCAGCTATGGGGGACTGTAACACCCGACTATGGGGGACTGCAAGCAGGCGGACTGTAACACCCAGCTATGGGGGACTGCAAGCAGGCGGACTGTAACACCCAGCTATGGGGGACTGTAACACCCGACTATGGGGGACTGCAAGCAGGCGGACTATAACACCCAGCTATAGGGGACCATGGGGGACTGCAAGCAGACGGACTGGACTGCAACACCCAGCTATAGGGGACCATGGGGGACTGCAAGCAGGTGGACTGTACACCCAGCTATGGGGGACCATGGGAGACTGCAAGCAGGCGGACTATAACACCCAGCTATGGGGGACTGCTGCAAGCAGGCGGACTGTAACACCCAGCTATGGGGGACTGTAACACCCAGCTACTATGGGGGACTGCAAGCAGGCGGACTGTAACACCCAGCTATGGGGGACTGCTGGCGGACTGTAACACCCAGCTATGGGGGACTGTAACACCCGACTATGGGGGACTGCAAGCAGGCGGACTGTAACACCCAGCTATGGGGGACTGCAAGCAGGCGGACTGTAACACCCAGCTATGGGGGACTGTAACACCCGACTATGGGGGACTGCAAGCAGGCGGACTATAACACCCAGCTATAGGGGACCATGGGGGACTGCAAGCAGACGGACTGTAACACCCAGCTATGGGGGACTGCAAGCAGGCGGACTATAACACCCAGCTATAGGGGACCATGGGGGACTGCAAGCAGGTGGACTGTAACACCCAGCTATGGGGACCATGGGAGACTGCAAGCAGGCGGACTATAACACCCAGCTATGGGGACTGCAAGCAGGCGGACTGTAACACCCAGCTATGGGGGACTGTAACACCCAGCTATGGGGGACTATGGGGGACTGCAAGCAGGCGGACTGTAACACCCAGCTATGGGGGACTGCAAGCAGGCGGACTATAACACCCAGCTATGGGGGACTATGTGGGACTGCAAGCAGGCGGACTGTAACACCCAGCTATAGGGGACTATGTGGGACTGCAAGCAGGCGGACTGTAACACCCAGCTATGGGGGACTATGTGAGACTGCAAGCAGGCGGACTGTAACACCCAGCTATGGGGGACTGTGGGGAACTGCAAGCAGGCGGACTGTAACACCCAGCTGTGGGGGACTGCAAGCAGGCGGACTGTAACACCCAGCTATGGGGGACCACGGGGGACTGCAAGCAGGTGGACTGTAACACCCAGCTATGGGGGACTGCAAGCAGGCGGACTATAACACCCAGCTATGGGGGACCACGGGGGACTGCAAGCAGGCGGTGGGGGACCATGGGGGACTGCAAGCAGGCGGACTGTAACACCCAGCTATGGGGGACTGCGAGCAGGCGGACTATAACACCCAGCTATGGGGGACTATGTGAGACTGCAAGCAGGCGGACTGTAACACCCAGCTATGGGGGACTGTGGGGGACTGCAAGCAGGCGGACTGTAACACCCAGCTATGGGGGACTGCAAGCAGGCGGACTGTAACACCCAGCTATGGGGGAACGTGGGGGACTGCAAGCAGGCGGACTGTAACACCCAGCTATGGGGGACCACGGGGGACTGCAAGCAGGCGGACTATAACACCCAGCTATGGGGGACTGCAAGCAGGCGGACTGTAACACCCAGCTATGGGGGACTGTGGGGAACTGCAAGCAGGCGGACTGTAACACCCAGCTATGGGGGACCACGGGGGACTGCAAGCAGGCGGACTATAACACCCAGCTATGGGGGACCATGGGGGACTGCAAGCAGGCGGACTATAACACCCAGCTATGGGGGACTGCAAGCAGGCGGACTAGAACACCCAGCTATGGGGGACTGCAAGCAGGCGGACTAGAACACCCAGCTATGGGGAACCACGGGGGACTGCAAGCAGGCGGTGGGGGACTGCAAGCAGGCGGACTGTAACACCCAGCTATGGGGGACTGCGAGCAGGCGGACTATAACACCCAGCTATGGGGGACTGCAAGCAGGCGGACTATAACACCCAGCTATGGGCGACCATGGGGGACTGCAAGCAGACGGACTATAACACCCAGCTGTGGGGACCATGGGGGACTGCAAGCAGGCGGACTATAACACCCAGCTATGGGGGACTGCTCAGCATCAAACAACGGCTGCCGCGCCAGTGGGTTATATAGTCACTGCTATCATAGTCTGTACAGATGATGGCAAGTCAGCCATAGACAGGGTTTCCAGATCAGGGGTTTTAATTATTGTTTTTTTTCCCCCCTAAGCCATAAAACCAAACATCAGCTGTAGGACATAGTAATGCAACTAATTAATGCACTTTGGCCCTTTTTTTGCAGAACATGTAGTTGCTAATTAGTGCATCTAACAATCTACTTACACTTACTAATCAATTCTGAATCTAGCTCAGCTGTAGACTCCACAGGTAAAATTATTCAGAATTAATTCATTTTACAATTACCAGGAATTTTATTTGGACAAATTACCTAAAATTAATTTTCGCACATCTTCTGCCCACCAGGAATTATCACGTGCCCCTCTCCTGGGCAAAGGAGAATAATTTTTATTTTTTAAATAATTCTACCGTTCACACTATATCGGTGGGCCCCTGTACGGGCATGGAGCACTCTGAGCAAGGCCCTCCTTCAGCCAGCAAATATGAAAAGATCTCCCTGCACGGCCCTGTATCTCCTCACTTCACTCGGGGCATTGTAGTCTACCAATATCCAGCACAGACCACTTAAAGGAATGCCCTCACGACCCCCCAGCTCTTGATAACTCAGGAGTACCACAGCTGGTGTCATTGACTAAGCAACGCAACCGTCAGGGAACTCTCAAAGTGGTCTGTACCTGATATTGGTGCAGACGATGGAGCTTCTCCACTAGACATCCAGCTCACCTTCTCTGGCCCACCAGGGAAAGTAAGCAGGGAGAGGGGAGGTGAAGCATCCACCTATCACAGAAACTTGGCCTAGGGTTCTAGGAGGTGGAATCAATTGCACCCAGGACATACTTGAAAACGAGAGAAATCTCAATGTATCTTTCCTGGTATATTATATTATTATGCTATTTATATAGCACCATCAAATTCCGCAGCGCATGTAGTTGTAACCAGACAAGTTGGACACACAGGAACAGAGGGGTTGAGGGCCCTGCTCAATGAGCTTACATGCTAGAGGGAGTGGGGTAAAATGACACAAAAAGGTAAGGATAGCATTAGACTAATGACAGTTGCAGAAGAGGAATCAGTCAGGAGCTATTAACAGTTTAATGGCTACGCTTTTATGAAGAAGTGGGTTTTTAACGATTTTTTGAAGGAGTGGAGACTGGGTGAGCATCTAACGGAGGAGGGAAGCGAGTTCCACAGGAACGGTGCAGCCCTCGAGAAATCTTGAAGGCGAGCATCAGAGGTGCGGACAGAAGATAGACGTAAGTCTTCAGCAGATCATAAGGGCCTTATATAAATAAGTCTAGAGCAATTATCCCCACTCTGGAAACTAATCAGCATTTTTATGTTACCTTCCCTACACTGCATTGCCATACACCAGGGGTATCCAGAAGGTAGATTACCAGATGTTCTAAAACTGCCATGGTGCTTTGTGTGCCTTTAGTAGGCATTAGAATGACACCAAGCATCATGGGAGCTGTAGTTCTACAACATCTGGGGATCTACCTTTTGGGCACCCCTGCTATTATACCATTGATTTCATAGGCCTTACTTGGAGAAGATTTGTCAGGTCTGAATTGAGTTTTGGGTAATACAAATAGAAGGAAGTCCATTGAGGTTTTTACCCCAAAAACATTTCTTGCCATCCCATATAGCAAACGCTGCTCACTTCCCTTCACTTCATTGATTAAACCTTGGCTCATATAAACACTCTTTCAGTAGATTTATTCACGATTGGCGTGGAGAAAGTTGCGTATTTGTTTTTCGTTTTTGTCATACAAATATTGCAAAACATAATAGGATGGATTAATGTAAATAACCAGGCTTACAAGTTCCCTATTATAAGCTGTTGAGGTGTATAATATAATTTTAAAATGAATAAATACAAAGTGAGGATTAAAATAAGATTTGTTTTAATACGTTTGTGCAGATACTGCAAGGGATGAGGGAAGCAACAGAGAAAATTGAGAAGGAATTAAAGAGCTAATGGTTGACCTGTGTAAATTTCTGCCAACTCTTCAATGATGTGTGGATTGCAACTTCCTGCTGGTTCACAGTATTTACGCACAGGCAATTCACACAATGGAATCAAGTATTGAGTGTTTACTCTCTCGCAGACCTTACTACATTAAAATGGAGATGGGAAGGACTGACACAGGAAGCCTTATGGAACTACAGGTAGATATAAACATAAGCTATTATTGGGGAAGGCTCTATAAATTTTACTTAGAATGAAACATAGAATGTGACGGCAGATAAGAACCATTCGGCCCATCTAGGCTGCCCAATTTTCGAAATACTTTCATTAGTCCCTGGCCTTTAGTGATGTCCCGAACTGTTCGCCGAATGGTTCGCGCGGACTCCAGTCAGCTGACACATTCCAGCCAATCAGCAGCAGACCCTCCCTCCTCCTGGACAGCTCACTAAGAATGCAGCTTCAAAATGGATGCTGTCCAGGAGGTGGGAGGGTCTGCTGTTGATTGGCTGGAATGTGTCAGCTGACTGGAGTCCGCGGCGAACCGTTCGCAAACAGTTCGGGACATCACTATCCCACGCATGCTTAAACGCCTTCACTGTGTTAACCTCTACCACTTCAGCTGGAAGGCTATTCCATGCATCCACTACCCTCTCAGTAAAGTAATAAAACATGAAACATGAGTTCCACCGTCCGCAATTATACAACACCTGATAACGCAAATGGAACCGCACAAGCTGTATGTATATATGTGTGTGTGTGTGTGCTGGGGCCTGTGTGCCTACAACTCTTGTTTCCATATCTATAAAAACTCAAAAAAAAAAAAAAAATTCACAAAAAAGTAGTGTTTGAAAAGAAGTGGCAGCTAACTCTTTGAAAGATGATGGCACAAACCTTTTTCTGTTTTTGTTCCCCACTATTTCGATGAGCTGATGATAATGGCTACATCAGGGATCTCAAACACTTTTCCCACAGAGGTTGTTGGCCTACAACATACAGAATTCTCTGAATGCGATCAATTACCAGAAGCCCAAGGAGCGTGTAGTTCCACAACAATCAGTGTGAGTGGCCTGGGTAGATGCAGTGCAGCTTCACTTTAAAGAGGAAAAGTTACTACCATGAAACTAGTTCAACAGTTAGAGTGAATAACGTCTTGAAGAAGGGGGAACCTCCAATGTTTCTCTGTGTTGTAGCACCTGGATTCTTCCATGATTCCTTGGCTGCAGCAATGCATCTAAACAAATAAGTTACATAGACTCACGCTCTCTGAATTGTCTCAATCAGTGCCATATACACAACACTGCCAGCAGTAACTACATTATATAGGTTACTGGGGTTTGGAAGTCAAAGCATACGGACCACGATACACAAGAGGATGAAGAAACATATACAATACCCCAAAACGTACTTTTTACTTTTAGGATGTGCTATAATTGAGAAGGTGACCCCCGTTCTTTTTTTAAAGCACATATTTCTGAAAACTGTGGGGCAAAAAAATAAATATATATGTAGCGTCTAGGTTGTGCTATATGGCAGTGCTCCTCAAGGCACACCTAACAGTCCAGGATTTAGGGATTACCCGGGTGTGTCTACGGTGTTTAGAAAAACCAAAAACAAACATCTTACACACCTTTCTCCCACCACCCTTTAAAAACACCTTAGACACACCCAGGTAATTCCTAAATCCTGGACTGTCATGAGTGCCTTGAGGAGATGGTTGAGGAGCACTGACATATGTGATTGTGAAGAGAAAATGATAACCAGGTGTTTGGTAAAATGTCTGATGGTTGAACAGGCAGAGTTATCCACTGGAAGAAAAAAAATTTAGCAAATTAAATGGCTATGTATCTGTGACTAGAGCCATGCTGGATACTTTTTCTGTCAGCCTTACCTTTACAGTTCAGCATTTAGTGAAGAACCCTGAAAAATGTCTGGTAAATCTAGATGATGGATCAGCATCTTCGACAAACGTATGAGGTGCACAACTGAGGAACTTTAAATAAACTTTTCTCTTTTCTGCGAAAAGCTCAACCAAAAGGGTTTTTTGTAAAATTACTTAAAAAAAATAAAAAAATCTCAAGACACCTTATGGGCAGCACAGTGTGAGAAGATATGTAGGGGAACAATAGCTAATCATGCAAGATTAATTTGCTCATACTTTATTAAATTTTCACAGCTTGGTCTTTACATTTCTTCTTCAATAAACAGATTGTTGCTATTAGAATTGCAAGAACACCCACCACGATAGCTATTCTCAGCCACTCTTTATCCAGTGACTTGGGGAGGACCGGAGATCCTACAGCAGAGAGAGAAAGGGAAATTAACAAGTATCAGTACCCAGTATTTTTGAGTATGTTTTCCATGAATCTCATACAGCCAAAAATGACTGGCTTATCCTGGGGAGATTAACTTGTAGGTTTGATGTACTAAATATTTTATTTCATAAATGCAGCACAAGTCAATCACTAGGTCCGTGAGAACATTCTCAGCTTTTGTTCTTGCCTAAATCCCCATATTTCTCATTTTCCTTTACTATACAATGATAATGTTGCACAAACCCACATAAAATAAAAGTTTTAAAAAAAAACAAAAAAAAAACACCAGTGCATTTTAAAAACTTATGTCTATTGAGGAACTGGGGCAGAATGATTGGATGAATGTTAAAGTGCAATCAAGCTGAATACTGTCTGTCAGTGTATGTGAGTGTGCCTGTCAGTGTATGTATCAGTATGTCTGCCAGTGTGTCTGTGTTCGTATGTCTGACAATATGGGGGGGGTGGTGGTGGTGTGTGTGTGTGTCCATTCTAAACTGCATGCGCCTAGTATTTTCACACACACACAAAAAAAAAAAAAAAAGGCTTAAACCCCAACACAAAAAAATAAAAATGTGCCTACTTTGTACAAAATTTACTTCTCACTGAAACCCTCACTCCTGACACACAGAATACTATATGCAAAATATGCAGCTAACCTAGAAAAAGGAAGTATAGTATTGCACTTTTTAGGCAATAAGCCCCAAACCAAAGCCCGGTTGAGACCAAGGTAAGAAGAGTGCAAACCATTCCCAAATGATTTGCACCATTACCAGGAAACCAAGCCACGGTTCTCTGGTCATCATTCATAACCATTACAGAGGGCTGTAGTGGTTACGATTCTTGGAGTAACCCTTTCCTTTTGATTTGTGTGCAGGATTTTGGCTGGAGCAGTGTACTTGTGTTGCATTTAAATTCTTAGCGTGATGGATGGTTCCAAGTATCCATTTTTACCTTTTATAGAGATTTCACTGGAATCCTTCACCACTGGAAAAAACACTGGGTCCGGGGAAGCAGAAAGCTTTATTGTATGGCTTGTCAGAGGATTATCAGCAGGTTTTTCTGCAATGAGAAAGGAATCAAGTTAAACACACGTTAAAAGTCTCCCTCCTACTTTTATGATTGGATACAAAAGGCAGTTAACTAGTTCCATATGAAATTATGAATGGATGGAGAGCAGTTCTGGAACAAGGTTCTAGAAGTGGAGCATTATTCAGTGGTTTCCATGGTGACAGTTCCACTATTAGAATTCTTCCCTAGGTACAATCATAATGCATAACAGTGAAGTCAAAACCGTTTCACTACTCCAGTAAGACTGGTAGAATCACTGACAGATGAAGTGAATAGCATGGATTAGATTGTTATAGTGACAACTGTCAAGGGGTGGGATATATTAGGCAGCAAGTGAACAGCCAGATCTTTAAAGGGACACTATAGTCACTTGAACAACTTTAGCTTAATGAAGCAGTTTTGGTGTATAGAACATGCCCTTGCAGCCTCACTGCTCAATCCTCTGCCATTTAGGAGTTAAATCCCTTTGTTTATGAACCTCCCTGCATGTGACTTGCACAGCCTTCCATAAACACTTCCTGTAAAGAGAGAGCCCTATTTAGGCTTTCTTTATTGCAAGTTCTGTTTAATTAAGATTTTCTTATCCCCTGCTATGTTAATAGCTTGCTAGACCCTGCAAGAGCCTCCTGTATGTGATTAAAAGTTCAATTTAGAGATTGAGATACAATTATTTAAGGTAAATTACATCTTTTGAAAGTGAAACCAGTTTTTTTTTTCATGCAGGCTCTGTCAATCATAGCCAGGGGAGGTGTGGCTAGAGCTGCATAAACAGAAACAAAGTGATTTAACTCCTAAATGACAGTGAATTAAGCAGTGAAATTGCAGGGGAATGATCTATACATTAAAACTGCTTCATTTAGCGAAAGTAATTTAGGTGACTATAGCGTTCCTTTAATTTCATGTGTTGCCAGTCTGGTCCGATCACACAGAAAGGCTAGTGTAGCTCAAATTGCTGAAAAACGTTATGCTGGCCATGAAAGAACGGTGTCAGAACACAGATCGCAGTTTGCCGCATAACTACAGATCGGTCAGAGTGATCATGATGGCTCTTCTCCACTGCCAAAAGCACCTTCAATGGGGGTGTCTGTCAGAACTGGGTCATGGGGCAATGGAAGATTGTTGGCTGATCTAATGAATCATGATTTCTTTTAGAGAGATGGTCTCACCAGGCGGCCGGTCCTGCGGGTGCACGAGGGAACACTCCCCTGAGCACCCTCTGCCTGGCTCCCTCGCGCACTGCTTACTTGTGCCGGAGCATGATGTCATATTCCTGCTTCGGCATCAGTGCGGTGCGCGCGAGGGAGCCGGGCAGAGAGCTCAGGGGAGTGCTCCCTCGCGCACCCGCAGGACTGGCCGCCTGGTGACACCAGGGCCAGCCTCGGGGGGCCCAGAGGTGGCCAGCTCTGGGGCCCCCCCAGGAGAAGAGGCTGGCCACACTGGCGTACATACCAGGTTGCAGGGCGGCCAGACCCCGGTATGTACACCACTGTCTGTGTATCTGCATGTGTTTCAGTGTGTGGCAACACTACATACAAATACACCACTGCATTCCAACTTCAACACTACATATAAAAACACACATATTTTGATGTTAAATACCAATAATATACATACACTGTCTGGCCAACAAAAAAAAGTCGCCACTTGGATTTAACTAAGCAAATAGGCAAGAGTCTCTGATTGGATCATTACTGCATGAGCGATTATCTTTCAGCTGGCAACAAGTTATTTAATCCCAACTGATGCAATGAGTAGCTCCTCATTTCTTAAACAACCATGTTGAAAGACAACCTGTGGCATGCATCAAGCAGAGAAAACATCTAAAAGGAGATAGCAAAAACTACTAAAATTGGGTTAAGGTCTGTCCAACACATTATTAAAAACTGGAAGAATCGTGGGCAACCATTGTCTGGTAAAAAGAGGCAGATGAAGTAATGCACCCATCATGCCTAGTGCCTACTGTACAAGCCTGTGGGGGCAGTGCTATGATCTGGGGTTGCTGCAGTTGGTCAGGTCTAGGTTCAGCAACATTAAATGCCCAAAGAATGAGGTCAGCTGACTACCTGAATAACCAGGTTATTCCATTAATGGATTTTTTCTTCCTTGATGGCACGGGCATATTCCAAGATGACAATGCCAGGATTCATCTCGCTCAAATTGTGAAAGCGTAGTTCAGGAAGCATGAGACATCATTTTCACACATGGATTCATTGACCACCACAGACTCCAGACTTTAACCCCATTGAGAATCTTTGAGATGCGCTGGAGAAGGCTTTGCACAGTGGTCTGACTCTCACATCATCAATACAAGATCTTGGTGAAAAACGGCTCAGTGCTAAATACCAACCTTGCACGCATTGGAAAATGGTATCAAAGCATTGTTGGAGTTGCATGATAAATAAGGATCTGCCTTCGGCCACCCTTGCAATGGGGGTTAAAATAAATTCTTGTATCAGGGCTATTTCTATTTAGTCCATCACTGCATTGGGGTATATGGTGTGATTGCATGCCAGGGAGTGAGGGAGGGTGGCGGGGGCAGGGTCTAGGGGGCCAATCAATATTTAAGGCAGCCCTGGCGAGAGCACTGCACAAACATGGGCTCCTGGCAAAAGAGCCAGAAACTGAAGTTTGAAGATGGTGGCACCCATGGCTTGCCCATAAGACAGAGCAGTCCTTACTTTGCTTCCGGTTATCTTTTGACCCTGTTGGAATTTTAATGAGACACTAATACAGCCAGTGTGAGTATTTCTTCATAAAGACTTTAACTAATAGCATTGTACAATCTGGTGATAGGGCTGCTTTAAACCAGATGTTTGGATCTTCTAATGAATACAGGCCAACGTTAACACATGGATATATGAAAGCCATACCAAAAAGACAGTTTGGGTTATTCATTAACCTTTGAATTGCAGCAAACTGACTTCCAAATAGCAAAATTTAGGCAGAAATACCAGAGGTGGCAAAATTCGCCAACTCCGCTGTAGAGTGAAAGGCTTGCTATTTTAGGATAAATGTTGCCTCTTGTTCGATTAACTACAACCCCAATCGCTGCATGCCAGCACTTTCAAAGCGACTATAAATGATCAATTCATGAAGATACTGGGTCATACAAAACACACCAGAGCTTACCTTCAAACACTGGACACTCCAGCATTTCCAATTGTGGGAAACTGTACATTCCCCGGGAAACCTCCCTCTCAATAGAGATAGTCATGATGTATCGGGATTGCTGAGGAAATTGCGTATTTAGTTAAATGATTTTACACAACCATCATGCACGTTAAATCATCACTGACATATTAAACTACTACTAAAAAATAACATACTTATATTATAAAAAGTAAATAAAAATAACCACACAACAAAAACCCCAAACAAATCCTACAGTTTTCAGCCAGTTTTCTTTAAAACTGATATTGAAATCCCCTTCTGCAGGTGTGTCAGTGAATAAATTGCACACTTTAGGTTACCCACCTGCTTAAGAACAAAGCATCCTTTATAGGAAGCAGCGATAGTCACAGACTCATTAGGGTTCTCACTGACACTTGTCCCACAGGCACTGTGCACGGATAAATGTTGAAGCTTTCCATTCTGGTCTATAGAAATATAAAGAATCCATAATTGTGCATTAAGGCGATGGCTAAACATTGATGGAACTTGCAGATGACTGTACATTAGGCACACTGTCTAGGTTAAGTTACAGATAGCTATGCTGAGTGGGTTTTATATATAAAAAAAAAAACAAAAGTGCTGCCTTCATACCACAAAAACAAAAAATCATTCTAGTTGAATACTTGTAGAAATAATATTTAGCAGATACGAATTTAAAGTGCATCTAAAGCATTAAACACATTTTCCCCATTTAAGTTCATAAAAATTTGGAATTGAAATCCAAACTGCAGCATTTAGTTCAAAAGAGCAGCACTGGAAAAACTCAAATTCCCATATTCTTCCATTATCTTGGGATCACAGAGTTCTTCACAAAGCAGTAAATTGCTGAGACTTAAATATGAATTTCACAGATTAGGAGAAACTAGCTGAACTCGTGGCTGACTTAGAAGTGTTCAAAGATCATTATTTTGGCCTAAAGTTGGAAATTCATTTTGAATTCCAAATGATCCACAGTTAGGCCAAAGTAGCAGAGCAGAAAGCATCACTGACTTGGAGTTTTTCCAATTTGACTATTTTAGCCTTAAATATGAAATTCCTTTTGGATTCACTTTGAATTCTTGTTTTAGTGAATACCTTAAAAGTTTATCTTTACAATTCTGTACTCCGTTTTTGGATTTTGTATAAATCTTTAGAAGGCAAGTCATATTTGATGACAATGTCCACGAAGCAGAGGTTTATTCACCAAACTGGAAATAGAAGAGAGAACGGCCATTTTGGTCTAATATTTGCAATTCCTTTGTCATTTTTCAGTTTGGTGAATGCAAACGTTCCATCTTCCTAAATAGAACACTATAAAACCATTATTTATTTGACTTACCTAAAGCACTTACTCTCATAGAAACATTTCTTGGAAGATTACCGGAGACAACATATCGGAGGCTCTGTGTTCCGCAGAACAGGCGAGGATTACCAATTCTAATACGGTGAGCACTTGGCTGGGTATTGGACAATGACAAACTAAAAGCCAAAAATAGGCATATTCCCATTGCCCGAAAGTTAAACTCCATGGTCACCATCCGATCTCTTAGAATATTTTAGTTTTATCAATATTTGGAACATGTATTCCTCACTACATGCTATCAAGGAGTCTGTTGATCATCCAGTAAATGTTCTACTAATACAGCCTTGACACTGGTGTAACTAATTAGTTAATTAAAGTCATCCTGTTTTTTCCTGCTTCATGTTTAAAGAAACACCCCAGACACTTAACGCTGCAGTGTTTTATGTGTCATTTTTTTTAATGATTTGTAAAAGTACCAATATCAATAGAAATCATCACTTTTATAACTGTGGGTGGACAAATGCCGTCCAGAGACAGGGAAAATCCCTGATTGATGAATTCCCATCAGAGCAGGTGTGCAGCTGTTTTGCCCTCAAACAAAGCGTGTAGAATAAAAATATGTGAAAGTTTCCTTGACGTTATATCTACTAAATTGCTTTAAAAAATGAATTCAAAGTTAAATGGAGTGTTCCTTTAATTGATTGCCAGATCATCCCGTTTATGCCAGACAGCCATAATTCAATACTGGTAGGCTGCACATGTTTTATGCAACATGTAGTTTGTGTCATACACATGTTATTGGTAATTGTGTAAATACTACATGCTGACAGAGATTACTTTTTATGTACAGCCCTAAAACATGTCTGTATTGTAAATGTCTGGTATGAAATCGTGGAACTGGAATCCATACTTTGAGATGAAGGTTCTTTTTAATTCTTTTTAATAAGCTGACAATATGTTAGGGTTAAGTTGTCACACCGGAAAATTGAAAAACAAATAGCAAAACTCAGGTTTCCAAGATAAAACAGAGATTGTATGTCTCAGTTTGTTACAATACACTGTTTAGTTAAAGGGACTCTCCAGTGCCAGGAAAACAAATCTGTGCAGTGCCCCCCTCCCTTCCACCCTTTAGTTAAAACCCCTTCAGTGACTTACCTGAATCCAGTGCCGATGTCCGTCGGCGCTGGGTCAGGCTCCGCCCACGCTCCTTCCCCGCCAACGTCAGCCGGTGGGGGAGACCTAATGCGCAATGGCAATTAGACCTCCACATAGGAAAGCATTATTCAATTATTTATTTATTTATTTATAAAATATTTTACCAGGAAAGATACATTGAGATTTCTCTCGTTTTCAAGTATGTCCTGGGTCCACAAATCATTGCATTGTTACATTAGGTACAACAAAATTCAAAAACAATATTAATACACAATATATACAAAATTTAACATAGAACAGGCATGAAATATATAATCAACCATGACACGTGCATTCTGTTTTGAGGTATGTAGAGAGGGATCTCTTAAATGACTTTAGGCTTAGGGAAGATTTTAAATTGTGCGGGAGGTCGTTCCACAATTGCGGTGCTCTGTAGGGTTAAGGGTGATGGGAGTTGGCACCCAGACTAGTCCAATGGGCAAAAGTGGTCTGGGTGCCTGGAGTGTCCCTTTAATAAAAAATCTCTGTTTTTGCCTTTCCATTCAGTGTGATAGCTTATCATATAGATTATCTCACATGTCCCTAACTCCTTGCTGGTTCTGCCATAGACCATCCACTCATCACTGCCGTTCGCACTAACCCATCATAGCAGTAATATTCTCAGTGTATATGGTTTTATAATACCAGTATTGTTCTAAGGGATCATATTTTCCTGGACACATATCACTTTTCATGTTGACAGGCAGTATCCAAAATTCATATTCAATTTGTAATAAATGAAAAACAATAAATATCATATCATTTATCTTCTCTACATGAGGACACTCTATTGTCAAAATAAATAAATACATATTGCTATTTAGTAGAAATATCACAATAAAACCATCCACACATTTTGTTTTATTGGGGCTATATCTAAACAACTTGCTAAAGCTGCAGGTCTCTTATCTGCAGCCATTGCAAGATCTCTTTTTTCCCCAGAACAGTCTTTTCGGATACCTAGATACTATAGACTGACAGTTGAATTTAATATTCCTAATCCACTACTATTAAATAGAGATGATATGGCTGGCTCCCTAAATAGAGAGTGTTATATCAGTATTATCAGTATGCGTGTGTATACATTGGTAATATATAATGCACCATGAGAAGCTTTTACTTTATTAATTCTAGATCTTGTTTGCCTGCTGAATTACCCCCAATAAAAAAGTAATTTTTTATTTTATGTTGTACTTTGTGTGTGTTTTCACTTTTATGTAATTTGTATTTTTTGTGACTCTTCAGTGATTGACTCACAGGTGGTATATCTGCACCATCACTCCATTTAGCGCAGAACCACCTTTCATTTTCTTTTGTTTGTGCTGGGGAAATGACCTGAGGCGTTCATGCGCATGTAGCTTTCCAATTCATAGACTTTTCATTGGGCTGTTGTGCAGCTCAATGACATGTGACTTGGGAGAGAAGGCAGGAATGCTCTACGGGGCCACTGAAAGGACTTTTGGCTACAAAGGCCAAAAAAGATGCATCTTCATCTGTATCTCTCATAACACCTCTTTTGAATTTCTCACCATAGCACTTGGTCCGTCTCCCCAGACCCATCCCTTTCCATTCTCCCCTCCTACTGTGCCTGTCTAGCTCTTTGGATGGTGGCCAAGCAGACCATAGTCTGCAGACCTGTCTGACAGGAAGCTGTTTAGTGTTCTTATATCTTCTGATCACCTGGAGATTGCGTGCCCCCAGGCTGGTGCGCCCTGACACTAGCACAACTCACCTTCCACCTGAGAATCTATAAATCTAATCCAAAATGGAAATACACAGGAACAACAAAGTAAAAAGTGGAAGTGGCTATATAAGAAATACCAAAGAAAATAAGTATAAATAACTAATAAAGCTAAAGTACCAGTATGTCTCTCTGGGTAGGTGGAATATATCAACAAGAATGTATCAAGTCAGTTGAAATTACTTTACTGAACATACAAAAATAAAAATGGTACGGAAGAGTGTATAAACTGACGTGTGTTTCACTCGGCAGCTGTCGCTGGGGTAATCAGGATTGCTGCAACGCGCATTAAGTGCAGACTAGAGTTTTCCTAGTTGGAGGTTCGTTCTACTCATGAATCGAATTTAGCTTACCATACTCCCCCACTTGGAACTCCTCTACCATTCATTTACGTTAATCTCTCTAGAACTTTTGGGATATTGTTACCTTGATAATTCTTGATCAGTTTATACTTTGGTTTTGAGACATGGAGGTGACATGTGCCGGCTGCTACATACATAGGGATAAGTAGTCTCTTAATTGCTAGACTATCTTAGGGGCCAACCGGCACATGCACCCTCCCTGCAGCAACCCCATACATGAAATTATAACCATCGGCTTGAATTACCCTATCTACACTCCCCCAGGGCCAGTTTAAGAGCAATTATGATGGGCCTAATTACGGAATCTTATCGACCAAAAACACTAAAACAATCATACCTCCCAAGCGTCATGTATCTGATGGAAATGGTGCTGGAAGGAAACTCATAGGATGCAGCTATAAGAAAACACATACTCTATACTAATCTCTTTATCTAATTCATGCTTTCATCTTTCAAGTAAATCCATAACCCCTATCAGCAGTGTGCAGTGAAGCAGGAAGTCAATGGGCGGGGTAAAAGGGTGTGCCACTGGCGCGAATCACGTGACAAGACCTGCCAAAAGGGGTGAACATGCCCAAAAAGGGGGCATGTTTGTCCAAAGAATTGGAAGGTCAGCCTGGCATGAATGCATGTCAGGCTGCCTGCCAATCCTGCAGGCTGTCCAACTAAGGGCATACTATGCAGGCAGCACCTTGAGCTTGACATAAATGCGTCTAATGATGCGCTCACTCCATTCTTTCTAAGGACTGTCCTCTAGCACTCGCTGGTCCACTTGTCTCCTTACCTTCTTACTAGCAGGCAGAAGTTCCTGGTATGTAGTCTGAGACAGAGAAAAAGTGTTTGTAGTGAGTGTAGAAGAAAGGGGACATGCCACAGTGTTAGAGAGACTAACGTCTGCATTACCTAAACTAACTTTAATGTCAGCCAGTACACACAAGTTTTGTTCCCATACATCCCTCTTAAGCTTCCAAACTTAAAGGGACACTATAGTCACCAGAACAACTACAGCTTATTGTATTTGTTCTGGTAAGTAGAATAATTCCATTCAGGCTTTTTGCAGTAAACACTGTCTTTTCAGAGAAAATAACTCCACTGGCCGCTCCTTAGATGGCTGCTAGGAGTGCTTCCTGGGGCAGTACTGCCTAGTGTGCAGCACTGCCATTCAGTGTCTCCACCCTCTGCATGCAGACACTGAACTTTCCTCATAGAGATGCATTGATTCAATGTATCTTTATGAGGAGATGCTGATTGGCCAGGGCTATGTTGGACTTGTGCTGGCTCTGCCCCTGATCTGCCTAGTTGACAGTCTCAGCCAATCCTATTGGGAAGTATTGTAATTTGCTCAGACCACCATTTCTGAGCCAGCAGCTGCAGAATTGAATACAAGTAATATTTTACTATATTTAGGGAGGCAAGAAGGGGCCAGGGTGGTGGTTTTAACATAATAGGGTCAGAAATACAGGATTGTGTTCCTGACCCTATAGTGCTCCTTTAAGCAAGAGTATGGGAAGAGTAGTTAAGGTTGCCACCTTCCTTGGAAAAAAATACCAGCCTTAATAATTTGTATAATTAATTAGTTATGCGTGACATCACATGATGTAAATCACCAACAGAGAAAATTCAGAGAGAGTGACATCAGAGAAAATTCTGTAAAATCACCAACAAACTACTCACAGTTTGATTCTGCTCTATAGATGGATTGCTCCCAGTGTCTCCCTGTCTCCCAGTGTCTCCCTGTCTCGCAAGTCACCCAGTGTCTCAGTGTCCCTATGTATCACAGTGTCAGTGTCCGCATGTCGCCCAGTCCCCTAGTCTCCCAGTGTCTGTGTCCCCATTTCTCCCAGTGTCTCAATGTCTGTGTGTCCCCATGTTACTAGGATACTGGGGACACAGAGAGACATGGGGACACAAACATTTGGGGACACTAAGGACACAGACATGGGGACACCAGGCACACAGACACTAGGAACACAGACACTGAAACATTTGGGGACACTAAGACACTGGGAGACTAGGGGACACCGGCTGGGAGACAGTTGTGGACATAGACATGGGGACACTGGGACACATGGGGACAAAGACACTTGGGGACACTGGCTGGGGGACATAGTGTCTCTGTGTCCCAATGTTCCTATGTCTCACAGTGTTCCCATGTGTCTCAGCATCCCCATGTGTCCTAGTGCCCCCAGGTCTCCCAGTGTCTGTGTCCTAGTGTCTCATTGTCCCCTATTGTCTGTGTCCCTGCTGCCTTTCCCCCCCATCCCTCACTTACCTGAGCTGTAGAGCTGCTGTCTGGACTCTGTGCTGTGTAGCTGCTCCCCCACGGATCAGTGAGTAGTAGAAAGAGGCAGGGATATTCTGTAACTTCCTATCCCTGCCTCTCTCCACACACAGGTGCTGGTATTGCAGAGTAATTTCCATTTATTCTGAGAAAATTACCTGCATTTGTATTGCCGGTATTACTGCAATACTGGCACGGTCAGGCAGCCTCAAATACCGTCTGTGCCATTAAAATACCAGTCAGGTGGCAAACTTAAGAGTGTGTAAAAATATTTTATTTTATTTTTTTAAATGGGCCTATTCCATGGGCCTGGGCTTGGGCCTGGAGCTGCAGCTCCATCAGCCCCTATGTTAATCCAGCCCTGCACCTCCCCCACGGTAAACACGCCACCTACTCTGTAAGCTATTTTTAGAACCATCACCTTATGGTTTTCAACACACCAGATTCTTTATAGCTTTATTTAATTTTAGAAAAATATTTGATGTGCTGTGGTGTAAGAAATATTGAACCCATGTAGTACAGGAGGTAAGGTGCCATTGAGTTTTATGTAAATCTTAATGCACTTAAACATCTTGTATTGTTATTATGCCAATTTCTATTGAAACTGGCATTTTGTAAAATGCGAGCGGAGGGAGAAAGATAAGAAAAAAAAAAAGTCAGCAAGCTTTAGTGGGTCTGGAATGTCCCTATAAACGAAGTCTAATCCACTACCGTGATCACAATCTAGAGTTCCACCTGCGCTCCTCCTCTGATCACCGATTAGACCTATTTGAGGACATACCTCAATGATGCAGACTTTACGGTCAGCATCTGAATGGAGTGGTGTCATGTCACATGGAGGGCAGAAGGATATCCTGCTCTCTACCAATTCTGGTAAGGCTGCCAAGAATTGAATGACTGGTGGGAGAAAATTCTATTTAAAGGAGGTTTTTCTACCAATCTACATTTGCTAGCACAATGTATAGATTGAATATAAGGAACATTTTAGCGCTCTGTATTGAGCCTCAGGCGGCTGCAGCTTTTCCCGGGCGGTGCGTCCATGAGGGCGGACCGCACCGCCCGGGCGCAGCATGAGGAGAGGGGCTGACAGGAGGGAAACGCTCAGCGCTCCCTCCTGTCACTCCCTCTGTAGTAGCGTGGCCGAGCCCTGCAGCATGCTGGTCCGACGGGTACAGAGAGCAGCTGTCTCCTGTACCCGGCCGGACTAACAGGAAGTACACACTGAGTGTGCACTTCCTGTTAGTCCGGCCGGGTACATGAAACAGATGCTCCCTGTACCCGCGGACTATACAGGGCTCGGTCACGCCCCCAAAGGTTGGGAGGAGAGAGAGAAAGAAGGAGGGGGAGAGAGAAAGAAGGGAGGGGGGAGAGAGAGAGAAGAAAGGGGGGGAGAGAAAGAAGGAGGGGGGGAGAGAGAAAGAAGGGGAGGGGGGGAGAGAGAAAGAAGGGGAGGGGGAGAGAGAAAGAAGGGGAGGGGGGGGAGAGAGGAGAAAGAAGGAGGGGGGAGAGAGGAAAGAAGGAGGGGAGAGAGAAAGAAGGAGGGGAGAGAGAAAGAAGGAGGGGGGGGAGAGAGAAGAAGGGGAGGGGGGAGAGAGAAAGAAGGAGAGGGGAGGGGAGAGAGAAAGGGAGGGGGGGGAGGAGAGAAGAGAAGGGAGGAGGGGAGAGAGAAAGAAGGAGGGGAGAGAGAAAGAAGAGGGGGAGAGAGAAAGAAGGAGGGAGAGAGAAAGAAGGAGGGGGGGAGAGAGAAAGAAAGGAGGGGAAGAGAAAGAGAAAGGAGGGGGGAGGAGAAAGAGAAAGGAGGGGAGTGAGGAAAGAGAAGGAGAGGGGTGGGAAAGAGAAAGGAGAGGTGGGAAAGAGAAAGGAGAGGGTGGGAGAGAAATTAGGGTGGGAAAAGAAATTAGGGGAGAGAAATTAGGGAGAGAAATTAGGAGAAATTAGGGGAGAGAAATTAGGGGGAGAGAAATTAGGGGGGAGAGAAATTAGGGAGAGAAATTAGGGGAGAGAAATTAGGGGGAGAGAAATTGAAATTAGGAGGGGGGAAGAGATATTAGGAGGGGGGGTGAGAAAGAGAAATTGGGAGGAGGAGAAGGAAATTGGAGCGGGAGGAGAGATTGACATTCATCACATACACACAATGCACCCCTTGCACACAGAAAAACACACAATGCATTACACACACAGACACACAGACACAAGCAATGCAACCGTTACACACAATGCATCCCTTACACACACAGAAACACACAATGCATTCATTACACACACTCAATGCACCCTTTACACACATTCAATGCATCCCATACATACACAGAAACACACCTTGCAGCCCTTACACATACAAACAATTTCACACAATGCATTCCTTACACACATATCAGGACATCCCTTACACACTCCACCCCCTGTGAACAAACTCATTGGTGGAACATGAAGGTGGACCCTGGGACCCAGACCTTGAGCTGTGTAAAGGACCCCCCCAAAAAAATGGAGCTGCTTCCCGTTCTCCCAGAACATTGATTTTTGTGACAGAGAGCCTGTTCTGCACCAGACCAGTGGAGCCAGACTGCAGCTAGAGCCCATCATCATCCTCATCTGGTTGTAAGTAGGCAATCCAGTATATTATTCGTGGCACTAAGCTCTAATTTACCTCACATTAAAGAAACACTATAGTCCCCAGAACCACTTCAGCTTAATGTAGTGGTTCTGGTGTTTATAGCCTGTCCCTGCAGGCCTTTTAATGTAAACACGGCGGCACTGCAGCACTGGCGTTAGTTAACATGGCAAATCATATGGGTGGGGCATTGTGATGTCACATGGGGGGGGGCGGCAAACTTTACTTTTGCCTAGGGTGGCAAAAATCCTTGCACCGGACCTGGCTGGATGGGGCTGTGTGAGCTGTGGCCGCACAGTGTCCCATGGTAGTTAGGGTGCCGTGCGGCCAGTAAAGCTCACACAAGCAAACAGCTGATAAACTGGCCGCACGGAGCAAATGTGTATGTGTGACTGTCTGCCTGTAACTGAGTGTGTGACTGTCTGCCTGTAAATGTGTGTGTGGGGCTGCAGGGATTTTGTAGAAGGGGGCAGGGGTTTTGTATTGGGACAGGAGTCTTTATAAGGGGGGATAAGCAGGGGATTTGTGGAAGGGGGTTGTGGGGGGTTTGTAGACAGGGCAGTACAGGATTTGTAGAAGGGGCAGGACAGAGGTTTTGTAGGAGGGGCGGGGCAGGACAAGGGTTTTGTAGGAGGGGCTAACAGCGGTTTTGCAAACTTTACAAATTGTAAAAAAAGAAAGAAAACCTTTAACATTTTTGACAGGTTTTTTTTTTTGGGGGGGTGGTTGCCAAGCACAGGATCCGCCCCGGGTGCCAAATGCTCTAGCTCCAAGGGGTGTTAAAGTGCATGTAGTTTGTATGCATTCTATAGCATGTTCATTTTGTAGTCGAAAACAAAAATCCTATATTAGCATTATATCATCAAGTTTGATTTTAAGATAGTTCAGATAGCTAGTGTTTTGGGTAAATTCAGTGACCAACAAGCAAGAACAGTTTTTAACTTTTTTTTTTTATTAGACTTTCAAGTTTTGAATATTTGATCTGTTTTGTGTACACTGATAACTCATCACCCCGATCAGAAATCCAACCAGAATTGCAGAAAATAAAAACACCATAGCAGCTATTAGCCTCCATTCCAATCCTGACGTCCTGTGTGGGATTTCTATATAGAATAGAAGATAAAATAAAAGTTCAAAGTTAATTCTTGGGTAAGAGAATGCCATGGTCATGTAGATATCAAATATGCATTCACCTTTTTTAACCAGCAGCTCATTATTAATTTCAGAAAGCAGAATGGGACCTTCTGAGGATACCAAGGTCAGTGTAGATTCATCAAGGTCATCAACTGCCCTCTCTGCCAAAATAGGAATTGATTAATGACGGTTTTATCCCAACACCAGATAGCCAAGTTAATCAAAAACCCCAAAACTCAACCCAACTTAATGGCTGTGCAATACAGCAAGCAGAGTAATCCAACAAAATCAGGCAGTTCAAAGCAAATCTCTGAATACCAAGTTTAGAGACCTGCTTACAGACTACCTCTGGTTCTGGAACACAAAAATAAAGTTCTAGGCAGGGCAATAGGAGGTTTGTCATCTTTGATGTTACTCGCTCTTGTAGCTGTCCAGTTGCACCCATTTATGTCTATGTGTATAAGACTTTCACAATTTTTCAAGATTCTACACATAGAATGCACCCAATGATTCAGAAGGAATGTGCTTACTTCTTGAGTTGCATGTGGCTGTACAGGAATCAGACGAAGAAGGAAAACACGCAGATGCACTACAATGCAGGTATACCTAGATAGCAGCCAAACCACGTAACAGTTAATTGTAATTTAAAGACTGAAATACATTAATACACAGAACACAAAACTTAGATTTCAGCAACTGAATAGGCCTTTATGGACAATACAAAGTGTCAAAGCAAGTAATTAAAATATAAAGTAGACTTGCTAAAATGATTATCTACACATGAAAAACCAAGCAAGGTGCCTTGTATAAAATGGTTTTTAAAGCTATTGTACCACGATACAGACTATAATATATTTATAGTTTCTATTGTAACCATCGAGCCAGGATTGTTGACATCACCAAACTCCTTTTGAAGCAAGTTGGGCAGTAACCTTGTAAGAGCTGTTCCTACAGGCCTACCACATGGGCGAATCCTTGTATCTAGAAGACAGACATTTTGTGCACCCCCCTGGGGTCCTTCAAAACAGCTGCCATCTTGGATGTTGGCACCAGAGAAGTACTCCACAGCAGTTCTTATTAACTTGCTATGACTGACTGTCTCCTTATTAAATGGTTTGTCTATCAAGCCATAGCACCAAGCGATTTTTCAATTTATTATTGGGCTCCTTTAAGTCCACCCAGAGACCTCATCTATACAGCCCATTTATACCTAGAGCCTTTAGCACTGTAATAGTTCCTGCAGTAATCACTGCAATAAGACTACAATAATGATCACGGTTGCTCGTGGAATCTACATTCTAAATGAACCAACACAACTTTTTTAAATAAATAAGTAGATGTTAACTATGCCTATCTATGTCTATTAATATAAACCCCCCCCCCACCACAAAAAAAACAGTACAATCAGGTGATCAGTTAGATTTGGCCATGCAGCAGTTATATGACTCTCCTCCCCAATCTCACAAGATTATCTTACCAATCCATCGAATGCTTGATTTGAGGTACCACCTACAAATGTGAAGGTACTTAGGATAAAGCGTTTATAATAGTAAGGAAAGTCCACGGCAGAATTTCTCTCAGTAGACAACAGCTGGGTTTTATAGTTATCCCCATCGAATGGACACCTATTGGAAAGTTCAAAAATCAGGTTCACAGATCAGCCTTACAAAGTGGACAAGAGTTTTAGAGTGGTCCTTTGAGGTACTTGCACCCTGCTGGTGTGATGCACATTGGTCCTGAAAAGTGCTTTTGCTAGACAGTAGCTTTTAAACAAAGCTACATAACAGCTTTGCAGTTTTAGGTCTCAAATTATTAAAAAATGAAATGGTTCAATACTCACCGGGTGACAAGAATTGGCCACTGTGGCTGTTGCAATGGGCTTTCAGAGGGAGTTGCCCAACACTGCTCCAATATTAGAACCAACGAAGGGTCATTTCTGTTTAATATGCGAACTTCTACAAATACCGGATCTCGGAGATATTTTACTACAGGGTAGTCTCCAGTTCCATAATACTGTCCAAACTGAAGATCTACAGTGCAAGAGAAGACAAAAACAATTAATCCAACAACATTCTATTCCATTAACCAAGTACAATGGTAAAGAAAAACAAAAAGGCACCATTTTATGAGAGGCTAGGATTTCCTTGAAGTTTTATATTTGGCAGTTCAGACACGGAAGACAGGACAAGCACTGCAAATTTAGACGGGAAGATATAAATTTTGCTTAAAATTTTCTTTACTGTTGGTTCTCTGTTAGGAAAAGAAAGGAACAGTATCCCATGACATCCACTCCAATGAAGGGGGCGTATGGGAAATAGTACAACATAAAACTGATTAGTAGCAAAATTAAACAAAAAGAAAACCCACAACTTTATTAAAACCAGAAATAGAGCTACTATATCCAACACTCCTTATCTGTCCTAAAGGGCTTGCCCTTACCCTGCATATAGACATGTTTTCGCTACTTAGGACCCTCTGTTAGATATAGTAGATCTATTTTTAGTTTTAATAAAAAAGGTTTATTCTTTGTTTTGCTACTAATCAGTTTTAGGTTGTATTATTTCCCATACGCCCCCTCCGTTGGAGTGGATGTTGTGGGATACTGTTCCTTTATTTTCTTATTTGTAGTTGCTAGTGGGATAGGGTTAGGTGTTTACCCTAGCCTATGGCATTTTGGCTGGTGGAGTATCATTTGACCTATCCCATGGTTAATAATCTTCAAGCTGTTACTTTTTTTCTCTGTTGACTGCCAGGTGCAGAGCTTACAACAAACTGACAGGAAGACTAGATGGAGACACCCAGCTCCGGGATAGTGGTCAGACCTCAAGGTACAGATTTGTTAAATATAGGGATACACAGACTATTAAAAAGATCCTGAAAGTTAAAAACCCTATAAATTTAAATGTGGAGGGGGCAAGATTCCTACTGTGGCAGGCAGCTCCCAATAATATCTGGATATATAAACTGATGCACCCAGTTTTATGCAGAATGTTTGCTTTTAGTGGGTTCCATGTTAAAGGGACACTATAGCCCCCAGAACAGCTTATTCAGGTTTTTAGCTGTAAACACTGTCTTTTCAGATTAAATGTGGGGTTTACATTACAGCCTAGGGATACCTCCACTGCCACCACTCAGATGGCTGCTAAAGCAGCTTCCTTGGACAGTGCTGCAGATACACTGAACTTTCCTTAGAGATGCATTGACTCAATCAATCTATATTGTATGAGGAGATGCTGATTGGCCAGGACTGTGTTTGAGTTGTGCTGGCTCTGCCCCTGATCTGCCTCCTTGACAGCCTCAGCCAATCCTATGTGGAAGCATTGTGATTGGCTCAGACCACCACTTTTTGATGAAGTCAGTTGATAGGCAGCTCACAGCGGCAGAGCCAGGAGATGCAGACTTGAATAAAAGTATGATTTTACTATATATAGGGAGGCAAGAGGGGGCCAGATGGTGGTTTAAAACTATAGGTCAGGAATACATCTTTGTGTTCCTGACCCTATAGTGTTCCTTTAAAGTTGCTATTGATGTAAGAATTTGTGCAACTAAGAAGGAACATGTTTATTTGTATAAAAACTATTGAAAATTGTATCAAAATGGGAGGATAGTCCAAAGCAGAGGAAGAAACTGTTTAAAATAAAAATTTGCTTTAATGGAGTCAAAATTACCAGGCCAAAAAATAAATAAATACACACAAACAAACAATCCCTATACCTACATCATCTGGCACACAGAGGGAAGATCTCTATATAGTGAAGTACTTTTACCTTTTGCAATCCTCATTTGCAGAGTGAGAGGACCAGTACTAGATACTGGAGATGGCGGAGGAAGAGTGTACACTTCAACATACAGAGGCTCTGATGCACTGGCAGTGAAACTGCAGCGGATGCGTAGTCTTAAATAAAAAATAGTTATATTAAATACAGCTAAAATTTCCATTAGTTACAGGGATAAGAGATTTCCTTTTAGGCATAAAAACTGCAACCCACGGAGGTAAGATGGTGTCAGAGAGCCAAGTGGGAGTGTACCTTTAATTCCAACTGAAGATGGAAATGTAATAGTCCCATATAATAACTTGTGAAAGGAGGGGTCTGCACACACCCCCACCAGTTTTCAAAATAATATTTTATAGTTATAGGAAAGAACCAAGTGTTGCAAATATAAAAGTTCCATTTATTCCTACAAGATTTTGTTACCACTCCAATGGAGTACTGGCTCACCTAAAGGTGCTGTCCCTGGTAATTAATGCTCCACTCCACGTTCTGACATCCTGGTCAGCAATCAGGTCATTTTCATATACCACTATTCCATTGTTAATCTAAAAAGCAGACAAAGTAAAAAAAAAAAAAAATTTTCCCCACACACACCTCCATCTGTGTTTATAAGTTATGTCTTATGGAGTCATTTGCACAAACTATAATAGTCCACATGGGTGAACTTTCACTTGCGAGGATTTTTGTCACGTTTACTTATCCCTAAATTTAACAGACAGGAGTTTGTGAGATGTGAAAGTTTGGACCAGGCACATATAGGTGGTAAGGCAGATTTTATAGAAAAGCCATACAACGTTTCAGCTCCTACAAGAGGCTTTATCAAGTGAATACAAAATTTGGTTAAAGGAGTTCATTCTGTGTGTGCTAGCTTGATAAAGGCTCCTGTGGGAGCCAAGAGTGTGTTTTCTTTTAGGCAAACTTTATTGAAAATCCATAAATCTGCAAGTGCCTGGTGCATCTGTCTTCATGCTTGATACGTTGAAATAGTCCACCCTGGACCGGAGGCACACTTGATGAATATTTTAGTGTGTGCCACTCCACTTTATGCCTATTGGTCTGTACTAGTTTGAGATTCATACCTCACATGAAATCATGGTAGGTGGTCCTTCAGAGGGCAGTGCCAATGAGAACTTGCCCCACTGGTAACACGCATAATGGGTTTGCACATCTGGAAATTGGGTAGGCTCACCCACTAAACGCATTGCTGAAACCCTCATGTTCCTCGTGCCGGTAGGACAATGTGAGCATGTCTAGTGATGCACTCACACTGTGTGAGGCCATTTACTTTGTGCCCCCAGGGAATTAGTTTGCAATTGCAGGAATCTGGACTCTCCTGCCAAAAGGAGATTTGGGAGGCCTGATAATGTGCCAACAGGGTTATTTACTAAAATTCTCAGTCAGCTATGCTTTCAGTTTGGCTACTCTGGCCTTCAATTTGTAAATAACGCAATCTTTAAAAGAAAATAAGCAAAACACTTCATAAAGAGAAAACACACCACATTACAAGCGATTTTCAGCATTTTGTAAGATTCCAGAGACGTGACAGTTCCTCTTTAATGTGCATCCATCATACTACGTAACTGGCCCTGAGATCCATGGCTTATAAACTTACTTTACGTATGGTACCACAGGCTGACAGAGGGAACTTGAATACGATAAAGGCTTCATTTTGAGTCACTGGGCTGCAGCCATCACCACCTCCACTAAGTAAGTGGACGGAATCTAGACGTAGCGGTGGCAAGGTGACATCTTTGGAAATTGCAATGGACATCTGACCATCTATGCTGCACTGAGCAGTAACTGGAAGACATTTCACAATCCAACTGGTTAAATAATTCTGATAAGCTCAATAGGTCATATTTCACAAGGAAAAGACTTGCCTTCATCACCATAGTAACATGGATTTATTGAATCACTTTGGTCATAACAGCAGCCATTCTGAAGACAGACATCCTGGGAAGTGAGTGGGCCAGCACAAGCTATTCTGTTTCCTCTTAGAACCCCTGAGCACTTATTAAGAGCAGGGGCGTCCATTGCTGGGGATAAGGAGTATAGGAAGAGAAAGTATCAAAATGTAATTGATTAACTTTCTTACAAAAATCAAAAACTAACACTCCCTCCCCCAAAAAGAACAAACCCCAAAAGATGTAGTGTTTGAATACAGATGCAGTGGTGTATAGTGATAACCATTTAAATCCAGTGGTGTGTAGTTTTAACTAGGGAATGTAAGGGTGTACATGTGCTGGGAGAAAGTGACCCAAATTTACTTCCTCTCAACAGGCTGCAGGGGAAAAACCAACTCCGTTACAGGGTCCTGTATGCTACTAAACCACTGTGTGGCCCCTAAATCCAAGAGCCCTCAAGCCCCACGACCACTTGATAGGCATCCAATGTGGCCATGTTTTTGGGCTCCATGGGTCTCATGATACCACATTGGAGTTATATCCTAATTTTTTCTTCAAACTGAAAACAAAGGACTTCTGACTAGGAACTCAGTTTCTTGAACACATGTTTAAATCAAAAACAATTGATGATCCTCCTATTAAGGAGCATATATACCTTGAAATACAGGGCACCTCAAGTCTTCCTTCTGATAAACTTCCCATTTTCCAGTTATATTATGTTGCATCAAGATAGTCATTGTATAGTAATTATCCTGCAATAAAGATTAAAGCTATCAATGCACATCATTTCGGCCACCAATACCAAAATTTCAGCAGAAAATAAAAGCATTATAGAAAGGCTACACATTTGTATAGATTATGGACATTTGGCAATGGAGGCAGGGAGCTGGGCATATGGACAGAATAGGTTTAGATCAATACAGGGCATTAATGCTTTTAGTTTAGCTCTGATAACATTATTCCTTCCCTCTTATTACTTAAAGGACATTAAGCACAAAGTCAATTTTAATGTAATTAATTGCCGTTGGTGTATAGATCATGGCCCTGCAGTCTCACTATTCAATTCGCTACTGTTTAGGAGTTTAACAGAGCAGGAAAGAATATATTCCAACACAGAGAAATAAAAGGTTTAAAATGTTTAATTTTTCCAGGAGGTGTGCAGGTATGGCTAGGGCTGTATAAACAATTATTTAACTCCTAAATGGCAGAGATTTCAGCAGTGAGACTGCAGGGGCATAGGCTATGCAAAACACTGCTTCATTGAGCTAAAGTTGTTTTGGTGTCCCTTTAGTCTTCAGAGGCTTAGGGAATATATATTTTTAGATATCTGGATAACAGTCACATCAAATCATACTCCGTTGTCACAACACCTATTGGAGAGGTTACCATTTTTTTTATGAAACAGCCATCATAGTCCACATCAATAAACAGGAAGCCATCTGAACCCGGAGTCACCCAGATTCCACAGGAGGGATCACCCACAATAGGCTTCAGTTTTCCTTTGTGGTCTATGGAAGAAGAGAAAGCAGACAGGCTCCTTAGAAATGCACATAAACCAAAATTGCATGCATACAGTTTTAACAGACCACAAAAGGAAGAATTGCAGTTTTGAGGAGTTAGAAGGGACCTGTTATGGAAGCAGGACAGAGCAAATCACTCGTTAAAAGTCATACATTTGGCAGAAATATGGATCCTCGTGTCAGATACCCAATGGGTCTACTTTTAACAAGGGTTTACGGAGTCCCCACATAAGTTTTGGCAACAAGTTTGACAAGATCACTGAAGCTTGAATTGTAGCATTGAAGTCTGAATGGCAACGTTTACGCAAGCATGGGATTTAGATAAATTATCCAATTCAAGTATGATAACACATTGAGTATTTTATATGTTTTTTTCAGTTGACTACAATTAAGAATTTAGTGAATAACCCTGTTAACAGTGCAGGATAATATATATACACACACTAATGTACACATATCTATCACATTGTGGGGGTATATTAAGGGAGTACTACTGCACACACTAGAACAACTTCAGTTAGATTAAGTTGTTACATTGTGCCTTTAAGTTTGCACATCAATGGGTTACCTCTAACAGCCGCAAAGAAAATCCAAGTCAATAAGACCTTTCCAGTTTTAAAGGGACACTCAACTGCCCAAATACAAAACACATTTTTTAAATTGTTTAGTATTTATACTCCCAAATGAAAACTTGCATGCATTTAATTGCATTGCAAAACATGCAATTCTCTTGTCTGTTGCCTTTGCAAGCCCTCCCCTTCTAACCCCAAACAAACTGTCTGTCCAATCACAGACTTCCCAATGCAGCTCAATGAGAAGTCATTGCAAGGCAGGTGCTCTGAGCAATTGCTGCCTCTTGAATTTAGTTCCACTGAACCATACAAACCAGGAAGTAACAGGACAGGTTGTTACTTTGAAAGCCAAGGGGGTGTAACCTGGTTAGTTTATACAAGTGTCAATTTTTATTAAAAAAAAATTAGCAAAATGGAAAAAAAAAAAAAAGTGTGCAGACTCTAAACACAAAGCTTTTCAGTAAACTAAAGTACTTCAGGGGTCTGGTGCTTCCCCTTTAACATAAGCTTCCTACAGCAGCCTATGATATTTAAAAGGTACACTAAGCAGTACTTTAGAGTGCTGTGTCGGTTGTTGGTGCTTTATCAATAGAGGTCAGTGATTTTTAAATATTAGAGTATTTTCTTACCTTTTACTAAAAGCTGAATGGAAACATTATGACTATGGATTGGTGGAATGGTGTACTCTAAGCTCGCCTCCCCACAGATCAGGGATGATTCTTCATAATAAAAACTACTTGTTGGAGTTACATCATACCCATTTAAAAGCCACCAGTACAAGACTATCAGACTCCTCCCAAACCATTCCCCTGCTACAGCCATTACACTGATCCTTAACTTAGCTGGCTTAGCAAGCTCTCCTTTCTATTATAGGTAAAGATGAGATGCAGGTGTTGTAGGTATGTGCTCCCCTATTAATTAATGAGCAGCCATCATTCCAGAACTGGTGGGGATTTTATTTTTCTAAATTTGCTGTTTTGGACAAAAATTTTAAAATTCGCTTTAAGGGTTTATTCACTAATGGGAAAACTGTCAGACATTTAAAGTACATTTAAAATACAATTCAAGTGTAACTTCAAAGTAGCTGAAGCAGAACGTAGAGAATTTTTCCAGTTTTGTTATTTTGAAATTATGTTTGAATTATTGACAATTCTCATTTTAGTGAATAACCCTAATGGAATTATTCGCTAATTTGTGATTTATTTTCTGGAATTCCAAGTAAACGTAAAATTTCTGGCCAAAATAACTGAACTAAAATCATGGATGGATTGGAGAATGTTTCCACTTCGGCTACTTTGGACTAAAATTTAAAATTCACTCTGAAATCTCAACAATTGACACTTCAGTGAACGACCCTCTGTGCTTGACTATTAGTCCTGGACTGCACCATGCCCTTCTTGAAACCAGAGCCAGATTATCCATAAGGTCGCAAAGGCGGTCGTCTATGGCCCAGGCTAGGACAGGGTCCCTATCAAGCCCTGGAACTCCAGCTCTGTATGTGTGGGGTGCCTCTCTTTGCCGTCAGGGAAATCAATTCATGCTTTCTAGCTATTTCGATATCAGCTGACAGATCAGTTTTCAGGTCGTATCCCACCGTTCCATCTACTTTTTTCCATGGTTTCCTGATTTTGGAGACACCAGGGAACTGTTCCCAAAAAGTGTAGCACGAGCGTAAAGTGTAGCACAAGCATAACAGTGCTTATACTGCACTCAACACTCTAGGTCCATGCAGTGTGTACACTGAAACAGTGCTCCCTGCATGTCCTGCCATCGTCGGGCCACGTCTGTGGGATTGACAGGCAGCGTGGTGTCCATTCTCGTCTGATTGACCTGCCATTAATACTCATTAAGACGCATTAAGGGGCAGACACATTAACTTCACTGGCCCACCCCTTTCACCCCCTCCCACCGATGTTGAGGGGGGATATCAGCAGAGCTCCCTACACATACCTGCTTCTGTCAGCAGATTCTGGGGGGAGAGCATGTGCTGCCTCCTAGTCAACTGGGTCTGGTGAAAAACTGGAAAGGTCCTGCTCCACCTATGAACCTATCCCACCTCTCCCCCACTAGTGCTCCTATCCCCTACTACAGCCCCTGTCCCAGCAGACCCCGGTAAGTTGTCAAACTGTTCTTTCTGAAATATTCGACTACTGACTATGGGAGGGTGCCATGGCACTCCTGGTACCATAACCACTAAAGAGGGTTGTTGTGGTTATTATGCCTGCATTGTTCCTTTAAATAATATACCAGTGGGGCTGCCCCCTGATACAAGGTATCCATTAACTGTGCAGAAATACCTAGTAGCCAAGAAATTCAGGATTTGTTTTATTTTCAACACATAAAATTTTTAATTCTGTCTTCTCATCTAGTGTTCTATATTTTGCCCCAAAGCTATATATTTGTGTGTCAGTTTCCTCTTTGTGTAAATATGTGTGTCAGTGTCCTCGCTGTGTAAGTGTGTGTTCCAGTTTCCTCTGTGTCAATGTCTACACGTTTTATTTGGAATTTAAATAAATGGATATTGCCTTCTCAAGACAAGGGTAGTTTGGAGTTTTGTTAGACCTGCAGGAGTACTTCTCCGTAAAAAGTTGAGAAACACTGAGTTACATCAAGCTTGTACTCTATCATTCTCATTTAACTCCCACATATCCCCGTGCCTGTATGTGTGCATTAATGACTATATGTTTGTAATAGTGGATCTGTGAGTGTTTCTGTATGAGTGAGTGTCTGTGTGACTGTGAGCAGAGCCCACATCAGAAAAGTACAAATCATACACCAGTAAGGTGTACAGGCCAGGGCCCCATATTCCAAATGTGTATGTACATAGCAAGTATCTATCTATCTATATATATATATATATATATATATATATATATGTATATATATATATATATATATATACAGCCACAGGTCCCTGAGCCATTGCTGGCTTGTATATGGTGAGGTCAGCCCTGGAGTCTCACACACTGCCTCCCTTACACACACTGCATCCATCAGCTGTGTAATGTCCTGATGGCATCCCTGCCTGTGGGTATGTATGAAGGTGAGATTGTGAATGTATGCCTCTGTGTGAGTTTTCCTATGGGTATAAAGCACAAGGATGGAGGAATATTTGTGCAGGTATGTTTGTATTGCAAGGTTGTGTGTGAGTGATTCTGGTTTGGGAATTGCCAGGGGAATTTTAGACTCTTTAATGGGTAAGTAAGAGCTTGTAGGCATATAAATGAAGGGATTTGGCTGGGAGGTACATATTGGGGGAAAGGGATCATTGGCAGGGGATAACAGTATGCAAATGGAATAGAGTTCTTTAGGGCCAGAGTGTTGAGTTGTGCTATGCCACCCTAATGGCGTTAAAGCCCTCTTTTTGTAGGACGGCACAGGCAACACCATTTTAGATTTGTTGAAATGGAATAATGGAGTGTTGTGGATGGCCAAGTAAAATTGATTGCAGTATTCAAGCTTGGTGAAGATGAGGAAGTGGATTGTATCGGTTGGGGAGTTGTTATGGTGGGATCGATTTGATGGTGTTGAGACGTTCATTGTCAGAGATGTATGCAAAGGAGGGCAGGGTGTTACAGTCTGTAGAGGTGAACCCTAGTCATTCATCTTGGAATCTAAGCTTTGTGTGCAAGATGATGATTATAATATACTGGCAGTTACAATTCGATACTCTTTGCCTAAGTGATTAATATTGGGGAGGGTTAAGCCTACAGAATCCTGATTTTAGGAATATACCCACTCAACCACTGTTTTTGTTTTTTTAACACCTCCACCCCTCACCCACTTCAAGTGGTTTGCAAAAAAAAAAAAAAAAAGTTTTGTATTTTGGGTGTCATGGTAAGTAATGTTTGAATGGATTTTTTGTTTCGTTATACATAGACAGAGAGTTATTTAATGGAAAAAAAAAACAATTTGGTTGGACAGAAAACCTTTAAAAAAAAAAACAAAACCAGTTAAGAAGTTACAGATTAGAAATCAGGTGTGTGTATGTCCTAACAATTTTTTTTTTTGTTCCTTGATCATAAAACCATCAGGTACCTCTTACAATTAACCCTTAGTATAACAAACCATTGCTACCTCTATGAATACACCATGCATATATAATTATACATAGGACGTCTGAAATCTAGCAATTCTTACTCCAGCTCAGGAACTCTTGTTAACTCTCTTAAACGAAGCCCTGCAATGCTGAAATATTTATGTAAAAAATACATTCTTATGAACAGGTTAGGCTATGAAAGGGTTGTTTGCCGAATGTTACCTATCCATGGACTAAATCATAATTATGGTGAATTGATAAAGGATTTGCAAGTTTTAGACTGATATAACTGAGCTGGAAATATAAGTTTATCCAGTTTAGCTACAGGTATTTTATTTAAAATTTGCAATTCCCTGATATATTTTGCATAGAGTGAATACACCTAGCAGAGTTACTAGTGCAGACATGATGGAGTTTTGTAAATCCAGGATTAGATTTAGATTAAATCATATATCATTATGTCCATTTATAATGTGCAACATATTCTGTAGCACATTGTAAATAATAAAGATGAATATCTTATCAATGTTATATGCACTTTAAATAGTTCACAGTATTCTAAACAGAGTAACAGTGCAAGCAAGACCTGGGCATTACCTTATAGAAATCTGATACAGTGACAGTAGAATTGTTTTACTGCTGATGGCCCATAGAGGGCAGTCAAACATTAGAAACCAGAAAATAACAGTATAGAAAGCTATAAACAGAATCACAATATAATTATTATAATTATTATATTTATATAGTGCCAACAAATTCCGTAGCGCTTAACAATGGGTGGACTAACAAACATGTAATTGTAACCAAACAAATTTATTACATTAGATGAATAAGTTTTTCACTTAAGGGAGAGGCAACCTTCGGCACTCCAGATGTTGTGGACTACATCCCCCATAATGCTCTTACACCCAGAATACTGTCAAAGCATCATGAAAGGTGTAGTCCAAAACATCTGGAGTGGCCTAAATAGCTGATATGTAGAAATTCTACAACTCAGAAATAGTCTAGTCTAGTACGTTTAGCCTGAAATTTGTGATTGGGTTTTTAAGCCCCTAAGAAAAATTCAAATGGCACGTTCAACTATATTTTAATGTATTTTTCATTTTATTTAGTGTTATTATTCCTCGGGGAAAGTACATTGATATTTCTAAAACTTGTTCTAGAAAGTAAGAATATGCATTCAGTAACTAAAAAGTGATTTTATTATTTTTTTCAAAAAATCTATTATAATTATATATTATTATAAATAGTCCAAAACAGCGAGTAATTACACTTACAATTCATTTAAAATATGAGCGCTATCCATTTAATTGAGAAAGACCAAAAATTTACAGTAAAAAAAAGAAAAAGATCATAAAGTGTAAAAGCCCAGGTTCTATACTATGTGTTTAAAATCCAATAGATTTCAATGTAAATGAGTCTATTTTTATTAATTCCATATTGAATATATAGAAACACATTGATGTTTCAACCCATGTGGCTGTAGTTAACCATATAGTATCTTCTTGTCAACTGGAAAAAATGAACCTCCAAACTGTGGAACTGATGTAAGCATCATCATCCAAATGTCTCTAAGATACAGTATTCTGGCTGTAGTCTGGGTGTCTATTAAAGGAATACTCCAATCATCATAACCTCTACAACAAGATGTAGTGGTTATGGTGGCAGGAATGCCCTAACGTCCCCACTATTGTAAGTATTTAAACAGTTTTTTAAAATGTACACAGCTGTCAGCTGAGATAAGGGATAGTTGTAAACCAAACGTTGATTCATGTGATAAGCTGTTGCCGTTTTTTATTGTGGACCTTTGCACCATTACTTCAGGAATAACATTACGCAAATTAACATCTTCAATATATTCAATGAGCTAATGGCAGTATTTCCATCTAAGAAGACCATAAAACTTGAATGGACCATGTAGCACTTGGAAACCAAGAGATATGTTTGTGAGATGCATGTAGGTGTGTGTTCTTCGTTAATTATAATTATCAAAATATTCTCTTTTCATTATTACATATTTCTCTCAGCAGGGATTTTCTGTAGAACATAGAAACACAAGCAATTCACATCTAAAACCATCTGCCCTTCCTCCCCAATATTTTATTTAGTACCCAGACTTGGTCAAGCCCCATATTCTTCTGTGTGTGCAACATTTAATGGAGAACTGTTACTGTTTGGGAATTTACAAAATTTAATCATACATTAGAGATCACCTATACCGTCTGTCATTTCCTCCCCATGTAATGCCCTGTTTTCTTTTAAAACTATATTAAATACTTGGCAAATAACATCAGAAAGCAAACTCAGGGCACGAATGTGGAATATAAATAGAAACATTGTCTCATTTCTCCTGACTCTGTGCTGACTGCTAGGTGCCAGTATAGAGTTTATAACAATGATGGACAGGGAGCGAAGATGGAGGCGCACAATTGCAGGATAGAAAGTCTAGATGTCTACATTTAATTTTCTTTTTCACATGTTTGAGATGCATATATATTCAATATAGGGATAAGTAAACATGATGTTGAAAATCCTGGGGAATGAGAGTTCTCCAATAAAGGGGTCTTCTAAGCAACATAACTGCTGATAATTTGCACAGTGGCAGAAGCAGCTCTCTAATTAGGTGATTCAGACGGCTGCCTAAGGCTTTGTGCTGACTGGAGCCTCGCGGCCTTCTAAATCACCATTGGGCAGGGTGACCTATCGGGAGGGTGGCTTGCCCTTTATACCGCTCGGTGCGAGGCCCTTCCACACAGTCTGCCCTGAAAGAGAGCCAGCGCCTCTGGTCTGCAGCTCCCACGGGTGCAGAGCTGCAGAATGGGAAATTACTGTCACTTGATGTCAGTGAATTCGAGCTTTGCTGCAGGTTTACCATGGCAACGTTCTGATGCTTCTGGAGATTGCGAGACTCTGATCACGTGGTCTGCAGCTCTGCACCCATTTGCTAAAAAAAAAAAGAGAGCTATGTAAATGTTGGGAGGCTGGTTACTGACACACAGCCTCCCCCCCCTTCCACACTGTCAACCCTCACAAACACACTGTCACCCTTCCACAACCTTATCCCCCCACAAACACACTGCTATCACCCACACACACTGTTATCCCTCACACTGTCACCCCCTAAAACACAGTCATCCCCCCCATACACACTGCCACCAACACACATGCTGTCACCCCATTACACACACACTGTCACCCCATTACACACACACTGTCACCCCTCCACACACACTGTCACCTCCCATACTGTACTGTCACAGTTCCACACACTAACTCCAACACACATGCACACAATGTCACCCCCCAAATTGTACTGTCTCTCCCTTCCACACCACACACACACTCACTCACCTACACACTGTCACCCACCACACTGTACTTTCACTCGCTTCCACACACTCACCAACCCCACACCCACGCACTGTCTCCCCCACACTGTAGTATCACACTCTTCCACACACTCACCCTCTCAGACACACTGTCACCCACACACACACACTGTAACCCCCCACACTGTACTGTCACTCTCTTCCACACACTCACACACACTGTCACCTTCCCCATACACACACACACAAACACATACACACTGTCACCCCCTTCCAGACACTGACCACACACACACACACACTGTCAACCCCACATATACACACAGTTATCCTTCCACCCACACACTGTTACCCCCACACACAGTCACCCCCCATACATACACCATCACCCCTTAACACTCAGTCACCTCCTCCGACACACTGTCACACTACCTCCTCCAACCATGCCACAGTCACCCCAACCCTGTCATACGACATTAAATGCTTCGATCCTGTCACACTCATCCCCCAACCATGCCACACTCACCCTGTCACATTAGCCCCTCTAATCCTTCCATGAAACATAACTTTGCCATAAAACAATACACAATGGCCACAGGCTGCTCCCACACAACACACTGCAAGCAGCTACCCCACACATATAGGGTCCCAGACAAAAACACACACATGCTCAAAGAGACATACATTCCCACCTAACACTCTGTCAGACACACACTCTCAGGCATATAGCCAGGTATACAATGCCAGACACATTCAGAAATACACAATGCAAGCAGGGCCTGATTAACATAGAGGCCAATGGAGTTGCTCCTTTTTTTTTTTTTAACTTCTCTTCACATGCTCTTGCTTAAATATGGAAATTTAAGAGGGATGTAGGGGATTAAAACTGTGTGGACGGGCTGACAATGAAATTAGTTAAGGTAAAGCTGACTTTGTGCACTATGCAAATACTCTTGCTGCTTCAGTCTCTCTAACACTGTGACATGTTCCTTTTCTTCTACACTCACTGTAACGGAGCTCCAGTACTCCGACCGAGTACCTCCGCCAAGTCTGCTTCCTTGTGGCTATCAGGGACCCTGAAACACTTCAGACCCAGAGGCCGAGGCATGACTGGGATCACTAAGGGCCTTTTCCACCCTGGACCAAACACCAGACGACACATGGTGAAGGTTAAACAGCAACTCTTTAATGAATACAGCACACATAGTTTAAGCCCCCAAGAGCCTAATTTACATACAATAGGTTACATAGATTACTATAGTACAAGGAAGGGTGGGGTCAGACAATAGCAAGGGCTGATGGGAGATTGAGGAGGGACAAAGCAGCTAGTTTAAACTGGTCTGGCAGTGTCCCTGGGACAACACCCTGCTGGGGAAACAATAGGACAGGAAAAAATGGGGAGGGGGAGAAGCACAGACCAGCAATACATTCAACATACCCCGCACAAGTAATAGGCACAATGTGACAAAACACAAAAAGAATTTGGGAGCCCACCCATAGTTTCTGTCTTCCATCCCCAGTGATGGTGACTACCGTCACACTCACTACATACACTTTCTCTGTCCCAGACTGTATAAAAGGAGCTTCTGCCTGCTAGTAAGAAGGTAAGGAGAGGAGTGGACCAGCAAGTGCTAGGGGACAGTCCTTAGAAAGCATTGAGATAGCACATCATTAGGCGCATTTATGCCAAGCTCAGGGTGCTGTCTGCACAGTATGACCTTGGTTGGTCCTCCTGCATGTTTGTGCATTCACGCCAGGCTGACCATCTAATTTTTCGAGGAGAAAATTTTTCAGCACCACCTCCACCAGATACATGACGCTTGGGAGATATAAGGGTTTTAGTGTTTTCTGTTGATAAGATTCTGTAATTAGGCCCATCATATTGTCATCACCAGGCCCAATGGGCTCTTAATCCAGCCATGTACTCAAGTGGTAACTACAGCAGCAGCTAGATAGAAATAATATCACTTTATAAAGAATATCTTTTTAAATGATTTATAGAAATACATTTTAATGATCGTACCACTTTTTGTTGTTGGTTGAGAACTAAATGTTGAAACTAATACTCACTACTTTATCACAAATTAATGAGTCAGTGACTCTAGTCTTTCTTTATTTAAAAAATTACTCCAAGCGACATGATCGCTTCAGCAATTTGAAGTGGTCATTGTGCTTGGAGTCTGCCCCGCCCTTCCCACTCCATGACACCCTAAGTCAAGGGTGGGCAACCTTCGGCACTCCAAATGTTGTGGATTACATCTCCCACAATACTTTTACAACCATAATGCTGGCAAAGCTTCATGGGAGATGTAATCCACAACATCTGTAGTGCTGAAAGTTGCCTACTCCTGCCCTAGGTTGTCCATGAGCCCTACCTCCAGGATATCCCACCTACTGCAGCGAGGGGAGTGACGACACTGAAGGAGGATTGGCCTGCAATGACAATTTACGGATCTAAAGTAAGTTTTTTTTTTTTTTTTTTTTTTTAAAGTGTGTTTGAAGGGGGCAGTAGGGGGTGGACACCATGCCAGCAAAAGTTACTCCATCCAAAAACATTGTTCTACTTTTTATATCTATATTAAAAGAACCATTGTCAAAGACTCAACATCTTGGAACTTTTTACTTTTTTTTTATTATACACGTGGTTTGCTGGGGAAAGATGTTCACGCTGTCCACGCAACGGTTTGGTATTAATCATCCCAGTTTTAGATATTCACTTTCTTGAGAACGTTTTTCTCTGCTTCTTGTTTTTCAAGTGCACAGCCAGCATGACGAAAGCAGTCAGTATAACCAGCGCTCCGGTGACCGTGTAGGCAATGCCCAGGAACATGTTGCTTCCCCCGCACCATGACAGTGTAGCCAGAATAACATGCTTCTGTCCACTGAACCTGGACACAGGGAAATCTGGCGAGCGAGTTAGGGTGTAACAATTTCTTACAAAAATAGTCAGATACCATTTTCCTACCCTGTCAGAGAGCCCAAGCTATAGACACTGATAGACAGATATTTGCTAATGAGTATCACGCAGTCTAAAACCCGGAGCGAAGAATTGAAACCAAAGAGAAGGGAAACTAAAGTTTTAGGTCAAAATAGCTGAGTGAGAAAAATAGCTGTTATGTTTTCTTTTTCAAAGTCAGCTAATTTGCTAATTAAGCCATATACAGTTGCAAGAAAAAGTATGTGAACCCTTTGGAATGATATGGATTTCTGCACAAATTGGTCATAAAATGTGATCTGATCATCATCTAAGTCACAACAATAGACAATCACAATCTGCTTAAACTAATAACACACAAATAATGAAATGTTGCCATGTTTTTATTGAACACACCATGTAAACATTCACAGTGCAGGTGGAAAAAGTATGTGAACCCCTAGACTAATGGCATCTCCAAGAGCTAATTGGAGTGAGATGTCAGCCAACTGGAGTCCAATCAATGAGATGAGATTAGAGGTGTTGGTTACAGCTGCCCTGCCCTATAAAAAACACACACCAGTTCTGGGTTTGCTTTTCACAAGAAGCATTGCCTGATGTGAATGATGCCTCGCACAAAAGAGCTCTCAGAAGAACCAAGATTAAGAATTGTTGACTTGCATAAAGCTGGAAAAGGGTTATAAAAGTATCTCCAAAAGCCTTACTGTTCATCAGTCCATGGTAAGACAAATTGTCTATAAATGGAGAAAGTTCAGCACTGCTGCTACTCTCCCTAGGAGTGGCCGTCCTGTAAAGATGACTGCAAGAGCACAGCGCAGACTGCTCAATGAGGTGAAGAAGAATCCTAGAGTGTCAACTAAAGACTTACAAAAGTCACTGGCAAATGCTAACATCCCTGTTAGCGAATCTACAATACGTAAAACACTAAACAAGAATGGATTTCATGGGAGGATACCACAGAGGAAGCCACTGCTGTCCAAACAAAACATTGCTGCACGTTTACAGTTTGCACAAGAGCACCTGGATGTTCCACAGCAGTACTGGTAAAATATTCTGTGGACAGATGAAACCAAATTTGAGTTGTTTGGAAGAAAAACACAACACTATGTGTGGCGAAAAAAAGGCACATCACACCAACATCAACACCTCATACCAACTGTGAAGTATGGTGGTGGGGGCATCATGGTTTGGGGCTGCTTTGCTGCGTCAGGGCCTGGACGGATATCATCGAAGGAAAAATGAATTCCCAAGTTTATCAAGACATTTTATCAAGACATTTTGCAGGAGAACTTAAGGCCATCTGTCTACCAGCTGAAGCTCAACAGAAGATGGGTGTTGCAACAGGACAATGACCCAAAGCATAGAAGTAAATCAACAACAGAATGGCTTAAACAGAAGAAAATACGCCTTCTGAAGTGGTCCAGTCAGAGTTCTGACCTCAACCCGATTGAGATGCTGTGGCATGACCTCAAGAAAGCGATTCACACCAGACATCCCAAGAATATTACTGAACTGAAACAGTTCTGTAAAGAGGAATGGTCAAGAATTACTCCTGAGCGTTGTGCACGTCTGATCTGCAACTACATGAAACGTTTGGTTGAAGTTATTGCTGCCAAAGGAGGTTCAACCAGTTATTAAATCCAAAGGTTCACATACTTTTTCCACCTGCACTGTGAATGTTTACATGGTGTGTTCAATAAAAACATGGCAACATTTCATTCTTTGTGTGTTATTAGTTTAAGCAGACTGTGATTGTCTATTGTGATTTAGATGATGATCAGATCACATTTTATGACCAATTTGTGCAGAAATGCATATCATTCCAAAGGGTTCACATACTTTTTCTTGCAACTGTATTCTCAATTCCTTTGACAGCCGTCCATAATGTCCAGCTTAGTGATTTCCCCCCCCCCCAAAAAAAATCTTCACAAACAGGAAAATATACACAGACAGCCACAACTAATTAAATACAGACAGATGTCCAATGTGACAGGGATAGGCTCGTGTAACACCACCCTGTCTGTTAAATTTCTAGATTCTGGCATTTTATATGAAATACTGCTACTCGCTAAGGAAGAAAGTTTGGGGATTGCACTAAATGTTCATATTTGATTTGAAACAAATTTAGCGTCTGCTAAAAACCAATTGGGCAGCTATGAGACCTGGATACCATACACAGCGAGGCGTTCAAATATTTATGGCACATTAATACTGCATTGCCACCAAATTCACACATTTCTCCTTGCCTGCTTCTTGCAGACAAAAGGGAATTGTCAGGCAAATGGCTAATAAATACATTATTTATCATTTTTAAAAATGTTATCCATCAAAGCCTAGCTGAACCAGGCAATATAATCCCTTCTGTTCCTTTACACCTGGGTCATGGTAGCTCACCTACACATTCCCCCTTTCCATTTTTTTTGTTTCATGGTGATAAATAAATTATCATGTGATGGTCAGATAAGTCTGTAGTAAGGGGTTAGATATTAGCAGAAGTTGTCTGGACTGTTAAGGATAGCCCTCAGTCATGTCAAGGGGTGAGGGTTTAACCAAATAATTACAGGGGTCCAAAACTACCCCTATCAACAAGAAAACATTCTCAGGCCCCTTGTCCCCAAAAAATTCATGTGTAAATTATATATGGGAATAGGGGGTGCTCTTGACCTTCAACAGTAAATAAAAATGTATAGGTCAAGAACATGTGCCAAGGTTAACTATAACTGAGCTCTGGTTGACACATTGTACCTTTTCTATTTGAATCTTACATAATTCCTCTTTGTACTTAACCCGAAATATTGTGTTTTAGGATCTATTTTTCCTTAATTATCTGGCACACCAAGTGATCATTTACTAGCACAACGGAATTTCTTTTATTCCACCGTTTCCATAAAGGATACTGTATTCAATAGTGTAGCTGTAGTTTCCAGCTGGGAGGCCATTAGAAAACTCCTGGACAAGAGAGACACGTCGGTAAAGCTTCCTAAAGTTTGGTAAGGCAGCAACTCTCATCCAATTAATGAAGTCATCGTTCTCATAGCCATTATTGTGAGGATCGAGAGAATCAAGCGCATAGGGGGTCTTCTGCCAGTATGGCGGCCTTCCACTACCTGTGAAAACATGGACATTTTGTGAATACACCAAATGAAAATATAGATAATATCATTTTTATAGAAACAATCTTATTCAGTAGGGTTAAGCACGGCCACTTAATATGGACCTATTGTGTTGAATTGATAATGCCAAAAGTGTCGTTTAAAATGTATCAGAACAGAGTAATTGAGATCATGTCGACACTATTAATGGCTCATTGGAAGTAGTTAACATGTTGATAATTATCAAATGATAAATTATGATAGACCTAGAACTAAAACAAAAATCAACGCGAATACATATAAATATTTCTATCAATTGTTAGCTCCTTCTGCTCCACATTTACCATCTCCACATTTTCTTGGATTTTTTAATTTTAAAGGGGAATTGTCACATCGTCACGACCTGTTAGCTAGCTAAAAGATATATTTTGCGTAATTTTTTTTATTGCAAAGGTTTACATTTTTTATTTTTTTATTTACATACTATGCCAGGCTGTTTTAGCACTGCCTGAATATACAATTGAATTTGATTTTAACATCTTTACCTTATGTGATCTCTGGTATCACTCTTAATATAGAATGTGACGGCAGATAAGAACCATTTGGCCCATCTAGTCTGCCCAATGTTCTAAACACTTTCATTAGTCCCTGGCCTTATCTTATAGCTAGTATAGCCTTATGCCTATCCCACGCATGCTTAAACTCCTTTACTGTTTCAACTCCTATCTATTTCATCCCATGTACTCTCCTTTTCCATTTTTTCATGCAATTCTTTCTCAGTTCCTTGCCTTTGCTATATTTAGTTTAGTCTTTCCTTTGATCTGCTATTTGCCCATATGTATTCTGTATTCTCTCTCTAATTTTCCTTTCTCTCTGCCATCCTGGCTGGGGCAAGATTCTGGACTCCCTGGTCAAAAATCATTTTCGCTGCTGCCCCCCAGTCCCCCTCATTAGATACAGTCCCGTTCTTCCATTTATTCACTAGCCAACAATCTGCAGTAAATTGAAACACAGATCCCAAAAAGCTGTGACTGGCTGTGAGTTGGGCCAAAAAGTGGGAAAAGTCTCAGTCGCTCAACTTTTTTCTAACTTTGCTTTTGCTCTTACTTAAGTTTTGAAATACACTTATTAAATGTCTGTTTAGTGAATAGACCCCAGGGTGTCTGCCTGCTTGTTGTTTTTCTAAACAAGATGGGCATATAGTAAGAAAGAGAGTGAGACAACAGGGAAAGGAGACAAACTGGAGAGACTTTTAAGGAAAGGAGACAGATCAATACTAATACACTGCCTTATACATATATATACAAACACTGCCTAATATAAACATATACATAAACTGCCTGATACATACATATACATACATGCACACACACATAAACTGCCTAATACAAACACTCCCACATGCTTTATAATACATGGATACACACACACACACACACACACACACAGCCTAATACATACATACTGTATATACACAAACTGCCTAATACAAAACACACAGACACGCTGCCTAGTGTATGAATCAATGCATAAACACACTGCCCAATACATATACACACACACTGCCTGATACACTGCCACGCGTGCTTCCTAATACATGGATCCACACAGACACAAACTGCCTGATACAGATATACACACACAAACTGCCTAATACATAAACATACACACATTCATTGCCCAGTATATATATATATATATACACACACACACACACTGCATAATGCGCAAACAGCAGGCTGTCTCTCACAACAGAATTCCATCCCTTGTCTCACATATGCACAGGTAGGAGGCTAGAGCCCTGGAAGCAAGTAGTCCTATTTCAGTCAGTGTGATACCAGTCCTCCCTGCACTTTGTCTCAAAACAACATGCTCCCCCACTTGTATTTTGTTTCTGTGGTTCCTTCCACAAGTCCCTTTGCAAAGTGTAGACAGCCAATGTGCTGCCTTCCTTTTCTGAAGACTTGCTTTGAGTGCGCCTGGTTCCAGCAGTGTAATTGTATCTATTGCTGGCGCCCTGTGGCACAACATTTAATCACAGCCGAGTAAGCCGGCTGGCATTTTATCATGCGGCGAAGCTCAGATGGGTGGTACAGCTGGTGCACAAAGAGCTCCCTAGGCCACTGCCTAATTGACCAGATGGAGAGCCCTGTCTGCCTTCATCAAGCTCCTCTGCATCCCTTTTTAATTCAACTACTTTGCTTGGCAGGTCATCTTCCTGTCTTTATCTGTGCAGTCTCCTCTCCTTCCTTCTTTTCACGCCAGCTTCTTCTAAGATATAAAAAACACACATCACGACACCGATATGTGAACTCAATCTTTCACAGGTTAGATGTTTTGGAGAAGCTTAATAAAATTAGTAGCGCCAAATAATACAGATGGGACGCATTTGTTTTTCTGTGTTCGGACTCAAGCAGAACTCACGCTATCTGTCTTAATATTACACAATGGTTGTTCACTGTTTACTTTATTTTAACCTTTCTAAAACATATTCAAGGCTTGAAATGCAGCATGGTAAGGGCTGGGTGAAATGCCACAAAATAGCTTGCGCTGTCTAGGTGGTATATGCCAACATGCAAACCTAAGACACAGGGCTTACTATACTAAGGAAAGACAATGTATTATCTTAGAGTGGCCACGCTTAACGTGATACAGTATAGAACGCAGTTTCACAGCAAATAATAGAAGATGGAGAGGCAGAGGTCAAGGAGTACAAAAATACAAATAGGTGAAATAACACAGCCAAGGACTAGGATTCCAGAGATCAAGGTAGTCAGAAACAGAAAACACTAACCAGATAACTATTCATAAACAGGGCTATACATAGGACACGAGGTCACACATTTCCGCTGGAAGAAAGGAGATTTCAGCTAAGGCAAAGAAAAGTTGTTGTTTTTTTTTTTTTTACAGTAAGAGCAATAAGGCTATGGAATTCTCTGCCTGAAGAGGTGGTTTTATCAGAGTCCATACAGATGTTTAAACAGCAATTGGATACATTCTTGCAAAAACATAACATACAGGGATTTAATTTCTAATTAGTGGGGTAATAGCTGCTTGATCCAAGGAGACATCTGACTGCTATTTTGGGGTCAAGAGGAAATTTATTCCTAGTTTGTTACACAATTGGAAGCGCTTAATACTGGGGTTTTTTACCCTTCTTTTGGATCAACTGCAAAAACATATGTGAGGAAGAATGAACTTGATGGACGCAAGTCTCTTTTCAGCTATGTAACTATGTAACTGCAAGGGCAAAGACGAGTGGTCGGAGCGGTTTTAAATAACCCCAGAGCTGTTGCTATTGGCTTGTGTAAATTATTACGCCAAAACTTATTTGACCAATGCCACTGACAGGACGTGGTCTGCTGCAGTGTCAAAAAATAATACGAGCATCAGGAAGTATATAAGGAGCGTAAGGTTGAGTGGTCTGCATTGACAGAGGCACAAGAATGGTGCCTGACGTCAGTTTGAAAATGGTGGCATCCTGAAAACGCAGGGGCCATGACAAGTTCAGCAAACTTCGTTATATCCAAGATAATCTTTAAGAAATCAGTCACATAAAATGTGCCAAGTACAGTATTTTGTATTTAATGTTGAAAATTTCCATGAAAACACTATTGTTTGCCTTTTACCAAAATGCTTCTTAATTTTATCTCATGAACCTGATTTAATGTTTCGAAACCTATTGAAATGTAACTTAAAATCAGATCCAGTAATAAAACCTAACTAGAATTCTTGCTGGATTCTGTACCTCCCTAAACTCCCGGGGCAATTTTTGCCTTCCCTGTGTATATTATTATAATTTCCTGGTTACCGGGTGTTGTAATGTAGGCCTATAGTATTTAGAAGGAGTTATTTGAACACGTTACCGGCAAAGGCTTGGATGAGATTATCTTTTGGTTTTGGATTTTGGAACTTCACATTCTTGTCAGACCACCAGGTGTTCCCTGTCCGCAGAAGGGGTACTTGTATGGTGGTAGATGTATTGGGATGGAATGAAAGTGTTATTGAGTCTATAAGAGAAAAAAACAGAGCCAATTAAAACAATTCACTGATATAAACATAACAGGAGCAAGGATTATTGATCAGAAATAGGGAGGGGCTTGTGGTGCAATCCTAACATTTATTTTAAAAAAAAAGAACAAACATCCAGCATTATAAATGTAACCGGACCTATACATTAAATTCAGTATATGTGTTTGAGTGCCTGGAGGGTCCCTTGTTGTTAAGAAGGGTATTCCCTCCCAATTACGTACAGCCATCCACACATAGCCTTACACTGTTGTTTTTTTTTATGGGTGCCTCCATTCAATTTCTGGCAAACTTTCCCTCCTTTTTTAACTCAGTAATTTAATTCTCTGATGTCCTTTCTGCTCACTGCTGGGGATAGTCTGCCTGATAGCTGATAGACTGTTTTTTTTTTTTTTATATATATATATTCCAAATACACAAATATGTGGCTCTATGTCAGGCATAGGCAAACTTTGGCACTCTAGATGTTTTGGAATACACCTCCCATGATGCTTTGCCAGCATCATGGGTGCAAAGGCATTATGGGAGATGTAGTCCAAAACACCTGGAGTGCCGAAGGTTGGCTATCCCTGCTCTATGTTGTAAAACTTTACATTGCAAGCTTTTAATGAAGTGGCAGCCGTGTGTATCGGGATCTGTAATTGATTACTAAGGTCTTGCTTACTAGTATTCAGAGGACCTGACGCCAACCAAAAATCTTGGTAAAGTCACCTTGGAATTCAGTCTGATTAAAACAAAGTAGAGAAACACAAACCTGCAGGTCCTTTTATCCCACACTTACCATTAAACAAACTGTTTGCAATAGCCCCACAGGGAGCCATTGGGGTTCCATTTGGGTAAACAGTAAATGGGGAGCAATAGCTCTGCTTGACGACGTTCTGTGCAAAATGAAATCAAAGTAAAGTATTAGTAGAAAAAATATTATATTGCCTTGTATAAAGTATGAAGATACATTGAGCTAATTTCTAGGACCACGAAGAAATTCATCTCTGATAACAGAGTAATAGTTTCATGAGAAAACATTAAATCTGGTAAATACGTACCCATAGATGGTATTAACCCCTTAGTGACCAGACCGCTTTTCAATTTTCTTACCGTTAAGGACCAGGGCTGTTTTTACATTTCTGCGGTGTTTGTGTTTAGCTGCAATTTTTCTCTTACTCATTTACTGTACCCACACATATTATAGACCGTTTTTCTCGCCATTAAATAGTCTTTCTAAAGATACCATTATTTTCATCATATCATATAATTTACTAAAATATGGTGAAGACATGTTACAAAAAACACACTTTTTCTAATTTTGACCTCCAAGATCTGTTACGCATCTACAACCGCCAAAAAACACCAGTGTTAAATAGTTTCTACATTTTGTCCTGAGTTTAGAAATGCCCAGTGTTAACATGTTCTTGGCTTTTTTTTTTTTGCATGTTATAGGGCTATAAGTACAAGTAGCACTTTGCTATTTCCAAACCATTTTTTTCAATATTAAAGGACCACTAGGCACCCAGACCACTTCAGATCAATGGAGTGGTCTGGGTGCCAAGTCCCCCCGGTCTTAACCCTGCAGCTGAAAACATAGCAGTTTCAGAGAAACTGCTATGTTTATACTGCAGGGTTAATCCAGCCTCTAGTGGCTGTCTCACTGACAGCCACTAGAGGTCGCTTCCGCGATTCTCAGTGTGAAAATCACACTGAGATGACGCTGATGTCCATAGGAAAGCATTGAGTAATGCTTTTGTATGGGCAGTTTGATTAAGGTAAGTGGCTGAAGGGGATTTAACCCCTTCAGCCATGTGGGAGGGGGGATCCGAGGGAGGGGGGGGAACTTAAAATCCTATAGTGACAGGAAAACGAGTTTGTTTTCATGGCACTGTAGTGCGTCTTTAACCGAAGTTACATTGTAACACTGATATCTATCAGGAATCCCTGAATAACCCTTCACATGTATATATTTTTTAAAAGAAGACAACCTAAGGTAATAAACTTGGGGTATTTTGACTCTTTTCATGCAACCATTTTACCACCAATCTATGCCAAATTAAAAAAGAAAAAAAAAAGAATTGGTGATTTTTTGACACACATAGCAATTTAAGAATACATGTATTGAGAACTTTAAGGATTACTGCCTAAGAACACCCCGATATGTGTTCAGCAACATCTCCGGAGTACAGTGATACCACCCATGTATAGATGTGTCGGGTTCTCTGGGGGCTAAAAGACCTTATTTGGAAGGTGCGCATTACAGTTTTCCAACTTTTTTCCTATTTGGCATATTTTTAAAGCCAGCCAATGTAATTTACCTCCATCAAACCATATATTTTTGAAAAGTAGACAACCCAGGGTATTCAATATGGGGTATGTCTAGTCTTTTTTAGTAGCCACATAGTCTCAAACACTGGCCAAAGTTAGCATTTATATTTGTTTGTGTGTTAAAAATGCAAAACACAATTATGAATGCTAACTTTGGCTAATAGTCGCAACTAAAAAAGACTAAACATACCAGATTTGCAATACCTTGGGTTGACTTCTTTTGCAAATGGTATTCTATCATGGGGGTAATTCTCATTCCTGGGCTATAATACGCTCTCAAAGGCATCATAACCAATCAGGCAAATTTCAATGTGAAAAAAACTGCCTTATATTTGACCCTGTAACTTTCAAAAACACTATAAAAGCTGTACATAGGGGGTACTGTTATACTCGGGAGACGTCGCTGAACAGAAATATTAGTGTTTCAAATCTGTAAAATGTATCACAACAATGATATCATCAGTGAAAGTCCCATTTGTGTGTGGAAAAATGCAAAAAAAAATCACTTTCACTGACAATATCAACGCTGTGATATGTTTTACTGTTTTGAAACACAAATATTTGTGTTCAGCAAAGTCTACTGAGTAAAACATTACCCCCATGTATAGATTTTAGGGTGTCTTGGAAAGTTACAGGGTTAAATATAGTGGTAGCAAATTAAATTCTCTGGACTTTTGGCCTGGGTTGTCAGGAAAGTCCCCCAAATCGCAATCAATAAAATTACTTAATTATGAAAAGATATTACATAAATATGCACATAGAATTTAAATATATATACATATGTATATTTCGTACTACTTTTATGTATGTGTATGTGTATATATATATATATATATATATGTGTATATATATATATATATATATATATATATATATATATATATATATATATATATATATATATATATATATATATATATATTTTAATTCTAAGTATTTTGATATATATATATATTAATATCAAAATACAGTTAGAATAAAATTACATATATATTAATTATTACATTTATTTTAATTGATTATTTTTTTAAATAATAATATGTGTATATATATATATATATATATACACACACTATATATAGTTATTATATATAGTATAAATATATACGTGTGTAATTTGACATTATATACAAGTTATATATATATATATATATATATATATATATATATATATATATATATATATATATATATTTACATATTATATATATATATCATAGATATATACACACACACACACACACACACACACATATATATATATATTTCTTATCATTATTTTTTTATTGTAAAACTTTTTTTTACTTTTTATAACTTTTTTCACCAGCAGGGGCAGTCAGTACAGGCAGTCCCCTGCAGGCAGCACTATGGACGCCTATGGGGGTCCTGATTTGCAGAGGGGGGACTGTCTGGGCTATCAGACAGTCCCCCCAGATGGAGAAGAAGACCGATTGCTGGTGGGGGAACGGCGGCGATCGGGTAAGTGAATGGGAGGGGGTTAATATTGGGGAGGGGTTAGTATTGGGGGTTAATACTTAAAAAAAAAAAAATTGGGGGTTGTTATTTTTTTCTTAACTGAGTGCCTTGACTCATCCCAGGTTAAGGACCGTTCTTTGTCTGTACATCCGCGGTCACTAAGGGGTTAATAAGCACTGTATATCATACCTCCCAAGTGTCCCTATTTAGGAGGGATAGTCCTTATTTTCTTTTCTAATATCTCTCTTTTCTATTGTTTGTGTGTCTGAGTGAATAACAGAGCTCCACATAAAAAAAAAAATCACACTAATAAGTCTTTAAACTACAATAAATGTGTTTAGAAGTCTGTGTAAATAAGATACATTGTTTTTGTTCTAAATCACATTTTAGTTGCATCCATTTTTATTAGTAAGTCAACCTTACTGAACAGCCCCGCCCCTAGCCACATCCCAACTCACCCCCAAAAAAATGTCCCTCTTTGTCCATTTGAAATGTTGAGAGGTATGCTGTAGCTGGTAGTAAAATGTAATCTGCTCATAGCATAGTAACGTTAAAACATAAATAGTTTATAAAAAAAATTAAATGAATTAGACTCTTACATTTAAAAAGAGGATTACTGGCATAACATTTAGGCACAGATCTCACACACCAAATGAGTCTTTGTTGGCCGATTGCAGACTCGGCGTGAAAAAGCCTCAGAACATGCGAAACACGTTTGGTGAAAGATTTGCAACTAGCGAATTATTCTCAACACACCATAATGGATGTTACAGTACACTGCAAAAAAACAGAGGAGACCTGTAACGATTCTACAATCACCCGACAAAAACTTATATTCAGGAAACCAAAATATATTTCGGTACAAATGAATAAACTTGTGTTGAATATTTGAAGTGTAAAGTATTTCATGCAAGGAAGGATATACCAACCTCTTCAGTGGTTACATTTTTACCCAGAAGCTGTGTATCATATCGTGAAATGACGTAACGACGATGGTTCTGGAAAAAATTTGTAAGGCCGTAGTACATAAAAACGTTTCCCTATAGCACAAGAGGAAAGAATAGATTATATTAGGGTTAGGGAGAATAGAAATGCAATTGTTACATGTGTAAACCTTACAGTATGTCAGAATCCCTCAAATAATGCAAGTGTTCAATAGTTAGATATATCAACATCAAATATGATGAGATTATAATTTTTCTGTTTTATGGAAAATGGCTAGGGTATATGTCTGCCTATTTCAAATCCACATAGATTATAAACTCATTTGAGCAGGGCGTTCTTCACCTCTAAATACCCCATTCTATAATTGTACAGCGCAGTGTAAAATGTTGGCATTATATAAATATTATTAATAATAATATAATATTACTGATCTACATGGGTATGGATAAAGACATTGAACACATTGTATCAAAAACCTGTGTACTCACTATACTGTAATCATAGGTTTCAAAATCAACATCTTGTGAATCATGACTTTGGTGGAAGGGATTACATAGTTACATAGCTGAAAAGAGACTTGCGTCCATCAAGTTCAGCCTTCCTCACATTTGAGTTAAAGGCGAGATCCCTCCGAATTACTAACAGGTCAAGCAGGCTGGCCTATTGAGGGCAGACCACGCAAGAAGCAATGTTTGAGTGCAGTGTGAACACGTCTAATTACGCGCATGCACCACGCTTTTTGTGGACAGTTCCCTTGTATCCTCAAAAGTGGGACAGATCCCGAAAATCAGGAATGTTCCGCCAAAAGCAGCTTTTAGTTTTTCCATGTTTCCAATATATCCTGGGTTGTAGGTGTTGTTATTTACCATCTCAATTGAATTCCTTTTATTGACCTTCTAAAAATTAAGATGTGATATGTCTTCTAAAAATCGAACATGCAAGATTTGAACAAGCCATGGAGATGGAGCACCACTGAGCTATATAACCGCTGAGCTATATATCCGCTGAGCTATGTAACTTTTGAGCTATATAAATCGCTGAGCTATATAATCTCTGAGCTATATATCCGATGAGCTATATATCCGCCTATATAACCGCTAAGCTATATAACCGCTGAGCTATATAATCGCTGAGCTATATTACCACTGAGCTATATTACCACTGAGCTATATATCCGCCTATATAACCGCTGAGCTATATAACCACTGAGCTATATATCCGCTGAGCTATATATCCACCTATATAACCAATGAGCTATATAATCTCTGAGCTATATAACCGCTGAGCTATATAACCACTGAGCTATATTACCACTGAGCTATATATCCGCCTATATAACCGCTGAGCTATATATCCGCTGAGCTATATATCCACCTATATAACCAATGAGCTATATAACCGCTGAGCTATATATCCACCTATATAACCATTGAGCTATATAACCGCTGAGCTCTATAACCAGTGAGCTATATATCCACTGAGCTATATAACCACTGAACTATATGCAGTCATATTTTTAAATTCCACTCACCTTCATTTCCTCTGGTACAGAGAAGCTTGCTGTGCAGGTGCATGGTATTTCAGAATAAGAGGAATTTTTACGAAGTTCTGTACAGACTGAACAGTAATCAGAATATGTTACCTGTAAATGTGAGATTAGATGTTATTATTATCCTATATGTAGAATACCCATTTCTTACATCTTCCTGGAAATGTAAATCATATGCAGTATAAAATAATGGCTAGCAAAGGAAAAGTGTCTTTTACTGAATTCTAAGGAATTACTGCATAATGTGTGCATAATTGATGATATAGGGGATTATGTATTAATTAAACACTAACATCATATTTGGTCATAACTTCATCTTTTGGGCTTGTATGGTATGTACAAATATGTTTAAATACACGCCTGCATGAGTGTAGTGGGCTGGCACCAGTGGGTGGAGTGTATGTGATACAATTAGCATGTCTGGTGACAAGCCCACCTTTAACAGGGGAGTGTCATTGTGCATGCACGCAAAGATGACAGGCTGTCCAGCAAAGTAGCCAATCAGCGCTTGGCCGAGGTCTCTCATTCTTCCATACTCTGGGCTGTTGAGAGGTCTATGCCAAAATCCTTCTCAATCTCAAATTTTGGAAATCCTTTAATCCGGATCAGAAAAGGGACTAAGCTTGCGCACTTTGAAGGTCCAATCTTCGGTGCTCTATGCCCTCTGTAGTGTTTCATGGGCTTCAGATTCCCTAATCTCAAGATTCTTTAAATCTGCTATGCGCATTAGACCTTCTATTAGGAATTCTATTTCTATTTACCTTTAGTTCTGGGCACTTTGACAGAACATTTTTTTACTGTGTTGGATAAAATTCTACCGTCTTATTGACTCGAAAAAACGTTATTTCTTGTGGCTATCACTACGGCTAAAACCATCTAAGAACTACAAGCATTTTCCTGTGAGAACCTCCATACTCAAATATTTCATGAAAGCGTGGTTCTCAAGCCTAGGAATGACTTCCTGCCAAAAGTGGTGTCAAAATTCCATTTGCTTCAGGAAATTGTCCTACCATGTTTCTTCCCTGAACCTTCTACAGAGTTGGAAGTTACATGAACGTACATTAAATGTTTGTCTGTATCTGCAGTTATTCACCCTTCCAGAAGGCATTAGAAATGGGGAAGCAGCTTCAAAATCTACCCTCAGGCATTGAATCACCAAGATCATCTCATGAAAAATTAAACTCCTCATGAGAAAATCAAGGAACATTCCTGTAGATCTTTGGCAACGTCCTAGGCTACAGACTGAATTTGCCTGCTTCATCCACCTCTTCTGGCAAGGGAGCTTTGTCTTCCATTACCTCTCCTTATTAAAATTGGTTTTGTTGCATTCTTGTTTTTGATTTCTTCCTACTCATTTTGTCTTGGCCTTTCCTCAGACCCTTTCTGTTTCACTAAACTATTGAAACAAGTGATCTTCTGGGTCTTAGTGCACCCCAGATCAGCTTTCCTAGATCAACCATATCAGAAACTTCAATCCATCAGAAAGAAAATCAAGACTCTCTTACCGAAAAATATGATTTCTCTATGCTCATTGACTTGGTTGGTGGGTCTTTATGCCTCATCGATTCAAGTCATTTTCCCAACATCATTACACTACTTGGATCTCCAACACATAAAAGGAGCACACTTGCAAAATGATTTAGGATACTCAGACAAGATTCCCCTAAATTCTGAAGCCATAGAAGAACTTGTTTGGTGGCTCCAACATATTCAAGAATGGAATGGGGAAGCCATATTCGGATCCCTTCCATATTTAGTAATTGAGTTCAATGCTAGTCATGTGTGGTACTTTGACAAGACTGCTTTACACAACTGGAACTACAGGTTACATAGCGATGTCGGTCCATCTCAACCGTCTTTGGGGTCCTCTTCAAATTGATCCATTAGTGTTGTGTCTTAATTGGCATCTACCTCAGTTCTTCGTTAGTGTCCCAACAGTTGTTGGGAATGTTGATGGATATTCCTAGAATTCTTCCCCTATTCAACAAAGTTTTTGCAGATGAGAATTCTCACCCTCGAATTCTATCCCAATAACTTCAGTTGGTGACCTAAATAGTTTTGGGCTGTGTGAAATTAATTGAATTAATTACATTTTCAAACATCACTAAAGGCATATTGTAAGGTACCTGGGCACCCGGAACCAAATCTAACTACAGATCAGCTTGGCAACTTTGGTGCCTGGAATGGGATTTGGATCATGTATCTGTTCCTATTCCCCATGTCTTAAATTTTCTTTCTAAATCTTCTGAGTTGGGTAATGCATATCGTACTATATATATACTGTTCAGCAATATAATGTTTATTATAGCTTTTAATTAACATAATCACAGCCTCCTGTGTGCAATAACAATTTAAGATTTTCCTTATCTTATTGTGTAGGAAAATATGGATAACGTTTGCAAATACAGACATGACATCGTAGGGCAGGGGTTCTCAACCCAGTCCTCAGGACCCCCTACCAGTCCAGGATTTGGGGATTACCTGGGTGTGTCTCAGGTGTTTAGAAAAAGGGAAAAAACCACCTTAGACTCTAAGGTGTTTTTTTATTTCTTTTTCTAAACACCTTAGACACACCCAGGTAATCCCTAAACCCTGGACTGGTAGGGGGTCCTGACGACTAACGTTGAGAACCCCTGTCGTAGGGTATTGCGATGTTGTAAACGTATTGGACATGTTGAAAAAATTGAACCTTTTTTTTTTTTTTTTTTAAACAAGCATTATGAACCAATTATCACACTTAAGTAACAATAGTAAACTTTTAGTTGTTTGCTGGATACCCGGTGTGGTGGGATCATGTATTCTAGTATGTGTGTCCGAGTTTAGTTGTCTCTTGACCTGGGCCCTTTTTTTTTGGGGGGTCGCTTGTCTTTCTGGTGAGTGCTGCAAGGACATCCCTGTCGTGACTACAGTCGGTACCCTTTGACTTGTGCTTATGGGTCTGTGGTGCCTGTGTGAAGGCTAGCTAGGTGTGGTCGAGTACTGCGTTGGGCCCACTAGAGTTGCTTCAGTCAATCATTCGTTGTGTGGGTATGTGTATGCAAAGGTCTGTGGGTGTGGCAGTCTGTGGGTGCTGCTCGTCGTGAGTGGCTTTGGTGGTCCGTTTTGGGGCCTAGATAGAAGCGGTGTTGCGGTGACAAATAAGTGGGCCGGTTTGGCTTGTAGTGCCCCTAACCAAGGGGACTGCGGGGGGTGGAGAGGGAAGAGTCGTGGTGGGTGTGTGGCCCTATTCCTACCCTCCTGTCACCTGGGCGGGTGCACCGGGGTTGGTAACCCTGTCCAGCCTTGGGAACAATATAAAGCATAACGAGTTATCAAAACAAGAGTAACATTTTGTAGGAAGAGTGCAGTCTGTATCTGCCTGCTGCTCTTTGGAGTTAGGACCCAGTCATGTCCCGATGCCCATAGCCGAGTGGTTCCGTGGGGTGAAGGTGACTACTGTGGCTGGGTCCCAGGTCGGTGTTGCCCTCCGGTCTCTTGACTCCTCATTAGAAGCTGTCAGTCACAGTGCTCGCAGCAATGTAGGCGCCTCTTCGGCCGAGGTGATCCTGTGGGTAGTCCCATTGTGGCTCGCAGTGAGAGCTTGTGGGGTAGTCCATTGATATGGTATTCCTGCTTGTCTTAGTTGCCTTGTGGCCTGGAGAAGAGATTTGCGCCATTGTAAGGTGGGCCTTGACTTGTCTTGGTAGAAGGATTGTTCAGCTCCCTCAAATGTGTAGGGAGTTTGGTTTCGCAGTGCAACAATTAGTGCCTGTTTGTCTTGGGCTAAGGCGCAGAGGACTATGACGTCACTCACTGAGTTTGGTGGGGCTTTTGGCGATTTTGGCAGGCGGAATATGCCATCAAAGGCGAGCTTTTTGGCTTGTGGAGGTGGCAGTAGTGAAGCCGTTAGTCGCCTCAGGTAATGGGGCATCTCTGCTATGGTGACAGACTCCGGCACCCCTCTTATCTTTAGGTTGATGCGCCTGGAGCGGTCCTCTAGCATAGCAAGGTGTGCTGAAAAAGCTTGTTGCGTCCTTTGGACGGTTTGAATAGAGTCTTTCATTTTGGATACTTCTTGCCTCACATCTATGATGTCCTCTTCGCTTGCTCTTACTCTGTCCGTGACTGTAGGTTGGCCTGAATGACTGCTATGTCTGTGGCTAGCGTCTGGCGAAATTCAGTAAGGTAGTTTTTAATGTCCGACTTAGTGGCCAGGGCGGATAAGTCAGGGAGGCCTGTAGTTGGTGCCCCTGCTGCTTGTGGTGGGGTGTGTGCTGGAGGGTGGTTAAGTGCTTGGGCCTGAGGGTCAGCCGGGAGCTCCTGGTACCCTGGGGCTGCCATTTTGGTCTGGGCCTGTCGCTGTAGAAGGGCCCCTATGTCTTGGGATTCAGTTTGCCTACCTGTTGTGGGTTTCTGGGAGTGTCTTCCCATATTTGTGGGCTGCTGTGCTGTGGATGGTTTCTCTGTGCCCAGTTCAGTTCTCCCTGGTGTGGGATGCGCCCGAAAAGGTGCCCCAGATGTGCAGGAAGATGGATGGCCGCTGCCTTTTTCCGCCGCCGGTTTTGTCCGGTTTTTGCAACAAACAGCATGAATCGATGCCGGGTGGCCTCCGCTCACTTGGCCTTCTTCGTTCTGCGGCTAAGCCCCACCCCCCGGAAAATATGGATTTTATTAAAAACAGGTGGTGAGTATTATCCTCCCCAACCCATCCCTTTGTCTCTTTTTGTTCTATGCTGCATAATGATTGTTTATCTGTATTCTATGTTTGTTTGTACCTATTATTTTTTTTCTAGAGCAGTTAAGCTCGTTATTAAACTTGTTCATTGTCGCGGTTGGTAGTAGTGAAGAGATTTCCTAATACAATCTTAAAATTTGTGACTTTTCTTCCAGTGCAGTTAATGCAAAATGTAGGATGGCGGAGCCTGAGAAATGTCCTAATTTCCTTAAATCACCTACTCACTGTGCAGGATGTACTTTGTAATGTAATTTCTGCTTTGGACTAGTCATTGTTTTCCTAGTGTATAGTATTAGGGGTTGGATTGAGCAGGTGTCCAGTAATTTTAATTGAGTGTTTTTCTGAAGTGCTATATTGCTATAAGGATATCATTTTGACATAGACTTATATGCACCTGGCGTCCGCGTTGCGCCACTCCTTGGCTGTAAATCCTAGTCAGGCCACGCAGCCATTTGTGGTGTTTTGGCCGTGAGGCCTGAATAGGATATATACTTACCTTCGGTCCTGCAAACGGCACAAACTACAGGCCCTTAAAATAAGTTAGGGCTCTGCCCGCTCTAAGGGCATGTCCTTAAATACATTTGAAAAATATGACACCACGCTCTTAAAGGGACCACGTCATCTAGGCAACCCCATGCTGTTTGGAGTCGCAGAGACGTGGACCAATGAGAACACATTTTAATCTGTTTAAAGCCTGTTCAGGTCCTCACTTATTTCCCTATAGTGATTTCGGTTGGCTTATTTTTCGTGTATCCGTATCTCTGTATTCCTGACGTCGTCTATTCCTGACTTTGATTTTCTCTTGTAATACGTTAAATCCGGCCACTCTAAGGTCTGGTAATACGTCTTTTGAACCCTCATTTTGTGGGTTTCCTTTTTCCTGTGTGTAAGGGTAACGGCAACTGTGACAAGTATGCACTTTCTTAATGATAAAATTCAAATTATACATTCTCCTTTCATTCTTTTGCATAGCCTGAGTCCAGATAATCCTTATTAAAATTATGTAACAAACAGGCATTGTTATAAAATGGATAAATTCTAAATAGACCTTTAGCCCTGTATTGTAGTTAATATATTATTGAGATCCTACCTTCTGAGATTTAAGACACATTGTCACAACTATCTAATAATAGATAATTCAAAGTTTAGTGAAGAATAATAGGCCGTAGCCTTAATCCACATACTCAGATTTTGACCACATTAGCAACCACTTAACAAATATTACTTAACCATAAAATCACACTAACACCTGTAATATTTTAGCCTATTGACTTACCCTGAATCTCATTGTGCAATGGCAATTTTTGGCATATACCTAACTTTCCTTATATGTCCTGCTCTCTGAAAACAATCATAAAAGTTTTTACAATGAAAGATTTTTTACAAAAAAAACCACCAGACTGAAATTAAGCAGGTGCTACGTAAATATTATTTTACAGCCACAAATGGCAAGAAATGTGCCTCTAAAAAACTATTTTTGTAAAATATCGTAAGCTTTCTGACAAGGGCCCTCTTCGTCTTTTATTTGCCAACCTTATTTTGTTTACCAACTACCTGCTGTAACATATTAATCCCCACCGCATAACTGGAAAACAGTGCGGTCTTGTTAGCACCCAAAAATGCTAATGGGATTAATAATAATAATGATAATATCAATAATAATCATTACAAAAAACTACTAAAAATGTTTTTAAATTGTCAAAAACATTATTAATATACATGCAGTATTTCTCATTGTAACATTTGAAACAGCCTCATCGCAAAATTAAAAATTTAGATTTTATTTATTTTCTCCTAAAAACGAAATAGTTTTTAGTGCTTTTATTTTTGCTCTTTGCACACAGTTGTTTCACCTACGTAAATGTTCTTTGTATATGACGTCAGTCACTTCAATTAATTATTTATCTTTAAAAGTTCTCTCACAGTGAGGCCAACCTTACAGAGACAGACGTTAATCTATTTTGGGGGAAAGCGATCAGTTTAAAACAATCTCCATGGCAATTTACAGAATGTTTCTACTGATTGTCCCAAATGTAATGCTTTGGACCAGATCACCAATAATTCTATAGTAAATTAGATCTTTCACTCACCCAGATTTCTTGAACATTTGATGTAGCCACAATCATGCTGATTCCTACAGCGAGACAGAATGCACCAATGATATAGAATGTGCTGAGAACTGATGGGGCGTTCAGCGTTGGCATCCATGCTGGGATTCTCTGCTGCTTAAAGGCAGTATTATCCGGACACTTTGAGACTGGGGGAGCATTCTCCCCCGAATTGGCTTTCTTTTTCTTCATATTCCTCTATAAAAATAATTATGTAGTAAAAAATGTCCACATATCTCCTGATGGCCTATATAGCTTTCATTGTCTTCATGCTGAACAGTGTTGAATTGTTATCTACTTCCTGGAGTTACTCATTAACTAAGATGGGCTGGTAGTGTCATTCTGTGCTGTGGTTACCTATTCACCTTTATCAGCGTGTGTTCTCACTGAGTGACTGTACTTTGCTCCTATACCATACAATCAATGTGTTAAACCAGTAGGGTTTGTTTTACAAAGCTATTTATACCAATACAACGTTACACGCCTAGTAGCCACTGTTGCACTTAGCACGTAATAGCTATTTACTAAGATTAAAACAGCATTAACACCCAGCACTCACAAGCAACCAAGTCCTGCAGAATCTTCTTAGCAGCGGTATCATCTCTGGAAGATCTACTCAAGAATTCCCTTACTACTTATCGTTTCCTTTCAACTCTTAATTTAAAATTGTGTTCTATTCCATCTCCCTCACTGTACTATCACTAATTAAGTGTCATTTTATGTTCATTCTCTAACACTCATTTATATGTGTGTGTATATATATCCATGATTTATATATGTGCATATTTATAATCCGTTTATCTAAATAATAATACACATTTTCTCTAATGTTCTCCCTTCTGTTTTTCACTTTAACACTAACTTCTCTTATTAATAAAATATCCCTATACTTCTGCTCACATGTCCCTGGCAACACCATCTTCATTACTTCCACCTTACTCCCCTCCCCTCTCTATTCATCCCATGCACTCTACATATACCTTTCCAGCCTATCTCCTCCAGCTCCTCCCAAATTCTTTACATACATACCCTCCTACAAAACTTTCAAATCCTACTCCCACCTTCACTTCCTTTCTATCCTTCCGCTCCTAGCAGCTGGTGATGTCTCTCCAAACCCCGGTCCCATCTCGGCAAACTCACCACATACTAACCCAAGGATCCACACTAATCTCATGTTCCTCTAAATCCTCCTTCAATACTGCCCTCTGGAATGCACGCTCTGTCTGCAATATTACTAAATCCACTGCTGTCCATGACTTCATCTCTCGTTCAATAGATTTACTAGCCTTAACAGAAACATGGCTCTCCCCCTCTGACACTGCTACCCCTGCATCTTTGTCCACTGCATCGAAGGTCCACTTATCCACGCTACATGAAGGTAAACATGTGGTACAAGGAGACCATAAAGGGATAGTGGGCACAAAGAGACACGTTTGCCCCGCGTTAAAGACGGCCCTGGTTTAGGCGGCCGCCTAAGGCCTCGCGCTGGCTGGGGCCTCACGGCCGCTTAAACCACCTTATGGCAGACTGTGTCAGGTCCTCGGTCAGTGACCGAGGACCTGACACCAGGAGGGGGCCCGGCGGCTTGCCTGGTATGCCGCCGGGTGCGAGGCCCCTCCTGGCTGCCCGGCCACCATCGCAGACACAGGTCTGCAGCTCCGCAGTGAGCAGAGCTGCAGACCATATGTCTTGCGAGAATTGGCCAATCAGAGCGTTGCAGCGGGTTACCACGGCAACACTCTGATGGTCTTGCGATATTACAGAAGAAGTGGCCACTGGACCACCAGGGAAGAGAAGGTAGGCTCCCCTCACAAAGCCTTCCCCTACCCCCGAGTTCAGGCCCTCACCACTGCCTCACCACTCCCTCAGCTCCTCCTCCATACCCCATCACTCCAGCCACACCCTCAGCCTCCCCCCACCAAGTTCAAGCACCCCAATACCAGCTCACCACCCCTCAAGCTTCCCACTCACTGTTCAGCCACCCCTCAGCTTCCCACCCCCACCCTCAGCCCTCACCACTTCCTCACCCCTCAGCCCCAACCAAGCTGCTGAGGAGGATGGTGCGCCGCTGTTCCAGCCGAAGCTGTAGAAGATTGCGTCCCAGGTTAAATAGTCAACTATGTCCTCAGAACTTTTCGAGTCCAGGGTATGTGGCCTCTGAACACTGGGCATTATTCTAGGGCCAAAGGGAATCACAGCACCACGACCACAACGGCCCCTGCGGGGTGGCCTGCCTCTCCCTGTCTTTTTTTTTTCCGATTAGTGGTACTATGCGTGCAAGCTACTGTGACAACAGATATGAGTGGCACTGTGCAGTGGCAGAAGTGGAGTGGAGGGTGGTTGGGGGTAGTGAGGCTGAGTGTGGTTGGGGGTGGTGATGCTGAGTGTGGTTGGGGGGGTAATGATGCTGAGGGTGGTGGGGGGTAGTGAGGCCTGGGAGGGTGGTAGGGTGTGTAGTGAGGCTGAGGGTGGTGGGGGGCAGTGAGGCTGAGGGTGGTGGGGGGTGAAAAGAGGCCATTGAGGGTGGTGGGGGGGTAGTGGGGCTGAGGGTGCGGGAGGTTGAGGGTGGGGGGCTGGTGGATGCTGGAGGGTGGTGGGGGGAAGCTGAGGGTGGTTGGGGGTGGTGATGCTGAGGGTGGTGTGGGGGGCAGTGAGGCTGGGGGTGGTGATGCTGAGGGTGGTGTGGGGGGTAGTGAGGCGGAGGGTGGTTAAGGGTTGTGAGGCTGAGGGTGGTTGGG